GATTCAACTTTTGACTTCGGTGGTGGTGTGTCTGAAACGATGAGGGGGGTGTGGAGACGATACATGCAGCCTTATCGAGGGTACAAAGCTCGCGAAATCTTAGTAGACAACTAAATTTACAGCCATTCGTCGTACGGCGTTGTGGGCTGATGCGTGGTGAAGTGATCAAAGCGACGACAGAGCGTTGTGCCGGCCTGGGCAGGAGGATAGCTGCTGACTCAGATATTACGTAAGGTAGGAGTCAACGACCAACATCTCATTCTTTAATTTGCACATTTCGATTGTCCAAAACTCATGTCAAAATCAACCCAATGACAGGCAGTAGCTGAGACGGGTATTCACAGATTGGTACAGTTGAGTTTGGGGTGACGGAATATGTCGTTTGATATCTTCTCGATGCTTGGAACTGGCTTTGTTCATTCTAACTTCTTCTTCTGCAGCTCCCCAGTACTCTGGGCTTATATCTTGCAATCCTATGCAATCTCAAAATCTATGTGAAGTTAGTATGATCACATAAGTCGGGAGGAGAAGAGAGTAGGGATATTTTCTTGTAAAGCGCATCACTTAAAGCCGCTTTAAGGCAAGAGTCAAAAAATCTCGGAAGAGCCCTTGTCAAAATGATGTAATCAATTTTTCTTCAGTTCAATACGCCAAGGATAGGTACCGTGGTACCGTCAAGGAGATTAAAACTCCGGGCGCACACCAAGAAATCCATCAAGCCGCTTTGACTGCCAGCCATATTACCATTGCGGAACAAACACAATAAAATGGATATTCACGGGAAGCCTTTGGTCAATGTAGAACGTTATACTGTTTTCTACACTTAGAAAAATGTTGATTTCTATGCTCGTCGCAAATACAAGCAGCTTGCTTCCACCCGTTTTTATGCAACTACTACTGGGTCTATTTTAGCCCGAAATAATCTAAAAATGAGCATGCAGGCTATTCTTTTTCCCTAAAGAAACTATGTTAAGGTAGAACTTTGGTTGAAGTCTAGGACTTGATACCAGGCTGCCGTGTGTTGAGTACTGTGGAGCTCTGGACACATTGAGATGCGTAGATAGACGAAAGAGCTGTAAATGCAGCAGTGGTTAGTACACTCATAGGACCCCATCCTTCGACTAGCATCAACTTTCGGATCAAGTCCATTGAGAAGATGCGTGTTCAGAGCGCAGATGTTGCGCTTCAACAAGAGCGCCTTGTTGAGCCATCTGCTCTGCTTCCGCACCATCGCACTCTTCCGATTGGAACGATCCCAAATCGGAGGCTGTCGAGGAGGCTGTCGAAAAAGTGGCTGAGGAGACTTTCGGGGTGTTCAAAAATCTCCTGAGAAGGCAACTGAAGGAACAGCCCAGGAGCCTTCAGAACACGTCCCAGACCAGTTACATAGTAGTGAGGATGTTCAGACAACCACGATCGCAGAGACCTCCATCGACTCTGCCCCAGAAGATGCCATGGCTATGGCCGATGTAGCAGCCACCGAGGAAGACGTTCTCGTCTCGGAAGCCCCTGTCACTGCTGACCATCAAACACAGGCGACAGGCAGTACTGCTATCGCCATTTTTCTTCTCGAGGCCAGATGGAGGATGTGCCGTAAGGATGACGAGGTCAGCATCTTCAGCGAGAGCGATTCCCTGAATGGTGAAGCAATAGACGAGGTTGCGCCTAGCAGTGGAGCTTATTCCCGCCTCCCAATTACGGGAAATCTGTCGGCTTTAAATTTCAATGCCATTGTTGTCGACCATGGCATGTCGGACATTGTTCAAATCGACATAGCCAACTCCAAAACTGCAGGCTCCTAGACTTCGAGCGCACAGCAGCAGCGATCATCAGATTCTGCCTCAAACACAACCCTTGATGATGAAGACGTGGAGATGTTGGATAGATCCCAGGCTTCCAGAGCACAGAAGTCATCATCATGTCCTGTCCCAAAGACGACCCTTGATGATGCACACGTGACGATGGTGAATAGAGAGGATGATGGCACAGCGAATGTCGACCTTTCATCTTCAATATCCGCTCATCGGCCTGACCAGGCTTCGCTAGGTGCCAAATCGCCTACACTGGCGACAAAGAATCCCACGCATGCGACTGGAGACAAAGATACGATTGAATCAGACGTCATGCTTGATCTCCTCCTCCAGGCTAGGCGCCAGGTAACCAGACGTCCAACCTAGTTCCTGCCTTTTTCGTCGGCATGATGGAATTTACCTTTGAGAACTCATCAGGCTGTAACGGGCTGAGCCCGAGGTCACATGACTAGGCTGCCAGCCTAGTCGCTTCCTTCCTTCTATCACTCCTTCCCCCAGCAGACCGTGGGCCGTGCACCAACCCAAACAAAGCGGGATGGCCGCCCACTTTTCTCTTCTTCTCTTCATCTCGACTGTAAATAGCATCTGGATTAGGTAGCTGGAATACAGTACCTACAGACCGTTCACACAGGCGTTGAAGTAATTAAGAGACACTTCACAAGTCGAGTAGATTTTGGGCGCTCCGATCCTCATTCTAACGCTGCAAAGGCTATAGCCAAGATGAAGGAGCTCATCAACGATGGCAAGCTATACTCCCCGATACTACTGATGTGGATATGTAAGGAGGCACTAGTAGCCCAAGACCAGGACATGCAGCCCTTTCATGACCCAGTCACGCTCTACGTCGATTTCTCCAGGAGCAGGGGCCCTCTTATCCGTCTCTTTGATAGGTTTTGCGAGGCCAATTTTGAGCTCGCGAAGGAGGCCAACCCGGATGGTTGCTTGGCCTGGGATCAGATTAAGACCCTCTCCCAAAAGGAAGAGCTCTCTTGCTTTGGTTTTAAGAAGATGAGCAGCAACTCAAAGGATTTCAGGCGAGCCATCCTTGGGAAGAATATCAACAACGACTCAGAAGATTATGTACGAGCGATCACTGGGAAGATGAGGTTCTGGTACGAAGTGAAATTGCGAGCGAAGTTACTGAGCAAGTAACTGCTGGTGAAATCGTCCACCAGATTCCCGTCCCACAAGCATCCATTGCGCCCAGTCCTCGTGCGCCCAAGCATAGCTTCCTTGAGCACGACTGGGACCGCGCCGGAATATCGTCCGCCAAGCGTAGACGCTATAACGAGAACAAGCCTAATAAAGGCATACACTTGATCAGCTTTGACGGTCCCGATTCCTTACTTCAGTAGAAGTCCAACTATCCGGGTACCTTCCTCGGCAAAGAACGCACACTCGCCGAGTCACCCAAGACATGTGCAAGTCCGGATAAGATATTTGGGGCTGAGTAACTACATCCGATACAAAATTTTAAAACACGCAATCACGTATAAATCTCTTCTCAGAGCCAACGGAGGGCGGTATCGTAGAGTGTGTGAGAAACTGGGTGTATTTACAGAATGGCTACGATGGTATTTGCTTTCGGGAAAAACTTCAAAAAGAGAAAGAAAACACCACACGCACACAGAAAGCTCTTCTCAGGTGCACAGAGAGTGAAGCGCGGAGCGTGTGAGATACCAGAAGTATTTACTCAGGGGACTGGAAAGGATGGTGCAACTGAGATACTAAGATTCAAGGAGCTGAGAATGTGAGGGGTCAAACTGGCGACTGCAAGAGGACTGTAGGACTTAAAATAACCGGTGCGTCTGTTGAGGGATTTGTACGAGGATACTATGTGGTAGTTAGAATTTTTGGAACTATATGTGACATACAGCGTTGAGATGGGTTACTTTTGTTGTTAGTTTGTTATTGGGGAGATAAGACAGTATACAATGAAAGTTTCTTTTTAAAGCAAGACTGTCCGTAGCGCTGTGACACATGTTGTGAATCTGGCAGGTCTACATGATGTAGTTTATAGCACGCCGTGACTGTTGACACGGCAAAGGTGTCGAATACTAGCAGTCGTTGCAACGAACAAAGTGTATAGTATTTGATTAGTAGTGAGCAAGAGCTGGATGGAGAGATCTCCATATGTACGGTTGCGAGCTAAGCGGGAAGCTTGGTCTAACTAACGTGTCCGTGCGCGTGATGCGCGGATTCGCGTGATGCGCGGGGAACACCATATCCACTACTTCAAAAATGAAGCTATTAAGCCACGTATATAAGCTGTTATTATACGAATTTATAGAGGGGGAGTAATTAGATGCTTGCGATCAACTTGTACTATCTATATTTTGATGGGAGGTTGACGTTGCGGCCACGTGATGTGAGCTTTGATGGAGGAGCTGGAGGCTCTTCTTGAACTTGAGCACCAGCGCGAGCAGCCTCAACGCGTTTTTGACGCTTGTTGTTCGATGAGGTAGCTGCTGAAGCTCTCCTCTTTCCCTTTTGGGGTAGTTGTATAGCTTTAGCAGCGTCTCTCTCCTCCTTCTGGCGCGCGCGTTCAGCTGCTTTCTCAGCTCGCTCAAGCTCCCTCATCTCCTTGAGTCTCTGCCTCTCCACACGCCTCTCCTCGAGCTCATCTTGACGCTGCAGTCGAGCCTCCTCGCGCTGCTTCTTGGACCGTGCTTTTTGGAGTTTCTCCTCCGTCTCATCTCGCTCCCGTACTGCTTCTCTAGCTCGAGCCTCACGCAGCTTGCGAGGAGACCAGAAGACAGAGCCACCGTGATACTCCTGGCGCTGTTGAAGGTCAAGAGCTTTGCCCTTCTTCCTGTGCTTCTTTTTATGTTGAAGAGCCTCCTTTAAGCCCTCGTTCTCATGCTTTAAAAGCTCATACTGCACAGAGAGATGGTGAACGCTTGAGCGCAGCTTTCTTGCCTCATACTGATGGCTATCATTAACAGCAGCTCGTACTAGCCGATCGAGCTTTCTCCAGTCATGATCAGAGAGCCCTGACGATGAGCTTCTCTCAGCTTCTGGCGTGCTAGCAAATCTACGAAGGATAACGTTGGCATCCATCGGCCAGATCCCAGTGGCTTCGAAGGCCTTCAATATGAGGCTCTCTGTGAAGGAGGATATCCAGGCGCTCCAGAAGAGCGGGAAGAAGTCCCCTTTCTTGATTGGAATAAGGCCTTGAGCCTTATGGAGATGGTTAGTGAGCTCGTTAGAGTAGGCTTGAGAGAGTGGCTTGAACAGCACTACATCTAGCGGCTGGAGCGTATGGGTCGAATGGGGAGGAAGGATCATGAGGAGGATCCTATGGCGATCGCAGTACTTAATAAACTCCATCGTGAGGTGAGATCCATGGCCATCAAGGATGAGCAATCTCCATCTACCTGATCGTTGCTTTGTAGAGCGATCAAACACCTGCTCCAGCCAAGCTAGGCCTACGTTATCATTTGACCAGCCTGTTGGAGATGATGAGACAAAGACCTCATGTTCTCCTGCCTTGATATCTTCTACCCAACTCGATCGTATAGCTCCATTTTTAGCTGCGTAGATAAGGGCTGGAGGCAGCGAGCTCCCATCAGCGCAGCAGCAGGCCAGGACTGTCAGAAACTCGCGTGATCCATCCTGGAGAGATGCTCGAACCTCCTTCTTCTCCCATTGACGCCTGCTGAATATCCTCTTACTTCTGCCTATCAAGCCAATTAAGAAGCCCTTCTCATCCATATTGTATATATCTCGAGCCTCTAGGTGATATTCGGTGATCTTTCGATGCAGCAGCTCGAAGTAGAGTCTATACTTTGACTCAGAATCAGCCAGGTGGCGCGTACGATCCATGGCGCTGGTCCACTTTGAGATGAGATGGATCTCGTGTCGGTTGATGAAGCGAGTAACCCAGCTCTCGCTGAGCTGCTGATGGGCTACTTCTGATGAGAAATTCCTGATCATCTCTCGTGTAGGAGGAATGCCTCGCTTTGTGAGCTTTTCGATATATCTCACAAGCTCTAGCTCTTGTTGTGGGTTGAGTTTCTGCTGGTTGAAGTTCTTGTCTCTTTCTGAGCTTGTCTGGCCCTGGTGCCTTCGGGTCAACGTAGATCTCACAACACCATGCTTAGCAGCAATTTTAGTATACGAGAACTGTTCTCCTGGCTCTAGATTTTCAATATCTTCAATCGCAGCTTGAATTGGGTCCATATTGGTGGAGTTAACGTGTGTTGAAGGTGAAGGGGTTTGACGTGTTTTGGTGTTCCCCGCGCATCACGCGAATCCGCGCATCACGCGCACGGACACGTTAGTGGTCCAAGCTTCCGGCCCGGAAAAACTCGCCGGGCTGGCTGTACGCGCATGTCCCGACAGTGACCTCATCCTAGAATCGATACCGTATGCAAAACATCATTGTGCCATCATCCTTCTCGGCTTCTATCTTCTATAAGTCAGTCACTTCAAACATATTATGCCATGAACTAAGAATGTCTTTGAATATTTTCTGCGCCTGACGCTTCCTACTAACATGATATACTACCCGAACACCACGTATGCTATGCAACCAATTCTAACACTCAGTTTTCAATGCGAATGAGAACTTCTTCGTTGCTCTCTTCAGCCTTCCGCATGCCCCGTCGGACCCTGAGACGTGTAATCCATCGTTACAAACGCACGGTCTACCTCCTTGAGGCCTTCTAGACAGTATTGTAGTGTTTCGGCAATATCATGGCACCTTCTCAACGGCGTTCCTTCATTCATCAAGACGTCTATTTCGACACAAACGCCATCGCCAGCATGGTAGCACTTTAGACTTTTGAAGCCTTCAACGAGTGGGGCAAATCTATAGGCCATGAACATCATCTTGCGCTCGACACGCGCGTCTGCTGCTTCGCCAGTAAGACGAGCTACGTTTTCAAAGCAGGTGCAGGCCCAGTCATAAATGATGAAAAGGGAGAGGCCTGCTGCACCGAGGGGATCCAGCCACCATACGTCCAAGTGGGCGCCTATGAGAGGAAAGAGAAGGGATAGAGTGTTGAAGTACACGTCTGATATTGTTAGACTACATTTCAGATCACGTAAAGATGTACTTACCAGTTTTGCAGTCTTGGGCTAAGGCTTGCACTTGGGTTGTCTTTACGCGAGCGCATCCAATCCAAATTGTTCCCTTTACGACGATGGTGGCTACCATGGCGAAGATAGCTGCAGGTGGAAGCATGGCCACATCGTGTTCGCCGCTTGGGAGGAGCTTCTTAATAGACTCTTGCAAGATCTGGAGGAAGGAAATGACCATGACAATGGAGAAGACTAGAATACCAATAGGTTCCAGACGTCGGCGACCGATGGGAAATTTCTTCTTGAGGCTCTCGATACGCCAGCCAACCAGTCTGTTGGTGATCCAGATGATGATGGTACAAAGCAAATCTAGGGCTGAGTCGACAAGAGATGCAATCAAAGAGAGAGAGTTGGACCAGATTGCTGCTACACCCTTGGCTCCTAGCAGAAGAATGTTCACAATCACGTTGATCTACATTTGGTCAGCTTTTGTTCACAATTCATCTCGATCGATACTGACATTGATCGCCCACTTTACGCTCCTGGCGGATTTTCTCCGCTTCTCCCGCTCCTCTTCCGGAAGAAATGGTTCTAAATCCTCTCCGCTGCTGCCCAGCGGCCCTCTGTCTTCAGCTACACCGTCGTGGTCGGGGTCACGCGGGTTCATGCTGTCAACAATATCATCTGCAAGCGACGAAACCACCATGTCGACTTCGGCCCAGTCGTCCAGACGCTGGTTCTGCTCTTCGTAGAAGGCACGGACCTTTTTATTCTTTATACTCTTCAACTTTATGAGGCGTTAGTCATGCTACTGTCAAATTGTGATTCCTGGACGTACGCTCTCTTCGCTTTTCCGGTATACCTCAAGCGCATCGTGGTCCACATTGTCGATCAACTTTTGTTTCATCTCATTTGCGCGGTTGTCCCTGACCGTTGCTTCGATCGCATCGCGAAACCGCTGCTTTGGTTTGAGGGGGTTGATCGCCCCATAACCGTGTTCCAAATCGACACGCTGGTACTTGTCGAACTGCTCATTGTTCTTGTTGCCGTTGTGGTGACCACTAAGGATGTTGCGCCGGCCAACCATACTGCTTATATCAGAAGCTCTCCGAGCTCTCCAGGGGACGATGAAAGAAGATGGGAATAGAGAAAGTAGATATGTGAAGACTTCAAAGTCAAAGGGATTAGGTACACAGAATAGAAGACGCGACGCGACACAAACCAAGGCAGACAAGTCTAGAGGTGTAAATGCTTAAATGCGTAATAGCGTCAAAGAGCGCATCATAAACTGGACTCACTAAACTCTATACGGCTGTGTCCCTGCATAAGATGCCAATTCTTGATGAGGCTTGCACCAGCTTGCGTGGTGTGTCTTGAAGGGAGGTATGACATCATAGCATCCGGCTTGTCTAGCGTCGCGTGGAAAGAGGGCGCGATCCGACGGCTGGCACAAGCATCAGCCACTTGGCAGGCACCCGTCACACCGATACATGTTGCTCCACGAAGACGTGCAGTCTTTTTCAACTTCATAACCGCATCGATGAGTATACGGAGGCGCGAAGGGCTGTGTTGCCTTGGGGTGCTGACGTCACATCTAAAACCGGATGGTCTCTTCAACACCAACGCCGTTGAAACACCGCCTAGGACATTCCGACCATCGGCACGTGAGCGCCGTGCCGCTTAACCGAAGGTAATGGAACCCGGCATCCGGTACACTTGCCAATCTAGTGTCAAGCCACCGTTGATATTCGATCGATGCTTCCACTGGTATAGCACCTAGGGAGCGAGAAATGAGTGACACTCCACTTTTTTGCTCTCTCTTCCTCCCTCTCTACGACCACAACAACGTAGTAGAATTATTATAAAAGCTTATAAGAGAGGTAAAATAAAGACTAAAGAAAGAGACTGTAAGATGAAAAAATTATTATTAATGTTGCAGTGATAGAACAGAGCTGCAAAGTTTCGGAGATAACGGAGGTGTCAACTTTTTCTCGCTCCCCAGGTGATAGTGAATCAAGATCCTGTTCTTTGCGGGTTTGCTTCTCCATATCTTGGCGATAGCTCCGATTCCTCAACGTTGCACGACGCATCAGACGTCGTTATGAGCCAGACTCCTCCTCCATGGTTTCTTAATGACTATACCGTGGCGTGCTCTTTCAGTTCTTCTCGCTCAAAGATGGATTCCACTCGGCTTGGGACATCGGATGGTCCGCCGGGCCTTCAGCCGCCTTAATAAGCACGCCCCGCATCAGGCCCGACAACTTCTCCTAGTCATCGGGCGAGGCCCGCCAAATGAACACGAAAGCTTCACGTCTCGCGATACATATGCTGTCAACATACCGTCGTGATTCTGTATCCCGAACGCCTACCACCATCGACCATGGCACCATCTACAGCAAGCGTTGGCCGCCCCAATAACAATGCGGTTCTGGCCGTAATGGCGGTCTTATCCGTTATTGGACTGTACTGTATGCGCATTGGTTGCGTTGTGCACGACTACCCGATCGACATTCTAGATGTTGCAAAGACGGCCATTCTGCCAAATGGCGTGAAAATGAGGAAAGACTACTTCGGAATCAAACCTGTCGACGAAAGCCTGAGCTTTCTGGTGACTGCATTTCTTTACGGTCCTACGAAATGGAACGAGGCCTTCTATTGGCAGCAAGTACACTTCCTCGGTCAGATAACAGTTATAATCGCAGTCATGAATGTCGAGGCGTGTCGGGAACGAAACCAGAGTAGTTGGCTGAAATAGTAAGCTAAGGACTGTGCAGACTAGATAGTCGGGAGCTGACAGAACTATAGTACTGCCATATGGACGTTTGTGTATCAAAATCTCGGCGGGGCTATCTTAGTTCCCATTTGGTGGCTGCTTCTCCATCGCATGTCAGGACCCAAATCGTATTTTAGGAGCGGACGCGCTGTTCCACTGCAATACGCACGTATTATCCTTCCAGGCACCATCATATTCTACGTGCTACCCACCATTGTCATGTTTCTCCCATACGACAATTTATCCGTCCACGAAACAACCATCGCCTTTTGGCAATTTTCGCCCATTCTTGTCAACGTACCTCTCTGGCTTACACCGCTTTTCAGCTCATCTTCCACCCAAAAGAACAAAAACGCAGACATTCTTCACCTCAGGATTCTCTACGTCTTTCTCTTCACTCTCTCCGTGGCAGTGCACTGGTACACCATTGTCGGCATCTCGACATCTGAAAATCCAGACGTAACCGGCGCCCGTGTCTTTGTTCCCAGCACCTATACCTGGAGGAAGTCAATGGACTGGGGCTTACTCTTCATTTTTCAGTGTGACTGGGTTATTGTGGGAACATCTTGCTTGATTGCGTCTTGGGTGGCCCTGTCGGATATGCAGAGATTGAAGAAGGGAGCAGCATCAGTTGAGAATGTACTGGAGGGCTTCATCGCAGTTATGACGATTGCAATTGGTGGAGGGCCAGGAGCGGCACTAGCTGCAGTTTGGTTCTGGAGGGAGGGCAAGATGGCGGAGGTTGAGGGGGGCACGGCTGTCAAGAAGGGGCAGTAAAGCGGAAAATGATGAAGAAGATGTTTGGAAAGCCGATCTTGACGTTAATTGTAAACGCCATTAATACCAATGATTGCGATGATACCCCCCCATCTCCTCTCTAGATTTATATCTAGCCACATGCCCGAGACTACTGCATTTGTCAACTACCACGATCTTCAGGCTACTAGAGACTCAGTGGTAGAGACCAAGAACTTCCTGATAGCATCCACATCTCTGTTTGAAACAGAGAAATAGGGATACGGCTGCGGCAGAGGAAGAAACGACTTCTTCCCATCTTTGCCACCGGTCAAACGAGCCAAGGGCCAGAATTCTTTGTTATCAGGGTCTCCGCCAGTAAGAGATTTATCGTGACTCATCCACCTTGACCCGGGGTGCCAGGTCTAACAACGACAGCATCTTCAGGTCTCAAGTAATCCCACCCGCCAGAGTCAAGATCGCAGTACCACGAGCTACTAGGAAAGAAGCGACGGGCAAAATCCGTAAACTCCAGCGAATATCCTGACTCTGGTCCTGCAGTGCCAAGAGCTTGTGCCCATGCCCCCCCACGCCCTCTTCACGTGTGGTTGTTCTGCATTGTTCTATGGCGTGCTCGGACCATATACTGTCTTTGTCGTCGCCGGACTTGTAGATCTCTTCAGTAGATGGATTGGAAGATGAGGGGTTTGTTGGTTGTATTTGCCTGTGTCATAACCTGCGCAGTCACCAAAAAACCCATTCGCCTTTTTCACACCAGGAGGTAAGCCAAGGGGACTTGAATTTGAAAGATCCTGGTGCAAAAGTAAGACACCAACGCCGGTTGCTATGATGACTCGTGATGAACGTAGCTTCCTCTAGAGATCGTCATCTATCGCAGTAGACAAGACGTCAACAACTGCATATGAGAACTGCGTTGATTGTCCTACGGAGTAGATACACAAGGTTATATACATAAGATATACGTAAGCACATAACGGCAAAGGAGTGAAAGTGAAGGTTGTAGAACATTCGGCCAAGAAGCATCGGGCCGATTCCAAGAAGGGTAGTCCTGAATGGCAACATCATCTACTGCGCCCATTACACTCCACTGCCCTGCTGCTGTGAACGGAACCCCTCTACCATACATACACAGACATTCATCACACAGAATAGCAGGCACCAAGACAGAAGTGAAGCGAAGCAGGGTATCTATTCGTGTTCACTAAAAAAACCCAGAGCCAATCCAGTATTACAAGCCAGTATGTACCCATTTAAGTGCAATGCTAGTGTGTGTGTTATGTGGCCGATTCCCCCCATCAACCCACTCTTAGTCCAATGAAAACAAGCCCTCGTAACGTCGTGAGTGAAAAAAAAAACATATTCGCTGTTATCAAACTTCAAACTCAGCATGTACGCCCTGTCATGCTAAAACTTTGTACATCCACCCCATCCCTCCCACGTGGAGTCATCTTCTACGCTTCTACTCCCCTCCCCTCCACTACACTATACACACACACTCATTTCCGTCTCCTCTTAGGACTCCGCCTCCTAGTCTCGTCCTCGACCTCTTCCACTGTCGCAGCCGGAGAGGTAGAATTCGAGCTCGCACTCTCCACCTTGGCAACATCTTCAGTCCCAATAGGCAACTTGGCGTCTGCAGTGGCATCAGGAACATCACCACTACCAGCACTCAAATCTACTTTGCCCACCGCATCCACCATTTCCTCGCCGGGAAACGTAAACGCCTCTGCACCGCCACTACCATCAGCCTCTCCGAACCCGGCAGTATCAAAGTTAAAATCGGGGAGCCCAGGGTTCTCGAAGCCGACATCCCCGCCCCCGGTGCGGTTTCCATTGTCGGTGAAAAAGTCGTCATCATGGACAAAGTTGTCAATGTTCAAATCATAATTCCCTGGTTCTCCTAGCGGGTTAGCGTCAAAATAGCCGTCTTGACCGTTTCCACCAGCACCAATACCCTCAATCTGACCCGTCGGGCTAAGCGGCAATATCCTTTCATGGATATTTTGGATCTTGTGGTTCTGTTGATCCGACAGCTTTTGCAGCATTTCGAGCTGTTGCTGTGTGGCTTGGTAGTGTGCTAGGTCATCAAGGAGACGAGCCATTTCGGGTGGGTTGGGGTTAGTAAGGGCATTGTTTGTGTTTTGGGCCGATGTGTTTGAGACGATTTGCGAGAGGACGTCGTTGCGTTGTTGTTGGGTGAGAGGCACGTGGCCATCTTGTGTTTGGTAATTTGAGAGGGCGGCGGCGTAATCAAAGTCTGGGGCTTGATTCGTGGACTGCCCAGCACTGGCGTTGGCGTCTTGTATTGCAGACATGATGGCGTCATTCTCGGGTACGGGTGTCAGATTGGATGGCGTGTCGGCCTTTGCTGGAGCACCGGATAGGCTGCTGTCTCTGCCCGTTGAAGTTGGGTATGGCGATTGGGACTGGGACTGCTGTCGGTTGAGTGGGACTGACTGCCTGAACACTGTCGGTCGGCTTCCAGAACGTCCTGTGGGGCTCGTGAGCGGTCTTGTGGTAGGGCTGATAGTTGTGGCACGGCCCGTCGTTGTCGGCTGCAGGAGCTCTTGGTTAGGACCGGGCGCGGGAAGAATGGCTAGTGGCTTCTTATTTCGCTGCACATGTGGAGACTTATTTGCTTCTTGCATAGGGTAGTCATCCACATCGACAACATTACCGTGGGGTTGTTGCCGTGATCCAGGGAACATGTCAGCAAGATTCATGTTGGCGTTGCCCTCTAGACTCCGATTGTAAAATGTGGCAAGGAATGTCAGGATGGCGTTGATTGAGTTCTCGTGGCGGTCATGCAGCGCTTGGAAGGATGTCGCTCTTGAGTACAGCTCTTCATTTTGGCGTTTGATTTGCGTCAAGACATTTGAAATTAGCTTTTGTTGCTGCTGAAGTTCTCGGACCTCGACCCGTAGACTGTTGTACTCAGATCGCGGGATCATGGCCATTTGTTCGTTCCCACGGACTGCCACTTCTTCAACGTAGCCCCCGCCTCCTGTGTCTTGAATGTACTTGCGATCTTCATCGCTGTCACCCTTGTGCTCTTCGTCCCGCTTTCGCTTGGGCCCGGCAGGCGGGTTCTTTGGTTTTTGGATTAGCCATAGTAACTCTTGTCTGCCACGCTTGAAGTATTTGTTGTAGTACTCGCTCGGTGCTTTCGCTTTTGTCTCGCTAGCTTTCATAGAGTTGTCCGACAATCCAACCTTCTTATGGAATCCATACATGTTCAGCTGCCGTACAAACGAGGCGTAGTTGTTATGCTTGAAGAGCTCGGGTATCAGCGTTCGCGCAAACTCGTCCTCGTCTAGAACGATGAAACTATTGCCGTCGTCGGACCATCGAATGAGGTTTTCGTTCTTGTTGTTATCGAGGAAACTATCGCGACGTTAGTACTGTCATGCAGGGCAAACAGACCCCGCATTTGAGTGGGGAGACGGCAACAAGAATGGGCAGACTTGAAGTAGCAAGGGGCTCGACTTACCTGCTCAGCTTCTGAACGAATGGCGGAATCTGCTTTCGCTTCGCCTGCGCATCCTTCTTCGCAAGTGCCGCCTTCTGCTCCAGCTCTTCGTCATCATCGACCGTCTCCCACTGCTGTGTCGGGCTTGGGAACCCGTCCCACTGGTTTCGCCGCGGGGCAGGTGCGAGTTGCTGGTTTGTGTTCCGCCGTACCAATTGTCCCGACATTTGCGCGTTGTCGTTGTAGCTGTCGAGCGACACGACCCGGTTGTGTCCACCGCCCATGCTGGTACCATAGTTGTCGTATAGGGGCGGATCGTTGAAGTTCATGTCACCGCCGGTTGCGGATTCGTTCCAGTTGATGTACTGATCGGCTGGCGCCGGGATATCGTGCTGGTATGTCTGCGTCGGTGCCTGTGGTGATGCGCCCGGTGCGCGCCGCTTGCGGTTGGACATGTGTGTTCGCGCGCTTCGCGTAGCCGCTTCAAGTAGAATGTTTGGTGGCTTTTGTTCCGTTGTGCGTATCCGCACCTCCTGGACACGTTGTGGAAAGATTCTTCACAAGTCCCCCGAGGCGACACAGCCTTGCAGCACGGTTCAAATCACAAGGACGTATAACGCGTGGATAAAAAGTCCAGGACCAGCGCTAGCCTCTGATGGTAAGGTCTAGACAGTGCGCTTTCGTCGCGGTTATGTAGGCCTTTACCCCGAATTGTTGTCTCTCGTTGTCGCCGTTTTACTGAACCACGATACAATTGTCCTCAAACAGTCGGTTGACTCGCACAAAGAATGTTTTAAAGACCAGCAAAGGGCGCAAATACCATGATCGACCTAGGCGGTTCTGGAAGGCAGCAGAGAGGCACAGGAAGGGCGTTGGAAGGCAGGCGTCGGCGGAGCAGGATGAGTCCGATCGCTAAGTTTTGGGGGAGAAATCCGGGGTACAAGGCCTCCAATGGCGAGGGAAATCGGTGGAAATGGTGTCGAAGAGTGTGCGCGACGTATCTATAGCAACCCCCCAGCCTGGTGAGGGAAGTGTAGGAAAGATAGGGTGGAAGCAGGTGCGGCCGCGTTGCGCATGTATGCTCGAACGATGAGATCAACTTCACCGTCCTGCACCGCCAGCGTCATTCGCTTAGCGCGCACTAGCATGACTCGTGGGCTCTACCTTGAACTTGCCGTGTCACTCGTACCATCTGAACCTCCTTCCACATCACAATATCCACATACACGTACGCATCGCCAACTTCTAAGGCCATCTGATGCCCAGCCACATGTGCCGATCGAGAGAACATCACAGACCCACCGGGACCTTGAGTCGGCCCGCCTGAGGTGGACTGATGGGAAATTGATTAAATGCGATAAGTCACCGCAGACATTCCGATGCTTCCCACCCGTTACACTACGGAAATGCCCACACGATGGCAAACTCTACTATGCAGAATGTTCTAGAAGCTTCTCATGACATGTATGCCCATATAGTCCGACATGAGGCCACGTTTGAGATCTCGATCACATCCTGCCCCAACCATGCCTTACGTGAAGCATTCTGGACTAACAGCCAATTTACAACACACCACACGACGACACTGACATCACCGACACGTCTCACTACCACTGTTAAAAACAAGTTTCAAGCAATTCAACTACCATTATCGTACTGCCGCGCCAGGCACACAGCAACGTCCTAAACTATAGTAATATCCAAGTGGAAAGGAGAGTAAATCAACTAAAAAGAACAGGAAACCTACACGTCCGACCGACCGTCCAACCCAGTGCCGAATGCGACCGCTCCCGCAAAACTGAAATATCTGTACTACAACATCGTCTGTGTGGCCCGTACGACCCAATATAATTTCTGAAACAACATATCCCATATGTTCATAAATGCTTTTTTTACTGTATCCAAAGGTGAAATGCGAGATTCGAGGGGCGCGGGCCCAATTTAGTTCTGGATGTAGTCTCTCTACCATCGTAGCATCATTCTCTTCGTATGCATCGTAAAGTCAATCCAGTGTAAGTAGCGAGGCCAAGTTGGTGGTATAGGCCGTTAAACGTTCGTCATCGGTGTCGTTCATGGGCGCCATCGCACGTCTCTTTTGAAGGAGGGATGATACGTGTGACGACTTCATTTCGTGCGTAGAGCTGAGATTTCGCTACTGTCCTACAAGAATTTCGACATTGGATTGTGATGATAGCTCGTCGCTTCCACGGTTTTGATGCCCGTTCTGTCGCGGGCGGCTAAAGCCCTGTCCTCGCTCGGGGAGAGGTCCACGAGGCTGTCTCGATGGACGGTCGTCGTAGTTGGTACTAAAAGTACGGTGGCCGCCAATAGGGCCGGGTGCATCCCAAGATGTCATCTGACGCAGGGAGCGCGGGCTGCCGTTTTGCGGGTAGCTAGAGTTTAGTTGCATCCGATTCATTTCCCTCTCGAGCAGGCCATCATCACGTTGGGACATGGAGCCTGTCGTTGGGGTGCCATTCGGGTTCGTCGAGCTTCCACTGTAACCGAGACCTTCAAGGGAGATGCCACCAGGACGGCCAATAGGATGGCTGGCCGTCGATGGTGCGGGTGAAGGTGTGTAAGATCTAAGATCGGCGTAAGACTTGGCACCGCGAAGATTTGGGACTGCGTTGAGCCCGCCAGGCGAATCAGGGAATCCGAGAAGGCCCGATGGCTGGCGATTGAAGGCGTTATAAAATCCACCCTCGGCGCGGACGTCACTGAAATCAGTGGTCGCTGCGCGATTAAGGTTTCGGCGTGGTTGCTCCATCTGGTTGCTGGGCATCTGAGGCATTGGTGGACTGAGCCCCTGGTTGTCATATACCTTGAAGATATGCACCTGTCGCTGATCGCCAGTGCCCTTTGAAATATGGGCAAGACCGAGCTGGTGAGCCAGTGTATGGATGGTGCGGCGCATAATAGGGGTCAACGTTGAAGGGAATGTCATGCTATCGCGATCCTTGGTTTCCTTGAAGAGCAGCAACTGGGTGTAAAAACTGAGCACCTGGGGGTCGTTGAGGTCGACGTCTGGATATTTTGGTTAGTTATGAATTCGGATGGGAGCACTCGAGATTCAAAGACATACCAACTGTCTTGGGTGCACTGCTTCCTCGCATGGCGGACACAGGCGAGGGTGAAGTAGCGGGCATGTGCGATGCAAGGGAGGTGAAGGAAGACTGTGACTGGAGACCGCCACCGAGAGGACGGTGTTGCTCCTCGAGCTGTCCGCGACGCTCACGCTTTTCACGTTCAATGCGCTCGCGTTCGGCCAGCGGCAGCATTTTCTTGTACTCGACGCGCAGCTTCCTGCCGTTGAGTTCAAAGTGGTTCATCGACTCGATGACAGCTGCCGTCTCCTCGGCGGTTGTGAAGTTGGCAAAAGCCAAGCCACGAAACACACCATTGTCAAAGTGATAGTTGAAGGCGTAAGGCAGGGGTAGGCGCAGTTCGGTCATGAGGTTTACGAGCTGCTCCTTCTTGACGGCAAAGGGAATATTCTTGATGACGATGGCGGTGGGGATGAGTTCCTCGTCGACATCGTGGCCGTAGCTGGTGTTCTGCATGGCGTTGAGGTTGTTGTTGCTGAGGGCGAAGCTAGGCAGACCCTGGGGCTGCTGCTGGTCCATCCATCCCTATTAGTGACAGATGTCAGTACAAGTACCAGTACCGGATTTCACATTGCCACGCTGGCGTGATGAGGATGCTTACCGTTGGCAGCGCACTGCGGCCTGCTCCGCCGCGCTGCTGCGACTTGATGCGAGCGGCACCGCCTCCGAGCGAGCCCAGGCCGCCGTTCTGGGAGAAGACAGTGTTGTTCCAGCCCTGGGGCGCGCCCATGTCGTAGCCGTAGGCGCCGGCGTGCATGGTTTGGTTCAGGCGCTCATAGGTACGCGGCTGGTCGTAGGAGCGCTGGTGTTCATCCTGCTGGTACATGTTGGACTGGGCCACTTGGCCGTAGGCGTCGAACTGGCGGGAAGGCATGCGATGCAAAGAGCCCGTCTGAGGCTGGTTTCGTTGGGCAATGGGCGACCGCGACGTCGTCTGGTCGTACCCGGAAGAGTACATTATATGCGGTTCAGATTAGGGGGTCTGTGGCGCAGTGGGAACCGTTGCTGAGGTCTGAGGTGCAAGATGAGCAGAAAATTAGGCCGGAGGTAAGAGTCGGGTGGCCCAAGCGCAAGTGTCGTGAAATGAGCGGAAGGCCAGCGTCGCAAACAATCAAAGGCGAATCGGAGGGATGAAAAGGGGGGAGATGACGCTCGAGCGGCCGTGGTCGAGGGCTGGCTGGTGAGGATGGCTAATGATCAGGGATTCCCGGCGGACCCAGCTCCAAAGTCCCCTTTCGAGCCGCACGTCTCAGTGGGACGCGAGCAACAGGCTAGCAGACGTCAGAGGGGTTCACTATCGCCAGGGACGACGCGACTGGTGGGTGGTGGCCTTGGTAGGGAGCAGGGAGGACGACTGAAGGCGACGCTTGGTGCGCAAAACTCGCCCACTACCCAAGACTAACGGCGCGGGGAGACGGCTGCACACGTGCGTTGCTCCGAAGCAACCAAGATATGAGTAATGGCAGCTGGGAAGGGATGGAATGGGCTGCGCGCTGGTGCATGCGAGACGAGAGTGACAGGTTCGCCGACAGACAGACGACAGACGGGATGGGGATGACTCCAAACGCGCTTGAGGCTGACGATATCATGTACCCGTGTAAGTATACGTCTGCCTTTGCCTCTGCCTCTGCCAGCAAGAGGCGGCGGCGGTGGCGGGCGGCCATGTGAGTAAGGCCCGTCTTTGCTGCTCGTACTCGCACGCCCAATCACGCTTGCATCTTGCATCGCCCGCTGCAGCTGCTGCAACCGTCGTGTGTCTGGCATTACCGGTACATACATTAGTTGTCAATCCCCCTCTCCGATGCACAACAGACGCGCATCCCCGGGCGCAGGCCTGGACAGATTGGACGGGTGCCCTGTATGTACACCAATTACTCGCGCTGCGCGCGCGGGACCCTTGGACCTTGGGCTGGATGGCCCAGCTTCACAAAAGGGAGGGCTGATGGCCCGGCGTTCTGGAAGTCGCCAGGTCGCGGCCCGGAGCGTTAGCTTCCCTGCTAATAACGTGGGACAGTCACATATACTTTCTTCTCCAATGCCGCCTTGTTACATGCAACCTGGGCTGTGACTGTAACTGCATCTTCTACATGTCCTGTTCAATCAGGTATGGACGGGGTTGCTGCGTTCGAGCCTGCCGTTGCAACGGGTGGAGAGGGTGAACGAGCCCAGCACGCGACTCGTCAGCTGCACGTTGCTTCCCCCGGGGCCACGGCCAATCTCCCGATACACGCTTCACCAGATGTGCACAGTGCTATGTACGTACAACGATATTTCATCAATGTCCCTATTCACGCATACATCCGCCAGCACAACCTTCATGCACACCCCTCGCCGCCTGCACCCTCCCACCAAAGCAGACGGCCGCGAGCCGAGGCGACGTTGCACCACATACTCACTGCAAACGCAAAAACTATTCGGCCAGGCCAGTGTCGAGTTTCACTGCCATCGTAGCCGCTACGAGACGATCGCGACGGCATTCCACTTTTGTCATGTCTCCGACTGGCTGACCACGACAGAAAAGCCTTGAAGGATCGCTTACACGCATGCATTGAAAATCATGTGATTCCGACCACTTGGGCGGACCCCTTTGGCGCGCCATCAATACATATCCAGTATCCATAGAGGTCCCGTTACTGCGGCTGGTAGCCTGACAGCTTATGCCATGGGCCGGTACCGTGGCCGCCTTCAGTCCTCAAAATCGAGCAGTCGTGACCACTCCGTCTCGCCTACGCGTCGGAATTCCGCGCCTGCTGCAAACTGCCCGCTCGCTTCCCATGCTTGCATGGTCGCCTGGTCATACGGCCCGTTGACATCTTCTTCCGGCGCATTCAGCCAGTGAAACTCCCACTGCACCGTCTCCGGATGCGGGTTCTTCCAGTCTTCTCCAGTCTCTCTCTTGTACTGTCGCATGATGGACTCGCGCGGAAGTTCGTAGATGTCCTCCACTCCGCGGTCCGAGAGCCGGCTTGCGCATTCTGTAATCGAATCGATCGCCTGCTTGGCTTTTGCTGCGGCTGCCTCTTGCGCGGGATCGACGTCGACCTCCATGGCCTGCTGCTTCTTCTTCTTGGCCCAGTTGCTGGTTACCCTCTTCTTCGGTGCAGCCTTACCGTAGCGTACGAGGGCCTCCATGGGTGTCTCGCCGACCTCCAAATGCATAATCAGATTTGACAAGACGTCGCTGGTAACAATCGAGTCCTCTGCCCTCTCGCGGGCCTTGATCTCAGCCTCCCTCTTCTCATGCGCCTCCTTTGCCTTTTTCATGTCTTTCTTAGAGATGCCCTCGAGCCATGAATCTTGGGCAGCCTCGGGATCGAATGCTTTGCGCACAAAGTTGCCAGCTTCGTCGAATCGGCCTTCCTCCTGTTCGGCGCGCATATTAAACGCATCGAGTTTGGGCGCATGCTTCTTCTTGCTGCCCGCACCAAGCTCCTCGTCCATGTCAGAACCAATTCGATCGCGCTCTTCGTCATCGCCCTCCTCGCTACTGCTCTCGACGTCTTCGGTGCGGCTCTTTGGGCCCTTTGTGAAATCTACTGCAACGTGACCCCCAGACTTGCTGTTCTCTTCTTGACCCTCAATCTCCTCGTCGTCCAAGAATCGCAACTGCTTCTTCTTGGTCTGGCCTCGATGTACTTCTTCATCTTGGTTGTCGTCCTTGTCCTCATCTGCGAACATATCGTCGTCGTCATCGTCGTCGTCTTTGGGGGGCTTTGGCTTCTTGCTGAACTGCGCCTCGGCACGAGCGTCGAAGTTCTCGGTGGAGCTGTCCGAATCGTAGCCATCGATGTTGACCGCGTTGCGCTTGATTCCTGAAGTTTTGCCTATAACGTCAGCTTCTAGTGCAGGGTCTTCATCATCATCTGCATCCGGAGCCAGCGTCGAGGGATTGCGGGGGTCGAAACGTGGTTTCTTGGTGGAGGGCTCGTCGGTGTCCAGGTGGTGGGTGCGCGTGAATTGCTCGCCAGCGCGCTTTGGGCGCGCCGGATTATATGTGCCACTAGAGCTAGCCATGATTCACGAGTGGGTGTCGTGTGGTGATCAAGTTGATGTTTGTCAACAATCTATCCCGGCTAGGCAGTGACGTCTTTGGGCATGTTCTAGAAATTTGGAGCTCGGACCAGTTGCGCGGTGTTCCACGGTTCCGACGTGCACAAACGGCGCAAACGGCTAGCCGCAGTGTTACCTATGGTTCGTCATCTCTAGTCGCATACATCTACTATTCTATCTCTCACCACCTCTTTCCTTCCAACTCGCGAATTTCTCCTGCTATCCAGCCACCACTGGCTACTCACCACAAACTTCACCCTACAACCTTTTGCAACCAACATGGTAGGTGCGACCCCACTACTTGCTCTCACTCCACTCACACATGCAGTTCAATCCAAACTTTTACGACCAAGACGATCCGATGGCCATGTACACATCCATGCGCCGTGGCGGCGCTCCCAGACGATTCGACGAATACTTCAGATGCTATCCTATTGTCATGTTGCCTGGCCCAGAGCGCGAAGAGGCAAACCACGGCGGCAAAGTGTTCCTTCCTCCTAGTGCTCTCGACAAACTCACCAGGCTGCACATTACATATCCCATGCTTTTCGAGCTCATAAACGGAAAAGAAGATGGCAAGAAGACACACGCAGGTGTTTTGGAATTCATCGCAGAAGAAGGCAAGATCTACCTTCCTCACTGGCTCATGGAGACACTCAAGCTCGAACCCGGCGATCTCCTCCAGGTCAAATCGACCGATATACCTCTTGGCACCTTCATCAAGCTACAACCTCAAGATTCTTCCTTTCTCGACATTTCAGACCCCAAAGCCGTCCTCGAAAACGCGTTTCGCAACTTCTCCTGCCTTACCACCGGCGACATCTTCACATTCTCGTACAACGACAACGTCTACAGCATAGCTGTCTTAGAGACAAAGCCAGAGCATCCGAGCAAGGCTGTATGCACCATCGAAACTGATCTGTCAGTCGACTTTGCACCACCCGTAGGCTACCAAGAGCCGCAGCGAACAAGCGGAACAAGCACTCCACGCAGCGGGAAGGGCGTCATGGCTGGTAAAGGAGGTACTCTACACTCACACGGCACCATGGCAGAGGCGATCAACTATGCAGCTATTGCACCATCAGCAACAACTGCTGCTAGCGGAGCCAAGGCGACATCATCCCATTTCCTCACCGCCGGCCACAAGCTCTTGAAGAAGGGCAGCAAGGCACCCACTCCACAAGCTTCTACACCTGTCGCAGGAAAGTCGACGAACCCACCTCCTACAGTAAGGCGCACAAACGGGCCGCAACCACTGAGGTTACCCCCGAACAAGCTGTTCTTCGGGTACGAGATCAAGCCACTCAAGGGCAAGGAAGAGGAGGGCGAGCAGAAGGAGTCGAAGCACTTTGATGGTTCGGGCCAGACGCTGCGAAAGAAGAAGGGAGACAAGTGAGGTAGATACCCCAGGCTGCGGAGATAGGAACGATAAAAGAAGCATTTCACGGCGCTGAAACGGGATGTGCAGATCTGCAAATGAACATGGCGTATGGAGTTTGAGCAGAACATATACCTCATAGTTTGATGCAAATAACAGTGGATATAACTGGTTGCACGTTATTCTGGTCTTTTCGTACATACTGTATTCCTTTTATCTCTTGGCAAGGTATGCCGATGAGATAATACGTACTCCTATGTGGTGAGATGACACCAGCACTTCTATGGCGATACCTCCACGGCAAGAGCAAAGGGAACACATTACGCATATATTTGTGTGCGAATTAATCAATCGTTATACTATCCACCGAGATCTTGATCCCGACTACCCCATGCAAAATCCTTGGGCATTGCAATTTGACGTCCTCATCATATCAAAATCGAGCACTGGCACCTTAATATCCACCGAGGCTCACAGAACACAGACAGAATGTGGTGTCAACTCCACATGCCTCTTTTCATCGCCGACAAACACCGAGATCTCCCATGTCCTCCTCGTTACCGACCTCATCCTTGACCTTCTTTTCCTCACTCTCGCTACCTTCCTCAACCTCAACCGCAGCCTTGGCCTTCTTGGGCGTCTTGGGCTTACGCGCGCGCGGCTTCTTGGATGGTGTCTGCTCGGCGTCATCGGCGTCATCGACACCTGCGTCCTCTACATCGCGTTTGGTGGGCGTCTTCTTCTTGCTGGGAGTCTTCTTCGTGGCGCCACCTTCAGGAAGAGTCCAACCCATGGAGTCGTAGAAGTCGCGCTGTTTGACACGGAGGGCGGAGATGCGGTTGCGGATGCTGCCAATGGTGGTGCCTGGGTGGAGGGTCAGTCGGTAGAAAATGTTAGGGAGTGGGGTGGGAGGCACTTACCAGGGAAGGCGGTGGTGAGCTGCTCATACTCTTCCGGCTTGACATAGCGGCCTTGGGTGATGAGGAGGAGCTTTAGGTGGGGATGTTAGCATGGGTGCGCTGGGGTGCGCATGAGGTGCGGTGTGTGTACCTTGTTGTCGTTGGGGCCTTCCCATTTGAAGGGCTGGATGTTGTTAGATACGTTTTGATCATGAGTTTGGTGTCTACTTACACCCTCACTGACATCGCCGCTGGCAGAGACCGCTTTCTTGGGGGCCATAATGCTTGTTGTAATTGGAGTATACAGGTAGTGTTTGGGTGAGCTGGCACGGTACTCGAGTGGTTGAGAAGAGACTTGGAGGGCAGATGCTGGGATTACTTTATGCGTTTCTTGTGCGCAGAGACGCAGAGCGGGGGAGGCGAGTGTAAGTGTGTGGTGAAGAAGATGGTCAAAGTATCATACGGCACGTGGTGCGGTTGGTGAGAACTACTTCAGGACATAGAGCTCTGCACAACATGGCTCACTCTCACCGTGAATTACGTGCGCATAGTATCAACGGCTTGAATACAGTATCGGCACTGCAAGAATTTAAGTATAAAAAAACACTTGTATGGCCAGACGTTTGTAACACTCGACAGCGACCATGACATCCTGATAGATAATTGCGCATGCTCCACACCAAGGTCGATTCGGGCTGCAAAAGACTCAGTAGAGTGTTTTATACTACAACTCTGCTCGCTTTGAGGTTGGAATGTTCTGGATCCGGCTATCCTGAATTCTGCGACGACGCCATCCACAATGGGGCTCTTCTGCTCCAATTCCGCAGCAATCTCTTTTTCGCCCTCAGTCTACCTCCGCGGCCCATTCGGTGTATATCATTATCTTCGCCGGCAGGGTGAAGAGAAATTGGACATGTGAATAGATGGCTAGGTATCATTTGCCTCATGAACATCGTGCGCCGACATCTGGAAGTCCTTCATCAAGTAGAGAGCGGCTAGATGGCACTGTAGGCGAGACTGCCGTCCTTACATCTGACCCGTGCGTACACTGACGTTTGAATTGATACCTAGGTACCCATGACGGCCTTTCGGCTATGGTCGATATAGGATTAGATGATTTACAAAGACGAGAACGGGCGATTACTAACAAGAAGACAACACGATTGCCGGACTAGACTCCGATGCCGATCTTGGGATCACGAAATTGATACCGCTGTCATATTGCATTCTCACCGCCGCGCAAAGTACTAACCTTGGCCCACCCGAGTTATTATAGCGACGCCATATACGAGCGGGCAATCTCTAGTCTACGGCAGAGGTCGTCAAGCACGGAAATGGAAGGCATACCCGGAATATCTCCTGATAAAGTCGTCGTACGCTGAATCCCAAGAATGAGGCTTCGGGAGAAGACAAGCGAATATGAGGCTATGTAGGCCTTGACTAATCACTTTGACCTCGTATTGCCCGACGGAAGCGCTGGTCCGCAGAAGCGTGGAGGTGTACGTACGCGTGGGCGGAGTGGAAACATGTGACTTGGGCATCGGCCCCGGACCTCGGATCCGGGGGAGCTTCATTCCAGCCAAATTAAAAAGGAAGAAAAAAAAATCTTGATATCTTTGTCATCGGGCATCGGTGCCCCTGCCACGGTGCGGGTGTGTAGCTACAAAGTGTCAAGCGTGAACGGGACGATGTTCAGGCGTAGCCTAGGTGTTTCAGCGCTGTGGCGGCGTCGGCGAAGGCGCCCAGACATTTAGGGCTGACGTATGCGGGTGGCGCGTTCTGTGGCCAGTGCACATGTTGTACCGGTACCTCTTGCCAGGTTTCTCGCCTACCATCCCGTCTGATATTCTACGAAAACATCGACATGGCGCATGGAGATCGTCAGCAATCACCAATACAGGCCATGGTGCCGTATAATTCGCAAGCTTATCTCCACAAGTCTCTAGCACCAGTGCGTTGTACATTCGCGCATGACACCGGCTCTTTTCTCGTCAGCCCAACTGTTCCTCCACAGCTCCCGCTTATGGCACCACTTTTGCAAGTAACGTTTACAGGCAGCATACTGCCGCAATTGAATGCCAACAAATGCATCTTACCCAACCATTTGAACTGGGCCAAACCAAAGACAATGGCCGGAGGCTGTCCGCATGACCAAGCCTTCCGCTGAGACATGTCCAAGATCATGCACTCTGCCTAGGCTTGCTATTCGACCGCCAAGGGATCCGCTCGAAGTTGAGGTAGGAAGCCTTTTGTGGTGGCTCTGTATGCAACATGTATTCCCCTGCCCGCACGTGGGCGTCTGCGGGCTGATCTACCCGATTCGGGCCTCGCTTCTGAGATTGTCTTTACGCTTGGCCTTGTCAACGGCTCTATTGTTTCCGCATCTAATCGCTTGATAAAAGATGAGTAAAATGTCGAGATCGGATCGGCCTGCAGTCGGACATTGGTCGGCTCACGTCAGTGTCAACCTTGGAGCAGTTCCCTACATACCAAGCACGCTTTGCCTCGGACTTCCCTATCCAATGTCTTCCAGCAATCGTATACACTCTGACTCGTCCCCAACTCCACTTCGACAGCCGTCTTCTCATCGTTCATCCTTCTTTCCACTTTTTTTTCGTCAGACGCTCCCCTATCACCATTTCTTGGCACCATGTGTATTCGCGTAGTCGAGAAGTTCCCTGTCTGTGGCTGCATCTACCATGTTCACTCGGTGGATCGTTGCGCCTCTTATGGAAGGCATCCAGTCGTGGACAGAATCATATGGGTTGGGGCTTCCTGTCCGGATCATGGTGGACAGTCACGCTGGACAGTGCCTATCGGAAGGACCGGCAACGTAGACAGCTCCCCGCATCTACTCACAATGCCGACTACCAGCATGAGCCTGTTCATGCGAGACATTTGCTTCAAATAGCATCATGGAGGCGTCAGAGCTCGAATCTGGTACATGCTCACATCGGACGACATGCACAGCACACGGTTGGTACCTTTGGTGATGTTGTTTGGTACCAAAACTAACGGATTGGTATCTCAAGTACACCTGCAATTGCGAACAGTATTTCAAGATTGTTAGGAGACTCGAATGTGACACGAGTCCATCTGCCGGCGTGCAGTCAACACCCACCGTCGAAACGTTGGTATCTTCACAGAGCGGAACGCCATTCCCAAGCTACCAGGGACTAGACGCAACACATGGAAGAGGAGGAAATAAGACCAAGCTGTAAATGTACGCATGCAGACATTCCTCGAACCGGCCCAATACGGACCAACAGATCCGCGAGATGACTCATTATGATTACGAAAGAGAGTACAAGGACAATATATCGATAATCAATAAGACGAACTCCCTGTTCACCATGAAAAGCCACTACCCGTCGTCAATCTATGTTCTGTCGGCTAGGGTACCGCTCCCCACACTGCTCCCCGTATCGCAGACCTCTCGGAAATACAACTACACTGCGTCGCTCTTGCTCTCTACGCTCTTCAGTACGAACCGACTCGTGCCTGAGGGACTCTGCAATCGGTGACGACACACTCCTCTGAGTGCGTATACTGACTGAGCCCAGACTGCGTACGATGTTCTCCGCGGCAATGCGGAGCCGATCCTCCTCTATGCTAGCAAGTCTCAGCCGCACAGATGGGGGACACTGTGTGGGTGTCTCACTTCGCACCGTTGATCCAGCGTTGTATACACTAGAAGGTCTCGGAGAGATAGTGCCCGGTCCCGATTGTGACTGTCTCCTAGTGACAGGAAGCGACTGTCTGCCATAGGGACGAAGTGGTTTCCTGTTGGAGGGATGTGGCTGTCTGTTGGATGGATGGGGCGTCTCCATGTCTGGAATATACGACTGGCTGTTCAAAGACCTGAGGCTAGTGACGCTCGAGTTTGGGACATCAGACCCTGCCCAGTCAACAGATTTGGTGCGTTCCACGTGGGTACCCGAGCGCATCATCGTTTCCATGAGAAGGATGTTCGATTCGGAGTCCATGGTTGGCGTTGCAGAGCGCTCGAGATGAGGCGTACGCTGGATCTTACTCTGGCGAATCGAGTAGTTGCTCAGCAACGGATACTCAGTCAGCCTGCTCCTCGCTTCTTTGACATTACGCTGGAGTGCCACAAGGCGCTCAATGTCGCGTTTCAGTTCCCACTGCGCGATGAGATTAAGCTGCACATCCTCTTCAAGATTAGTCGCGCACAGACTGTCTCCCTCTTCATACTGGCTCTCCCTGCCGCCGGGCGTCATCACTCCGGTGCCGAAGCTATACGTGGACGGGCTGACAGAACGCTGTTCACTCTCGCTAAAAGCCTCCTCGAGAACCATTCTGTTCTCGTTGTACTGAAGTGCCCGAGCTTTCAGCGCATAGTCCTGCAGCCCCACGGCCAAGCATGCACTCGCCCTTGCCACTTGGCTCACAGTGTGGTGCTTGGATCGATATGTGCACGGCGTAAACACGCCTGGAGATGGTAATTGCCTCGTCAGCATCTCGGGCCACGGAATTTCCTTCTCCTTCGCCTCCTCATCTTTCATGGAAATGAACATTTCCACCAGCAAAGCATCAGGGTCGTCGATGCAGAGAGCGCGTTCTTGTCGTTCTCGGTTGAGTGTGCAGACGTCTTTGTAGAAGACGTCGGCTACGACGGCGGAAAAGGGATGAGTGATTGTGGTTCGTTCGAGGTTGGAGAGGGAGTATGTGGAGTCTGCGTGGCATGTTAGCGGGTCCTAGACGGGGTTTAGGGAAATCAGTGTGCTAGTGCAAGCAACAAATATGAAATACATACTATTCTGATCATCCCCCAACACGTGATCAACAGCCTCATTCATTTGCGCCATGGCAGAGGACCAATACGACCGTGCTTCGTCCATCTCTTGCTGTGTGATGCATGCTCTCTGTTCTTCTGCCATGCGCTGATTCGCATACTCGTACTGAACAGCCATCTGGCTTTCCCTGTCTTCATGAGTGTTTGAAGGCAGTTCCGCCACACTGACTTCATCACTAGCACCTTCGACGAAACTCCACGGCCGAGATGCTGGTACGCCTACTGGGTGTAGTGGAGAATCTGCGACGGTGCTGGAAGGTGAGCTGGCTGCCGTGTTGTTGGCATTGTTGTCGTTGACGGTGTAGATACCACCACACGCCGTGTACGTCGACGAACCCACCTTCTCTGTTTCTCCTTGTTCCTGATCCTGCCCTTGCTCTTCCACTAACCCCTGTTCTTTCCTCTCAAAATGACCATCGAACCTCCGCGTCCTCATACCATCATCCCTCTCACACTCATCCCTGCCCATAGCACCGACCTCCCCACTCTCATACTTCTGAACTCGATCTGACAGCAAGGGACTGAGGCGGTGACTTTTCAACGGAAGAACAGGTGGGCTGGACGCCATTTCCGGGCTAGAACTTGAAAGCATAGATTTTAGTAGGCGTGTAGGTGTGGATGCTACTCGACATTTGAAAGATGAGAAGAGAGGGGGAGGTGAGGAGGGGGGTGTTGTGGAAATGCGGTTGTGGCTTTTGTTGGGGGTAGGGCTATCCGAACCACCAAAGGAACACAAGGATGAAGAGCGAAATGAAGAGATGGGAGAGGAGGTGTAGGGATTACGTGTTTGTTCCGGGGGGTGTAGGTTCTGTGGGCTTGGGGGAGTGTGGTACATGATTGCGATGTTTCTTCCAAGGATGGAATAAGACGAGAAAAGAGGTGAAGAAGAGAACAAAACTCAGAGGGACGAAGCAGCTGTTTTATGCTACCTGTTGTACACATTTTTCTTGGTTTCCCAATACCTTACCCCTCTCCTCGGCCATACAGATGACTGCAGCTGTGATGTGTAGTCTGGCTCTAAGGGTGGCTCAGGGTCTAGATGATACCATTGCTCTTCTCTTGCATCTGATGAACGGACGGTATGGAAGGATATATGTGTCACCCATTGCATGTTATATATGTGAGAAGGAATTGGCTGGCTAGTCGTTCCGAATCTTTTGCTAGGCTTCATATTGCCGTGTGGAGATCGGGTAGGGCCAAAAGAATGGGAAATTCTCAAGAATCAAGCGAGGTACAATGTCCATCTTCATGTCCTTTGTGATTGACGTTGACAGTATATTGGAAAATCCATTCTCCACGCAAAAATCAGTTCATGATGGCTGAACGAAAAAGGGGGGTGCGTGCCAGTTGTGCATATCCTCCATACCGCGTTCCAAGGTCGGTAGCGGGGAAAGCAGAGGCAGAGTACAGCACGTTCAGTACCGGTACCGTGCTAGTCAGGTCCGACGATACCCGCTGACATTGCTGGTACCGATGCCAGTGCCGATGCAGGTTCACGCAGCTGAACAAGCTATCCATGGATGTACTCGGTTGCCCAAAGGAGGGAGGTGGAAAGACAGGCATCTACGCTTTTTGCTTGCACATCAATATATGCACTAGACTTCATTCGCTGCTCTGCAAGCGTGGCTGCATGAAGTGGTATATAATTTGAGCGCTGATAACAACCACACTAGTTCACAGTTCACCAAAAGTCCCAGATTTCGTATTTCGCAAATCCTATCCTGATAGAATATCCGTTTTCCACATTTTCCTCCCAAACCCTTCATTCGTCCCTGCCCCTATCTCGATTCTTCCACCCACGCCAAACCCAAGCCTGGGTATATATTCAAGAAGAGGAAAAGGAATAAAATCGTAAATCTCGTTACCGCTCATGATGCCAGTTGCCAATAAACACCGCAAACCTTGTGTGAAAGGTAGCTCGAAGCCTGTGGAAAAAGTGAAAAGAAAGTTTGTACACTGCGCATGCTTCTGCCTGCTGCCCCTCCTCTGTCTAGTAGTTTGCACCATGCTCCTCCTTGGGTTTATACATGATAGTCGTCAAGAACTAGGTCTTATTAGCACACATGCCCGTGGTCGCATATCAATCCAACGTACCTTTTGTTTGTACCTTGTCGTCGCACTGGTTGCTAAGATGTTGTCCTTGATACTGCTCGTCGCCAGATGGTTCAGGACGGTGTGGTTCGGATGAATCAGCACGCTGCTGTCGTCCTTCATGGGCGTCGTGCCGTTCAAGATACTTTTGCCGAGGAAGCCGGGCAACGACGGGGGAGTAGGCAGGTTGCTCGTCATGGCGTTTGCACGAGCGTAGCGCGAGGATTCTTCGGGAGCATCAAGGTCGATGAGGTAGCGAGGAATATTCTGATGGTACTTCTTGGTTGGCTCAGGCTTGACAGGCTTGGCGGGTTCGGGGAGGGGAGCTTTAATGGTAGGTTGGACTTGGGGTGCTGGAGGGGGAGCCTGGGGCGGGTACATGGCAGCGTCGCGTTCTTGTACGGGTGTCGGAACGTCAAGCGTGTTGGCCGTGTCCTTGGATGGGCTGGTAGCGAGGGCTGGTGGCTCAGGATACGGGACTTCGATATAGTTGACGAGTATGTTTGTGTAGTCGACTGCCGTGGGCAGCTTGTCGCTCGTCCGCATGTCGTTGTCGACGAGAAAGGTGAGATGGTGGGTGCCTGGGGTGACGGAGACGTAGGCAGAAAGGGCATCTGGGTTCTTGCTGGGACCACTACAAGTTCAGACATGTCAGTATCGGTGTGCAGTGTAACGGTGGGCAGGAGAAAGATGCGCAATGCGTCGAGGATCTAGGTTCAAAGGCTGTGACCCAATATCAAGCACGTCGAGTTGATTAACGAGGTCTCAGCCAGAGTGGAGCGGATGGACAGCCACACGGGTATATGCAGGACAGGCCATGCGCTGAGACAGGGAGCAGACCAATGAACTTACTTTCGATGTAGCTTGTACTTGCGATTCCAGCCTGCAAAAGTACCCGTGACATATACACGCTCGCCAGGACCTTCCCACTCGATTAGGGTGGGCACAGTTGGGCGGCCGGTGCTGGGTGTCTTGAACTCTTCCCCGAGGTCATCGTCGTCGGCGGTGGTGGTGCTGAGCATCGAGGAGCGGCGTGGCAGCATGCCCTCGGCGTCGCTGTCCTGGATGGGGCTCCATATCTCCTGGGCCGAGATGATGGGCGATCCGGGCGTGTGCACCTCCTCCTCAATAGGCAGCGGCAGGCGGGGCGGGCGGCTGAACTGCGACGAGGGAATGTAGTCCTGCGAGGCATCGGCGGGATCTATCGAGGACAGCAGCCGCTCGGGCAGCTCGTCGCGCAGACCTTGGGGCACGTCGACGGGCTGCGTTGGCGCATCAATGGGCGGCGAGGGCGAGGGCACCTGCTGAGCTTCTGGCTGAGGCTGGGGCGCAGGCTGGGGCGCAGGCGCAGGCTCAGGCTCAGACACGGGCTGCTGCACTGCTTGGGCGATGGGGGCACTGAAGGGAGTCGTGTTGCTGGTCGTCGACGGGCGCTGCGGCGGGGTGAGGTCGCGGGGGTTCTTTTCCCGCGGCGGCTCCTTGTTTTTGTTGTGGCTACTCTGCTCGTTGCCCATGGCGGCGTCGCTGGATGGGTTGTGATTGTTGTTGTAATGCTCCTGGGCGGCGCGCAGCTGGCTGGTGACTGCTCGGGTGCTAGTTCCCACCGTTTGCGCTCGTCCACGCGAGAGCGGGCGGGCCGACGTGGGATGGCTCTCAGCGTTCTCGAGGCTCACAGACGGGGCGGCGGGGGCTTTGGCGGTGCTCAACGCCTGGATTGACTCTCGCCTCCGCGCCGAGTGGAACTGGCTGTGCGGGGGGTGGTGGATGCGTTCGCGCTCTCGCTCTCGCTCATGGTGCGCATGCCCATGTGATGTTGTCACATTGTTGGCCGTGGGAGAGGCCGGCTTCGACGACGGTGACGTCGTCGACGAGGTCCGCGAGTGCTGGTTGCCCATGGATTCCACCTTGCGGCTCGGGGGAGGTGCTGCTGGCGGTGCGTGCAAATGAGGCCTGCTTCACTGAGGACATGACATGCATGGAGAAATGTAGCATAGACGTGGAGAGAGAGAGCTTACACCCGCACCCACACTGCCACTGAAGCTATCGCGCCCCGGTCTTGGGATAGCATGCAGCGACACACAGGGATCAACATTTCCATGGCTGCAGCTGCATCAATCGTCGGACCTCCTCCGCACCCGCCAATGCCGCCGCCTATCGTGGGGCTAGTAACCGCTTCGTGGGTGCACGCGTCTGTCTGAACCCCCAACGCGACACGCAACGAGAGCTGAGAGCTGCTTCTTTGCCAGCCTACGTCACCAACCATGAGTCCCGAGTAAGCACACGACCAACGCCAAACCATAGACTAGTCCCCCCTCTACACCATGGACGCCGCAACTCTCCTCTCCTTTGCTGCGCGTCTCTCAGCCCAACTGGTCCGTCTCACCTGGTGGCCCATCAGCAAATTTATCAATGCCTGCATCATCCTCCTGCTGCCCTTTTACAATCTCACCACCTTCATTCTGCTTCCATTCATCCACCTCGCCCACGCCATCATCGCCATTCTATCCACCCCCTTCAGAGTCAAGTGGCTGGAGCAGATAGAGGTGAGCCATTATTTATTTGTCAATCTCAACACAGAGCTGCTAACTAAGTCATTGCAGACATTGTACGTCTTTCTCGGCACAGCTGGCCTCGTCGGGTGCCTCACCGGCGCCACTGTATTCGTCATCTTCAGGTTCCTGTCATCAACTCTCCATCTCGATGCGCCAATTGTGCCCGAAGAGCCCGACATGGGAAGAACTGCCGCTGAATATCGTGCCGCACGCCGTGTGAGAAAGGAGCAGATGATCGACGATTCACCGAGCACCACCCCAATTGTCTTGAAACGAGTCCCTGGGCCCCGCAGACGGGGATTGCTTTCGCAAGCAATCATCGAAGAGGAGGATTCAGACTTCTTTTGAGCCTTTCAATGTGCTTGGCTGCTATTATTAGGTCCAGTTGCATCGGCCACCAAGGTAGAGTGTCCGGAATCGCTCCAATGCAATGCCTCGGTTTGATTGCTAGGCCTCTGAAAGCAAAGTGTCGTTGTGTGCTCCTCAACAAGATTAGACTTGCTAGTATCCCCTTGACCCTTCTCGTCTTCCGTGTCAATCTTGTGTAGCTCCAAGGAAATGTCCGACAGAAAAGAGAGCTTCCTCCGCATCGCTGGCGTCGCTGGCTGTCTGGGCTGTGGGGGTGGCCGATGTTCCTTCTGCCGTAATTGCGGCCTGTTGCACGTCAGCCTCATCAGATCGTCCCGGTAGCGCCGCGTATTGACCGCGGCAACATTCTTGCGCCTTGACCCGGTGACACTCACGTTGTAGAAACGCTTTCCTTCTCATCGCTACCAGCTAGAGTGAGCCAGTGAAAGACGACCGCAGCCCATGTAACTAGCGTTCTCCATCAGCATATGCCAATGGCTTGTAGTAGCGAACATACCGTCCAAAGTACAAATGGTGAGGCAGACCTAGAAAAAAGCAGACATTAGTGTCCTTCCAGTTCCTCAGAAATATCCGACTGACGAAAGCCAATTCTTTTCCAACAAGAATAGTAAGAGCCGCGAGATTTCCAGCTGTTGGGACAATGACGAGCACGCATCCAATGAGCGTCTTCCAGAGTAACTTTTCAAACTTGCGTGCCATGACTTGGTTAGAACGTTGAAGGTCGAAGGTAGCTTTTTGCTTTGCAGTGCGACTCAAGATGCCTATTCCCTGTGCTACTCGAGATGCAAAACCTGCACCGAATGCCTCGCTGTCTTTGACCAAAGGGCTTAGGAGGTAGATAAATACGAGTGTGAGATAGAGGTTGATGACTATGTCGCATGTTAAGAGTGGGATGACGGCGTATCGTTGTAGTCCAATTCGGCAGCGTCCGTCTACGCTAGAAAGCCAATACACAGGTGAGATGAAACCAGTAAGACAGATGGCGCCAAGACTGATAACAATGGCAATTGTACTGAGCAGCCAGAAGACATCATGCTTCCGCGACAGGTGGGACGCTCGCATGGTGTGCACTCTTTCAACGAGGAACAAGTACCTGTAGGTGACATGGTAAATTGGTACTCGCAGATAAAGTATCCGCGGAGCTTACATGGCCACCTTACTACTCGCATAGAAGGCGATGCAAATTCTCATCGAAGCCTGACAGCTTCCGTTGTCGTTGAGACCGAGGCCATTGTGGACAATGGCAGAGGCGAAAACGAATCCAATCGAAAGGATGTAGAGGACCAAGACGTACACCTGTGTCAGGGTTATGCGGTGGAGCGTGTTTCGATCAACCAAACGGACGCGATGTCCTGATAGCATTAGTTGTAGTGCTATCTTTTATTGCACACATATAAGTAATGGGGTACCAAGTAGTCCGGACAATAGACAGATACAGAACTTGGAAGTCACTACGAAAGATGTCCGTGGCCCAACTGGCTCGCCGTATACAACGGGACTTTGTGCGGACAAGGCCGGCTCATCGAAGGGAAGTGGTGTTGAAGATACGGCTGTTGCAAGTAGTTGCCAAACCCCGAGCATTGTGGTGAGAAGGTGACGCAAGACGTGTGGATGCTAGGTAGGGTAGGTAAACATAATTCGTAGGTTTCAGGACATGGTAGTGGCGCTTTGAGCGAAGAGGTTCAGATGTCATCACGTCGGCCGCACATTGCTGTTAAGATGCTGTGTACCGCCATCAAGTGGGAAGGGGCGTACAGGTGGCTTGAACATTGCTTCCTTCACATTTACATGGCTTGTCGTTTTGTCGGATCATGCCTTCCTGTTTAGCGACTGGTTCACCCGTACTACATGTACCTCTCGCTCCCCGTGACCATGGAATACGAGACGTAGATACAGTCAACTCTCTGTCAACCTTTACATGCGGTATATGCGGTGTCAGAGGTGATGGGATTATGTACAACCAAGCTACCGGGCTTGGTAGGAGTAAGTGTTTTTTGCCTTTGCTCTTTCCTCCGAAGCAACCCACCCAATGAATTTGGTGCCGAATAATCCGGATTCATGGTCTGAACATGGTCTAGACATGGTCCAGGGTCGACCCGTGGTTGTATGTAGTTTTAGTCTGGACTAACGGATAGTTAAATCGCCCACGGCCGAGCCAAGGGCATCTGGTAACGAGCACTGTACAGTGGCTCACTGACTGCTCGTACGTCATGCAGGACGGGCGGTAAAGGCTCATGGATGGGGTGCTGCTGGGCATGCCATGGCAAATGTCACGACAGGCGTTGAAAGCGATCAAGATGGTGTGGCGTGCTGCACCAAGTCGTCATAAGCGGGCTGGAAATAGCGCGACGGAGCCCGAAGTTGGACCTTGGTCCGGGTGAGGTGAGATGGGAGGAGCCGCGCATGTCCGGCAGTACTGTACATATACAGTATTCTTGTTCAATTCAGCATCTTGAAGGAGAGGAGGATGAAGATTAACGAGGCCGTGGATGTGTTTGAATCTCGCAATCTCTTCTGCATGCTGCGTGCTGCGGCTTGCATGTGAATCCTCCAAGGCCGTGAAAGCCCTGTACTGGTGTGGAGTTGCCGATCTCGATACGCCGCCGCCTACCACGTCTGCGGTCTGCGCCTGCCTAGTTGAACCCTTGTCCCTGATGTGGGCTAAGCGAGATTGGCGTTGAGCACTGCCTCGCTCTATCAGCGCGTGCCTTTCCTGCACTTTCGCTATCTTTCTTCGTACACCTCGTACCCGCTCCCGCCTACTGTACTTCCAGACGGTCCTTGATGATTCACAGAGGCTTTGACTTGTACCTTGTTTAATATTTCATTACTACTTCGCCCTCGCCTACTTCTGATTTCTTTCAGACCCGCGCCCGTGCACCGCCATCCCCGAGGAAAAGGAGGTCTGCCTCCAAACAACAGTCACGATGCGCAGAGGCGTCACCATATTTTTGCTGGTTACCATTGTTGTTCTCGGCTTCGCGGTACACAGCGTATGGACACTGCTCGGTCTACTAATCGCGACTGGCCGCGAAGATGCCATTCTCCGCGGGGAGCTCCCGGCGCCAAACTCGAGCGCAATCAATGAGAAGCCGCAGTTGATCCCCAAGATCATTCACCAAACGTATATCAACGAGAGCATACCCGCGCACTGGAAGAGCCCTCAACAGAGCTGCTTGGATCTACACCCGGACTACGAGTACAAGGTACGATACATAGAGGGGCGATAATCGGCCCCATGGCTAACAGAACATAGCTATGGACCGATAAGAAATCCCGCGAGTTTATTGCTACCGAGTATGTCCCGCCGTCCGTGAATGCGCACAGCAGACGCTGACGTTTGCAGATACCCATGGTTCCTCGAGACGTTTGACGGCTACCCGTATCCCATCCAGCGCGCCGACGCCATTCGATACTTTGTACTTCACCACTTTGGCGGAATCTACATTGATCTCGATGATGTATGCATCACGATCCCCGATATGACTGGTGCGCGACTAACATTTGTAGGGATGCAACCGTAGTCTCGATCCCCTCCTAGCCTACCCAGCCTGGGTCCGTCGCACACTTCCTACGGGTATCTCCAACGATGCCATGGGCGCAGTTCCCCGCCACCCTTTCTTCCTCAAGGCCATCGATTCACTTACCGACTACAACCGCCGCTGGCCACTGCCTTATATCACCGTTATGGCGTCGACAGGCCCCCTGTTCCTGAGTCTGATCTGGAGGCATTACAACAATGCTGGACCCCTTGATTACGAGCGTGTGCGCATCCTCTTCCCGGAAGAGTACAACAACCATCCGTGGAGTTTCTTTACCCACCACCTAGGAAACAGCTGGCACAAGACCGACGTCAAGGTCATCTTCTGGCTCGGCAGGCACTGGATGCTGGTCACGATTCTCGGTTTCGTCGTCGGCTTCACCATCCTCGGCATGCTGTACAAGTTCTTCGTCTTGAACAAGCGATCCACCGGACCTGGCTCCCCCAAGATGCGTTTTCTCAACCAAAGGATGCCATTCTACCGCCGCATAAGTCAAAAGAGCTTCGAGTTCGACGACCGCCACGAGGTCTAATGCGCCTCGTTTGGCGCACTGCATTTCTTGAGCGTTGTACCCTATCTGGCATTTCTTGGCGTTTGAGTGTTTCGGCCGCTCCGCATTTTCACTTCTATCGATACTATTGAAAGAGGACCATGTGCCTTGCTATGTTTGTTTAACTTATTTGGGGCATGAGCCGTGTCGGCTCTTTTGTTATTAAAAAGGCTGGACCACTGTCGTTGTAGAAAAGGAACTTTCGGGCATTTTCATAAAATGGCCAGACAGGCGCTGGACCACGGCTGCACCGTTGGCAAACCCGAGCATATTGCCATCAGGGCTTTATTGTACGTATCTAAACGAAGCGACACCGCTCGCGATAATATGAATATGAATAACATTGACCCACATTCTCACCTTTTCAGCGGTCAGCAATTTCGGTGCAGTCTAGCACTGATCAAAACATAGACGCTGGGCGATCAGGCACTGAGTTAGCGCCTACCGCGAAGGCGTGGAGATCAGATGCCTAGTGTGATGGGGTTCCTGGTTTAACTTCCGTAACACCTGGGCGACATAACATACGGGACAGCGACAGTGTAGGTAAATCTACGTATTGTATCTGTCGTTGACATGTCTGGCGCCTATAATTATTTGTGTATACTAGGGTGTCAAGTATATCATGTCACCCGGATGATAACTTAAAACCATGAAGCACAAGGCCTGGCTATGCGTCCAAAGACATAGTGTGGGCCGCAGCAACGAGTTGTCCAGTCAACCCTAAGGCGGCAATGACGAAGCCGCCACTTCTTCCGTCATCGCCTGGCCCTACCAGAACAAGCAACCACGCAACTGCAGGGATCCGGATGTAGAGAAACAACGTTTGACTTAGGGCTCTAGTACGCCGGTATCCGTCCAGAACCCACATCGTCATCCTCCAAATCTTGCCTTTTGTTTTCATTCACCTCCCCCGTTTCCATCTAAAGAAGCTCAAGTCGACATTACTTGCGCACTATCACCTTCTACCATGCCTGGAACAACTATACCCATGCGCGAAGGCGCCGAGCTCGTCGGCGAGCATGGCTATCGATACCTACTCGTGAAGGCTCTCGGTCAAGCCAACGTATGGGTTGCCGTCGATGCAGCTACGCAAGAGAAGATATTCATTGTTAAGCAACCCAGTGATGATGACGTCGGCTATGGATGGCCGCTTTTCCAACACGAAATGATCATGCATGAGCTGCTCAAGGGCATTCCCACAATCCGACAACAGGTCGACCGCATCCCACCGACCTCACGGGCTGATCCCCCACGGATTGTACTGGAAATTCTTCAGTCCACGCTGTGGGATGCGAGGAGGGAGCGCCAATTCAGCGACGTGGAACTCAAAGGCATTATGCGCTCTGCGTTGTCTGGATTGCGAGACGTACACGCAAGAGACTTGGTGTATGCTGGTATGTCATTCAGATACCGGCCCCTCCTGATGTTTGACTAACACGTTATTCTCTTAGACCTCAAAATGCAAAACATCCTCCTCGACGGCTTCTCCCACACACCCTCCTCTTCTGCCACAGTGTCAAACCCTCAAATCACCGCCAAACTAGGCGACCTAGGCATCGTCATGGAACCGGCAAAAGGCCTCGTTCAGCCCATCATCTACCGCGCTCCAGAAGTCTATTTCAGAAACGAAATCAGTTCCGCAGCGGACATCTGGTCTTGGGGCCTGATATACTGTCAGCTTTTGGAAGCTCAGGCCTCGTTCCATAAATATGGACTTTATGATGAGTTGCTGCAGGGAAGCAGCCAGATCCAAAAGGAACGCTCTGTTGAACGCGCTATTGCACATGATTTTGGTCTCGGCTCGCTCGACTACTACGACGGCTGCAGGCTTCCGTACCACGACCGATCACACCGTGAAGGTCAGCATTGGGATCGTCTGAAGGAAAAGGGTGTTCCTGACAAGGAAATCCAATTCCTGCGCTGGGTACTGAATCCGGTGCCTACTGATCGACCCACAGCGCAAGAAATCCTCGACGCGGGATGGTTCACGATGAATGAAAAGGAAACTGGACGTATTGCTGAGAACCTCAAAGTTCGGGTTGAAGAATCGAGGCGCAGGAACATTCACAGGAAGAATAGCGAACCGTTGTTGTCTTCAGTGTCAAGCCGGTATCAGTATTCAGGCAAGGGTGCTCAAGCACCTCCGCATATTGTTGATTCTACGGTTTTGCCTAGTACATCCATGACGGAAGAGAAGCATCAGCCTGTGCAGTTTCAGCCTGTTCAGTTCCAACCCGTGGCACCCAGACCAGCGGAACAGAGCCGCCCGATGGCATCCAGAGCAAGTACACATCGCCCCGCAGCAGGCAGTACATTCATGAACTATTCATCGTTTATGAAGTGATGACAGATATGGATAGCGTCGCGCTCTTGTACGTACCGGGAGAATCACTTGTTTGAATAGTGTACATAGCATTGTATCGATCGACGGTATAGCTGAAATCAGACTTTGAGTGAATATGGAAATTCAATATATATTGTCTGATGGTCTGGTTCCCTCAGGAAGTAGTTTGAGTTAAGTTGAGTATGTTCTAGTCAAACGGTGAGAATGGCAAATTGCAGTCTAGAGTTTTCACGAATCAATGTTTCTCTTATGCACTCCACACCATGATGAATGCACTAAGAGTTACTTCAAGATGCGTTGTAATCGATGAGAAGGATACAAAAACAAGACTCGCGGACTACGGACAGAACAATCGCCGCCGCCACCGTCGCCGCCTCAGCAAAAGACTGCACGACACATGCTATGCAGTCTCATTGCGTGCAAAGCATAACTTGACATTGCAATAGAAGTCGCAATGTACCCACAGCAACGTGGACGTGCTACCGTCATTCATACATGCCGTCTCCTCACCAAACCGTGGAAATGGCTTCCATCTGTGTCTCGTTTTAGGTACAACCAGCACTACATACATTGCATCACGTACCAAGAAACAACAAAGAAACAGCCCCGCCACTTAACCACCAACACGCGTAAAAAGCGCCGAATGCACCTGCAAAACTTCAGAATAGCAGAGAAAAACGTCTAGACGAAATAACATGGTGGTGTGAGATTGTGAAAATCCAATAAGAATAAAGATAAGAATTAAATAGACGTGATCATCACGCACCGCCCCATGCTTCGATCTGATTCGTCCAAACCCGTCCATCGGCTTGACACACGCCTTCCTTGCACATCTCTCTCTGCGGCTCCCTCCTTGCTGGAACACAACAACCAGCTTTCCGCCGACACCGCCGACCCGCCGCAACCACGCCATCTAGCCCAACCAACCCACTCCAACCCAGGACCAATTCCATCGCGAAAACTCGTCCACGCCCACCCTTTCCATCAATTTTGACGCGATAGAACGCTGCAGCAGGCGCGTGCGACACTTTTGATACCGGTTTCGACGTTATTGCGACGCGTTTCTGGTGTCGTGCTGCGGTGTTGCGCAACCGAGTTGGTTGGGTGTGCGGTGACTCACACACAACGCAGCCCCCTTCTTTCGCCGCCGCCCGCCGCCCGCTCTGCTTGCTTGCCTGGGGTGCGCGCTGCACTTGCGACAACCCACATCACGTGCACGACCAACCATGACGGCGCGTGCGACAGGACAGCGCTTTCGCCAGCGCAAATTATCTACTAAACAGAATTTGCCAGTTGTGCGCGAGCACGAGGTTGAGCAGCTTGCTGATGACGATGCCTCGCGCCACATTCCCAAAGTCGAGACGGGTGTTGAGAAGGGCGAGGAGATTGTAAGTTGCGCTAGCCTGCTTTTGGACACATACAATCGTCCAGAGTCCTTGTTCAATCCAACGCATGCAGATGCGATGCACGTCGTCGCCATGCCTTGCCTTGATCCGTCCTTTTCTTTTTCTTCTTACCTCTGGTCCCTCTTTTCACAGATACTAATGCCGTCTGTAGGAGCATCATTTACAGGCCGTCATCTCTGCCGCTCAGGCAGCAGCACAGGGCTCAACTGGTGGGAAGATAGCCCAGCTCTATATCCCAACCCCGGATGCTGTCGCAAGTAATCTGCAGTATGAAGATGTTTATCCAAAACGTTTCACTCAGCCTGCAACCTACATCCGGTTCTCGTCGACTGTTGAAGATACGTCCGGCTGTCCCTATTGCATGACCAGTGATGATGTCGCCTTTCTCAAGTCTTACAACCAGAAGCGGAGCAAGAACAATCAGTGCTCTGAAGACGAGTTCGAGGAAGTCGTCTACTTCTTTGAGGAGACGACAGCCACTAAGCAGCCTTATGCTGCTGTCGACAAGTCGCCTGTGCTTGCGTTTGAAGAGCTCGAGGCAGAGTTCGACGAGACTGTAAGCTTGTCGGCGCGTCGCCATGCGAGAGAGATATACCATCACTGGAAAAACCAGCGTTTACTCAAAGGCAATCGTCCACTGTTGCCATCGTTGAAGTTCGAGACGAACCTCGAGACCGATGATGCCGATCCATATGTCTGCTTCCGCCGTCGCGAGGTCCGCCAGGTCCGAAAAACGCGCGGGCGCGACGCTCAAGTGACCGAGAAGTTGAAGAAGCTGAGAAAGGAACTCGAGGAAGCAAGAATGCTAATGCAGCAAGTCAAGCGACGAGAAGCCATGATCAAAGACCAGCTTGCCACTGACAAGACCATCTTTGAACAGCGACATACTGTCAAGGAGCTCAAGCGGAAGCTTGGTATCAAGGGTGATGATGATGAGTTACTCATCACTCAAAAGGTATGTTGCCGTACTACACCTGTAACAGCTGTGGGGATTACTAACGTATCACAGCCCGCACCCAAACCAAAGAGAGCGGTTGATGTGGAGCGGCAACGCCAGACTTTGCCCGGTATGAAGCCAACGAGCACTCGTCCAGACGGGCGTCTTGTGGATGGCGATATTGTCTACCTCGAGGAGCAGCAAGCTAAGCGGACCGAGGCAATCGACAGCTTCATCGAAGATAACCTTGTCAAGCACCAGAAATGGAATGTTGGCTGGGTCGACGCAACATGGCGGCCCATCACCCCGCCCCTGGAACCAGCTGCCGCGAAGTCAGACTTCCGTACAGTGTTCACGGAGAGTCAGCTTCCCACACCTCCTGCATCTGTGTCTGAAGAGGAAGGCGCTGATGCAATGGCAGTGGTGCCGTTGAGCAAACAGCCCGACTCGCGGAGAATTGCGCGCATACGCTTCGCTACACCACCTGACGATGTACCATTTCAAGACCAGTCTCGCTACCGACGGAGAATAGGTCGAGGAGGGCGCATGATGATTGATCGTCGTGGTGTGAAGCGCCAGAAGACCGAACGAGTAGATGACCGTCTAGCAGACCGATGGAGATTTGCCGGTGATAGTAGCGAAGATGAACAGACGTATCCCGTTGACTGGACTGACACCCTGCACATCAGGTATCGCATGATGATTGAGCGCCAGGGTGAAAAGACTGCTGCGCAACAGCCCCCGGCAGCTTCAAATCGTCGGGCGATTGAGGGGCACAATCGGCCGGCGCCCGGTACGTATCACGCCGTAAACCAGCCTGCACCAACAGCTGCGAACGCCGGCAAGTAATCGCTGCGGTCCCAACTCTTCTTTTAGCCCTCTTTATTACAAGTTGTAGTGTGGTGGTGTTGGCCGACAAGTTATACCCTTTTCTTTTTTATTCGCACGGAAGGATCCAGAGATCTACAAAGTTATGTACAATAAGCTCGTATACTAGGGGAGGAGTGGCTAGTTGGGCGGCTAGCCGATGGCGTGTGTGGTCTGTTTAGAGCGCAAATTAGCAAGTCGAAATTTCAGAAACTTGAAATAGACGCTGGGTTGAGTGCTGCGAGGGCTCCGCCTGGCGAAAAAAAAAATCTTAAAACTTACTTGAATGACCTGCTCGTCCTCTGGAAGGAAAGCGCCGACGTGTGGCTATAGGTTGGCTGGTGGACAAGTTCCCCAGGATTCTTCTTCACGTTCGGTGCTTCTTTCCTGTACCACCCATCTCCACATCACCCTCCTCGTCTACTTCTCTTGACCTCTTCATTGTCGCCCCACTATCTCTTGCCATCTTTTCCGCCAGCGCTTCTTCCGCCTGAATCAAAAGCTTCTTCTCTCCAATGCGCACAGCCTTTGCCATGGCACACCGGCGCTGCTCAATCGTCGTCGTACCAACAGGAGGCACCTCCTCGTGCATCTGCAAGTCTTGCTCTAATGTAGTAGTATACTGCGCAATCCTCGCCTGCAATATCTTATGCAACATGCCTGCTCCTTGTCCCGTAATCTTCTCCGGTTTCGGCAACTTTCCCTTGCTCTTCAGACGCTCAAAGTCCTCATTGGAAAGGAGCATGCTCTCAACCAGAACGACAAGCTCAGGCGATAGGCTCTCCTGTAGTGTGAAAGGGGTGCTGGAAGCGATATCGTAGCCAGTATCCAGCACCTCTTGCTCATCTAGATACTCCAATCTGTTCTCTTGCCATACACCCTCATGTACAAGGATCTCGCTGACAAGGTCTGTGGGGATTTCGACCACATCGTACTGCGCATAGTTGTCCGTGACGTAGCCGTACCGCCGCAGCAAGTCGCTCCTCGGGAGAGGACCATAGTCGTTGAATATTTCTTCCCCTGCCTGGATGGGCTTTAGAGCCTTCATCTCAAGACAGTCCTTTTCGTAGAACAGTCGAGCGTTGCAGCGGTCGGCGTCAGCGTTCAGCATATCGGCCAAGGGAACCATGCCTTTGGGAAGGGCAGCGTCTTCTTCTTCCTCAGCGAAGCCCTCTTCGTCCACCTCTTTAGTAGGTGTAGCGGGCTCCACGTCGAACGCGTAGGCCATGATAAGGCTGCCCATTTTATGCATCAACTCGAGGTTCTCGAGACTGCGCATTTCCTTGGCTTTGTCCTTTGCTCTCTCATCTCCGCTAAACACTATGTCTGCAAACTCCTCGATCACTGGCAATAACTGCTCGAGAAAGGCTTCATCGGCGCTTTCTTTGCCGACCTTGCCGACCACAGCACTGGCCTGCAGCTCTGCTAGCTCGTCTTCGGTCCAGAACATGAGCGTGTTGAACTCGGTCGGCAAAACGGCGAAGTAGGGGGCCCAGTTTGACGCAGAACCGTTGTGATACTCATAGAGCATGACGAGGATAAGGGAGAGCCAAGGGCCGAGGAGCGAAAGGGTAGCGGCGGGGATCTCGGTGGAAAGGATACTGTTTTCCACGCTGAGAATAGAGGCGCGGGGTATACGAAAGAGAAGCTCGTGCTCGGCAATATCCTGACTGGCAACTGTGAATTATCAGCCATTTTTCTGAGGCTTGTTTGCAGTACGAGTGGCGGGGGGTGGGGTTTGACGTCTCTGCGAACGGGTGTGGAATCACTCACCAACGCCCCTCCCAGCATCTTTATTCCTCAGATCCTCCAATTTAATCTTTGGGCTGATTTCCGCACCAGATTGTCGCAGCCATGCTAGGAAGGCCTGGCTGGCGCTGTCGAAGTCAGCCATGCGCAGAGTGTTTTGTGTTTTGTGATGTAGGATGGAGGTTTGGTGGTGGATATTTCGGTGAATTATTATTTAGCGGTTGGGAACCGAGGCTGCGCTTGTGGTCCGAGCGGAGTGATAGTTATGTGCCGGGGTGAAGACACCGTACTTTCTACGGGGAGTGTTCGAGAGAGATGGTGGATCCCTTAAATAAACAGCTCGAGAATACGCGATAATGAGTTTTGGTTCAGGGCGGAGCAGGTAGCTCGTCTTGTGCGAAGTGCGACAATGTGGTTAGATGGACGCAGACTCACGTCGATGACGTCTTACTTCGAGACTCTTATGCAGTCGTTTCAAACAATATCCCATCTAACAACAGCATCTGTATGACCGCAAGAATAGCTTCAGTCATGCAGACACGACCCTCTAGTCGACTGATTGCAGTTGCCAAGCGTGATGGCTGCAGCCCTATGATGCATGTCAGATCCTTATCGCGACGATAACATTTTCCAACGTCACCCCGCATCGCTGCACGCGACACCCTCAATTGCATGTCGCAGAAGCAGCCGCCATGATTGCCATAGGACTTGAAGGAAGTGCCAACAAGATAGGCGTTGGCGTGATATCGCATCCGGGGCCGAACAAGCCGCCCATCATCCTCGCGAATTTACGGCACACGTATATTTCCCCCGCTGGAGAGGGTTTCTTGCCAAAGGATACTGCCATACATCACCGAGCATGGGTCGTGAGACTAATCAAACAGGCTGTGAAGCAAGCCGGTGTCAAGATTGAGGAAATTGATTGTATCTGCTACACCAAGGGGCCAGGAATGGGTGCGCCACTCCAGAGCGTTGCGTTGGCGGCAAGAACTATCGCCTTACTATGGGGGAAACCAATGGTTGGCGTGAATCATTGCGTTGGGCGTCAGTATAACTGGTCATTTGATATAGAAGAAAAAGCTGAATGATGATAGACATCGAGATGGGTCGCTCAATAACGCGCGCCGATAACCCCGTTGTCCTCTACGTGTCCGGTGGAAACACACAAGTCATCGCCTACTCCGCTCAGCGCTATCGTATATTCGGCGAGACGTTGGATATTGCCATAGGAAACTGCATAGATCGATTTGCTCGCACACTCATGATACCCAACGACCCCTTTCCGGGATACAACGTTGAGCAACTGGCTAAAAAAGGGAAAAACCTTGTTGATCTACCATATGGAGTGAAGGGCATGGATGCCAGCTTCTCGGGTATATTGGCTGCTGCGGACCTCCTTGCACGCGGATTGGACGAATCACTGCCGGATGCCAAACGACTGAAGACTGAAGACGGCGAGCTAGTGACAAGAGAGGATATGTGTTTTTCTCTGCAAGAGACCATTTTCGCCATGTTGGTGGAAATCACAGAGCGCGCCATGGCGCACGTTGGATCCCAACAAGTGTTGGTTGTGGGTGGTGTAGGTTCAAACATGCGATTACAGCAGATGATGGGAATGATGGCAAGGGACAGGGGTGGCAATGTGTTTGCGACTGACGAGATGTTCTGTATTGACAACGGCATCATGATTGCGCACGCAGGTCTGTTGGAGTATGGAACAGGCATCAAGACTGAGCTGAAAGATACCACATGCACGCAGCGTTTCAGAACGGATGAGGTCTTTGTTGGGTGGAGGACTGACTGAGGTACGCTTTCTTTCAATATGATACCCAGGCTGAGATTCCAATCACCTTTTTTTAATCGTTATCAATTCTTAGCGTATGCAGTGAGAGAACCTGCGCTCGAGCTCTTCCCATGTGCTTGAACATTGCGCACAGACTCATTCTACATATGTATGACCACACACTTTGCGCCCTCTTGTCCTGCTCTATAGTTCATATCGAACCACTAAAGATTTCCAGCTGTAAACGCATCAAGAGTGTTCACAACATTTCGGAAGAGCCCAGTTTATCAAATTCGCCTTGCGCCCAGGAACGCCGTCGACTCGGGAACCATCCACTGAATTGAATACTACGACCATGGTTGGCAACCGAAAGCACAGAATGGAGATGTTCGCCCCTGTTATGTCTTCCAAGTCCGTTGCTGCCACCATATCTATGCGCGCTTCTCCCACTCGTCACGTAAGTCCCTCTAGACATGTTTACCGTCAACCCACGAGAGGTTCGATACTAATCAGGATAAAAGACATGGAGAGTGCCCATAAACATGCGAATTGATGTCTGAAAAAAGCGCAATGTGGGTTGTAAGACTTACCTGTAACGAGCAATACGCAAAAGAGGTTGCGGCGCGAAAGGTTGCTGAAGCGCGCGCCGATGCAGTTGATGTCGAGAACTCGAAGCTACTTACGATGATCGATCGTCAAACCGGTACTATCACAGAGCTGCAGAACGAACTCAGCAAGGCCATCGAATCTCTCGAGACGCTTCGTGAGTAGCACCTCACTATTCGTGGCAGCCCGTACACACAACGATGTAACAGAAAAACAGTTTCACTTGCCCGATTAATATACGTGATATCCGCTGAACGATCACATGAACGCATTATGGACCTAGGGAGTGTATAGGATTTCCGGGCATGCGGCGCTTAAGGAAGGAATACTCATAGTAGCCCAAAACCATTTGTCTGCATCCGCACGATAATCTTTACATCATGACAATTGTCTATCTACTAAGAAAGATAGTTAATGGTGAGCCAGTGGTTATTTACCTCTAGGGCGATGCGAAAGTCATCACTGCTATAAGCAAATAGTGGACGAGCTTTTAGAGGTCTATTATCGGAAAACGAAACTCTTAATGTATGACTAGTGTATTAGGCAGGTCCCTACTATTCTAGCTCTCCCTTCGATTATGAGAGGTGTTTTACTAGGCAACTGTGTTAGGTACATCGAGCTTTTCGATCCATCTAACTACACCCACTTGGATATGCCGGAGACTCCTCTAAATAGAATGCTTGCTATTGACCGGTACAAAGTGCCAAAATATGCTATAGAGCTCTGTTGTGATTTGTCTGGTCTACTAGAAACCGTCAACGACTGTTGCAAAATTCATATACGTTTCACAATATTAGTTGAATCCGCCGAAAGAGATGTCTGCCACTGTATGCTTAACGTATGCCCAGTCTGTTTCGACTAATGCCCAAGCTCCTCCAGCGAGGCAGTGTGATAAACTTTGGTAACGGCCCGTTGATGTCTACCGTGAATCCAACTGCTCTATGTAGGGTTTTTGGTTAACTAATTGGAGATTGTGCTGTAGTAAGTAGAATGAGTGCTATGAGATTGATAAGAGTAGTTATATCCAGCTAACTTATTCTTAGGCGCAAGGTTACTGTGAGGGAAGGTCGAACTATCTAATAGGCATTTCTGATGCGAGGTGGGTGATGTCGACGCTGTCGCCATCAGCAGAGCCGAAAAAGCATAATTGCCGAGGTAGGAAGGCACTACCTAACCCACGACACGTCGTCGATTCTGAGCACATTGCCAGAAGTTCGCAGTCCTTCTATGCTATCTTTACAAATTCGCGTACAATTTAATATTTTCTTACAAATTGGAATCAGCTGAGTAAGAGGCTTGGATGACCTGGCGCACAGTGGAGAACGCCTGGACGGCGTACAGTACATGAGCCTCGACTAGGACGGATTGGTCGCTAGAGGCTGCGGGTCCCAACAGCCGGCATTTTGCTAATGCATCGCTTGCGCCCTGTTGGTAAAGCTTGGTGGAGGCCTACGCTGACGTTGCTGGACGCCTGGACGCCTCGAAACACTTAAAGACGCGATGATAGCCTTGGGAAATGTCAATTAGCTTTGTGTCAATATAATGTTGTGCTTTCACACCCCGTTGCTGCTTGTTGCAGCAGCCAATGCGGTCATTGCGGCTTCGAGTGATGGATGCGGCAAGCCACTACCCGACAAGGTTCATCTTGATGAGTCTGTAAACCTTTCACTGGAGAGCGACAGCGGTATCACGCCTCGGAAATATCGCCTGCACATCCCCGCATCCTATGATACCAGCAGTCCAGTGCCGCTTATCTTGTCCTTCCATGGCCGCGGCAAAGATGCCGAATACCAGGAGGCTCTAAGTCAGTTCTCTAATGCGACTTATGGATTCCAGGGAATTTCCGTATACCCTGAGGGGATACCGGTGAGCAGCCATTAGTTGAAACGAATATGATGCCACACAGTACTAACATCTCAGAACACGAAAGGAACGCAGCAATGGCAAGGCGACCCTGACGCGCCTGCTTCCATCAATGACGTCACCTTTACCCTGGAGCTTCTTGACCACATCCAATCTAGGTACTGTATCGATACCTCGCGCATCTATGCAACTGGAAAGTCGAATGGTGGGGGATTTACCGGCGTCTTGGCTTGCGATGCTACAGCGACGACGCGCATTGCAGCCTTTGCGCCAGTATCCGGCGCCTTCTACCTCGATGCCAACCAACAACCCATGCCTTGCAACCCCAGCCGAAAGCCAATACCACTAATCGACTTCCACGGCTGGCACGATAAAACCATCCCCTACGGTGGCGGGATCAACACTCGGGGCAATGCAAATTCCACAAGTATCGTTGCTTACATGGATGATTGGGCAAAGCGTGATGGTTTCGAGGTTGCGGCGAATACCACGTCGTATCTTTGCAGCGGAAACATGAGGGTCACGAGGTATAGTTGGGATGATGTGGTAATTCATTACAACTACACGAATCTGGAGCATGACTGGCCAAGCTCTTTTCCCAACGGCGACACTAAGAATTTGTTAACCTGTAAGGAGGCTGAGGCGACATCTATTATTCTGGAATGGTTCACAAAATGGACGTTGTGAATGTAAGAAGCATTTGGTAGTAATCGCTATCAATTGCTGTTGCTCGGCCATTGCAATAGCAATTTATTTTTATTTTAGGCTCTTAATTCGTCATATTCTTTCTACAACCTTCTCGCGCTGGTAACGTGAGGTGGAGAACAGTGGCGGTAATCTGTCGCCGTTCCTAGGCAACACCGTTTGCACGTGTGAGGTAAACACTGGACCCTGAATATACATCTCTGTGGACGCATAGATGATCTAAAACATAACCGCCCAATTCTTCATCTGACATCAACGACAGTCTTACAGAGAGAATGACTTCACCGGTGCACCCAGGGTATCGGCAGGCCATGGCGTGGACGCCTACGCTCCAATCATATGAAGAGTACCTGCAAACTTCGGCAGCCTACTACACAACCTACCGAGGCCTTATCCGCAACCAAGATGGGTCGTTTGGCGGGTTCATCCGCAATCCTCAGCCAGTGCACATGATAGGTGGATACTGGATTTTTCGATACAAGAAAGACGAGCAACGCGCCCATGCACGCGGCATTTGGGAACCGGAACAGATCCTGATGGAAACCGAGCTAAGCCAGTCAAACTACGAGGACATTGAAATCAGGTGGATGAGAGGATACAACGACCCAAACGCCATCATGGCACTCGCCGGCACCGCATCATGGCACTTGGGCGCCATTAGTGAGATACGTCATCTTCTCGGTTGGCCCATGTCGTCCCGAGACCATACCCCCATCTATCCTAGTGGTACAGATGCGCGACTGAAGCGCTACTGGGATGAGAAGTATGCCTTGCTTCATCCGCAGCTTCTTGTTGCGCCGACACCCATCACGCCGGCGCTTCCTGCAAATAGCTCGGCCCCGGAGTTCCCTCAAACTGCCATATCCACTGGCTTCCCCAAATCAGTGCCGACGCATGAGCCGGAAGCCGCAAACCATACCGCAACAAGTTCACCACTTGCTTTGGAGGGAGAAGCTAGTAGAACTCTGTCTCCCACTACCTCAACCTCCAGAAGCGGGCCAGATGATCAGAGTTGTTACCACCAGCCAACTACACACCGAGCTGCCTGGCATGATCAAGTGACTCCCAATGGGATCCGAGAATCAGTGCGACAAATCTCACCAGCGGATGTTCCTGAGCAGATTGAGTACGAGGATGATTGGGAAACAGATTCTTCGGGCACGTACATTGAACGCGAGACGGATGCTCATACGGGGCCAGATGTGCTTGCCGGTGTGCATCCTTCTCTGTGTGAGGGTACTCGTACAAATGCGGATGCTTCTGACTCCACGCACCTTCTCACTGAATTCGATGCTCCTACTAACGTGGAAGGTCCGACCAGCGTGAATGCACCTACCCACCAAGACGTTCCTTCCGATACAGATTTACCTTTCAACGCGACTGCTACTACTGATGCGGAAGCTATTGCCAATGACGCGCATACCGAGGTGGAAGCCCACGTCCACGCGAATGTTTCTGACACGGGTATTGTCTCTACCAACACGAGCATTGTCACAACTGCAGCTGCTTCTGAAGATTCCACGCCCCCTCCCGACACAAAAGTACCTATGAATGCACAAGTCTGCATTCACGCAATGGCCCCCACCGACGCAAATATCTCGTCCCATGCGCATGTTCCTACCAGCGCTAAACCTGTTACCGGCGCAAAGATCAATACCGACAATATTTCTGAGGAACTGCGTACCTACATGGAGGACTTGAAGAATCTACCATGCATGGACTGTGGGAAACTAGACAGTCATACAGTAGACTGTCACCTTGGGAGTAAGTACCTACCTATGCACCTATCTGTCTCACGTCGTTAACATCATCACGACCTCAAACCAAAAGACAACCCCACAATACTCGACTACCGCGTCTTGGCGGATGCTGTTGAGCGTTTTGATCCTGGTCCTTGGAAGGCACATTTTGATCCATTCCCCGCGAGGGAACCGGAGGATACGGCGACGCAGATACGAGGAATGGCGGACATCATACGGAATGAGGACAGCTACAGAGACAACGTCGAGCTTCATCATCTGCCAGATCATTTGATGATCATTCTCTGGGCATTTACAGTCTCGGGCCAGGTCATCGAGGAATAAGCTGCTTATGTGGACATGTTCAATTGCCTGGGGACGCTAGGCGATGGCTTATCAACTGAAATATAGTCAGGGGCCAGTGAAAAGCTTCAAGAGGATTCATATGAAGCTTCTACGATTGTAACATAGTCAGAGACTCCCTTGCGTCATCAATAAAATCCTACTTGCAAGCGTTTACAATTATTCCTCTCACTGTGGACATCCCGTGAGTTAGCTTTCACTGAGCGCCGCGCAATGTGACTGCATCTTTCGGCCCTCTTCAAAGTACAGCTAAACGCCGAGTATAAAATGCCTCAGTCGAGCTGAATGTGCAGTGATAATATCTCGGTATCCTTGTTATATTAGATTGGCGTTGCTAACCCCCCACTTCGTCCTATTTGGGTCATCTGCCGAGGTAAAGCATCACAACACGTCACGGTGGACTGAACATTTAGCAAAGATCGACCTGCCTTCAGTCAATGCTCCTTTCTCGGCAGCTTCGTCGGCCGAAGCAGAGTAATGCAAATGTCTTGTTAGGTATAGAGCACCCTTATTGCTTGAAAATTGGGTCGATACAGTCGACCCGGAGCACCTAAAACTACCACACGCAAAGACTCCAGAACAATTCATCGACGCAGAATATTCGAAATTGAAGAGGACCCCTAGCCTGAAAGATGGACCGGTCTGTAATTCAACACAAGCTGGATGTCGCGCGTCTTAGCGTGTTGTCGGATGGTTACGGGACCTAGACTATTTCCAAGTCGTGCTATCTTATATCCCGTCTCGAAGTACTTATACTGTATTATCTAGCTGTGATTTACATTCGAGGTTATACTATCGAAAATGACAGACTTCGAGACCAATATTCAGAACGCGGTTACCGCACATGAAATTCCTGGCTGTGCCCTTGCAGCGACCAATCGAAATGGTGAACATTACATCTTATTGCTACTTTAACAAAAGACTAACGGAAACTATTAGGCTCTTTCAACTACACTAAGACCTTTGGCTCAACCAGCATGAAACCATCCAATGCCAAATCTATACAGCTCAACACTGTCATGTGGATCGCATCCTGCACCAAACTCATGACAGCCATTTGCGCTATGCAACTTGTAGAGCGCGGCCAGCTGCGTCTAGACGACCCCGTATACGACATCATCCCGGAGCTGCGCTCCAGGACCATAATCATAGGTCTCACGGACGCCCAAGTCCCCATCGAAAAGCCACACAAGCAGGCCATCACACTGCGCAACCTGCTCTCTCACTCCAGCGGTCTTACTTACGACCACATCCCCCATCCGAAAATAATGGCCTGGATTAAACACCACAACACCACACCCAGTCTCAGCGGCAAGCTCCTCGAGCGCTTCATACACCCGCTTGTTTTCGAGCCCGGTGAGGGATGGACATACGGACCTGGCATCGATTATGTCGGTCTAATGGTTGAGCGCGTGACCAAGATGCCACTGGAAGCATACATGAGAAAAAACCTTTGGGAGCCGCTGGGAATCCGCGATATGACATTCTTCCTCTCTTCGCGGCCAGATATGAAGGCCCGCTTGGCAGACATGTCCCGTCGCAGCGAGGACGGGAAGGTCGTGCATACAGATGAGATGATGCCGTATCTAGACGAGAAGGGCAATGAGATGGAGAATTGTATGGGTGGACATGGGGTTCTTGCGACGCCGGAGGAGTATATCAAGGTGCTTAGGGCGGTGCTGACATGTGGCGATGGGGGCGAACAAGACGTAATCCTGAAGAAAGAGTCGATTGAGGAATTCCTGAAACCGCAGCTGAGCGAGGCGAGTAAGAAGGAGATTAATTCCCTCTTGAAGAATGATCTGGTATGTGGTTTCCTAGATCTTGTGTTCGTTCAACCGTCCACTGACACGCACATTTCAGGTCAACAACGCAATGGGCGCCACGCCGCAAGCCGCCACCAAGTCATGGAGTCTAGGCGGCCTCCTACTTCTCTCAGACAGCCCTGATGGGAAAAAAGCCGGCACTATGATCTGGGGCGGGTACCCGAATCTCAGATGGTTCGTGGACCGGACAAAGGGACTTACGGGCCTTTATGCATCGCAGTTGGTTCCTCCGGGTGATGCAAAGTCTGCGGCGATGAGTAGTTTGTACCAGGAGGGTATTTATGGGATGTGTTAATGAGAATGTGGATGTACAGAATAGAGAGGTAGCGTGTATGGCTATAGATGTACGGGTGGTTCGTGATCAGGTCTCAATGATGGAGAATAACGCACACAGAGATGCGCTTGTCGATGCACCAGGGTGAGAAGGTCATGGAGATGCGAGAATATGAGGCAAGATCCAGCAGACGCATCATGATCACCAGAAGGTAGAACAGTCACGCAAGATGCAGGCTTTGGGTTTTATGGGGTTTTATTCTATCGACATAGGAAAAAGAAGAAAGTAGACGCAAGTCCGTATCCGATCCGATCCGATGCTCGTACGATGATGTATGTGAGCTACGCCCATACGTATTGATGTGTAAGTTCGCGCAATCTGACACCCAGTCTGGCCATCCAGCAACCATACCATGAACTTCTGGTATTTATCCGTCGCAACCATGAAAGCAAGAAGCAAGAAGCAAGAAGCAAGAAGCAAGAAGCAAGAAGCAGGTAGTAAGCAAACAGTACGCAATAAGAAGCAAGCATGAAGCAAGTCGTAAGTAATGAGAAGTAAGATGCTCAGCACATTCACACCAGCTCTAGCGACGACGTCCCTGGGCACGCAGCATAGCATTGCGCTGGAGAGCCTCTTTCTGACGGGTAAGGCCATAGGCAGAAGGATCAGTAGGCACCTGAGGCGGGACAGTGATGACACCGTTGGGGCCAATGATACCGTTGCCACAAGGACCGCCGAGATTGCCGTGGAAACCCTTGCCGGACTTGGTTGAGGAACGACCCTGGGTACCAGTGGTAGTCTTGAGGATGAGGGGCTTGTTGATGTATTCACCAGCTATGATAGCGTCCACTGTGGCCTCCATTTCACAGACGTCAGAGCTGGGGTCGAAGTCTCCAGGCACGGTGAAGGTGTCAGAGCTCAAGTAGTTGGTATCGAGGGGTGTGAAGCTGTCAGGACTGGAGCTGTTGGTGCTAGACGCGGCGACGCTATCAGAACTGGAGTTGTTGGCGTCAGGCATGGTGGAGCTGCCAGAGCTCAAGTTTCTGGGATCGATGGTTGTGGGGCCTTCAGTGCCAAACACGTCGGCGCTGAGATTGTACGTGTAGTCGTTGGTGCCAGGCACGGTGAAACTGTTGGAGCTCAATTGGTCGGTGTCGAGCGGGGTGAAGCCTGTAATGCCAAACATGTCGGAGCTCAAGTTGTTTGCGTCGAGCGGGGTGAAGCCTGCAGTGCCAAAGACATCGAAGTTGAAGCTGTTGATGTAGCTGTTGGTGTAGTCGTTGGTGTAGTCGTTGTTGCTGAGGTTATCCACGTTGAAGCTACCAGCGTTGAGGTCGAAATTCACAGTGTTGGGCTCGAAGGCACCGAGGTTGATTCCATTGAAGCTGTTGGTGTTCACGGTGCCGCAGCTGGTGCTGTTGTTCAACGTTTCATGGTTAGAGAAGGCGTTGGAGAAGTTGGGGGTGGTCGATGACTGAGCTGTCAACTCGCCGGTGTTGCGAGAAGTATCAATGTTCTGAAAGCCACCGTTGATGGAGGAGGTATCTGCAGAAGTCAGATCGACAGCGTTGTTGTTGCCGATGATGTTGGCTTGGTAAGGACTGCTAGTGACGATGTTTGCAGCTGGACTTGAAGAAATCGCGGAGATGCGCTCTGGCATCATCTTGCTCTTGTTGGCGGCCAAAATGCGACGGGCGATGCCTTCAATGCGTTTCTTTTCTGCAGAAGGGTCATCCTTGGTGTCGACGCTGCGGCCTGCGGTGAGAAGATTGGCAGTACCTGTGTTGAACAGATCTTTGCCGATCCACTCATAGTCAGGGGGAGGCAGAAATGCGCCAGCCGCACCGATCTTGGCACCGGTCATGGGGTCGATGCCATGAACGAGTGGGTCGACTATTCTCCCCTTCTCAATCTTGGTGAGGTCGGTCCAGCGTTGTGCGAACAACTCTGTGATGGTTCGCTCCATCTTCTTGGTGACCTTTTTGGGCTTCACCACCTTGGTTGATGTCTTTGTGGGCTTCGTCACCCTGGCCGTTATCTTCTTGGGCTCTTTCGCCTTGGTGGCCCGCGGCTTACCGGCCTTCTTGGCGGCTACCACTGGGGCGGTAAAGACTGGTGCGGCAAAAGCTGGGGCAGCTGGCTCAGGTGGTAGTGCCAGGAGCACCTCAGTGCCCTTAGAGACGGCCAGTTCGAGGGCCTGAAACTGGGAGGCGGAGAGGATCTCACCTTCCTCTCCCGCACCAGCTGCGCGGTACTGGGGGCCCTGGGAGGTGGGTGGAGGGGCCCAGTCTCCACCCTGGATACCTCCAGGCTGACCCGTGACCATGTCGGTGGGCGAGTCCGACATGTCGATACCCGTGTCCTTGAAGTACGCGTCGTTGGAGAAGTCGCCCATCTCATAACCAGACAGCTCGCCTTGGTACTGAGAGTTCTCTCCGTTGGACATGTTGGAGGATGGAGATGTTTGGTAGTAGATTGTTAGGGGTAAAATTAGGTTCAAGTATGTAAATCTGTGGTGGATGAGAAGAAAGAGGAAATTGGGAATTTGCGACACCAAATGTCTCCTATGTGCGATAGCGGCTGGGCATTATCTAAGCAACTGAGAAGCTGGTGAGCCGCAAGCCTGTCTTGCATGGTTTAAATCGCTCAATTTCGCCTCCATCTTGGACGGTGCAGGTGGTGATTGCGGGACCTCAACTTCTTAATCGGGCAGTCCACGATGTGACGGTGGGTGCCTATTGGCCCAATCTCTCAAGACGATTAGCCTCTGCCTGGAATCAGGTGTCGATCTGCAGACATGAAGGGTTCGGCAGGCAAGTTTTGCGTTTCAGCTCACCTTCACTTATGGACCTGACTGGCTAGTGAGAGGGAAGAATCAGGCGACAATAGCAAAACGTTAATCCGGGGTTGGGAGATCGGCATTACGACCGGTTTTGGGGTCCTTTCGCGCAATGGCAGCGTGTGAGTGGGGCAAAAGTGAAGGAGGCTCAAGAAGCGTCCCGGCAAACAGTGGGCGCACAGCCGCCGCACAGCAGATCTGGGGACGAAGTTAGATAAGACAATCCTTGCAGGTAGCCGTCAGATAGATGCAGGGGTACCTTTGTCTCGCATTAGATATGTTTGACAGTGTTGGTTCTCATCGACTCGTGAGTGTGGCCGTGAGTGTGGCCGCGAATGCGGTGCAAAAGAAAGAGACAGCCATCACAACCACGACCACACTCCAGTGGAGGCAATCATGAGAAATTAGATGAGAATTGAATTTGCAGGAACTCTATTACATAGGCTTTTGTGTCTGGTCGTGTTGACAGCCTGCAGTCATTCACCGCTCTAGGGACCGTTTGGTCAGAGAGTGCACTGACGTCATCAGCAATTAGCACCACAAGTGCAGCAGCGCTCGGAAGCACAAACTGATACACGTTAGCGGAACTATGTGTTTCAGCTGTTTGAATCTTTCAGTCGTGTCGTGATGGCATATAGGGTATGCAGAGGTTGTTTGAGTTTGGAGGGAGCAAGTCAGTAGAAGAAAGACTATAAAGCATAGCAGGTTTGCACGATAGTCCAAGACCCATGAACAATATACGAGTAGACAATACATGCGCATCAAGGGGTTGCGTTCACAGCAGACTATAATACAATATCAATCGACGTTGGCCTGTCATACGCTAATCTATGCATGTCATCCATCTGCGGATCGCTAACCGCTGCCCCGAAGGATCTAGCTAAGAATTTCACATCGCCTGGCATCCTTCAGACGTTCCTCCATCAACACGTCGAATCTTGCATCCGCATCCTATTCCACATCTCCTGTTATTATCCTTCATTTCCCAATCTATACCGTGCGCCATGCGGCTTCAATAGACGCTGAAATTGCTGCCTGAGGCACGCGACAGCGTCCAGTGACCAGCATCCGGCATCTCCATCATTGCGTTTGTTTATGGTCTCCTGTTTTCTTCACACAATGCGATGATGCCATTGTAAGATCGCAGTTAAACACAGGCGCTGGCGCTGGCGCAACTCGGCGTGCTGCTCGTTGTGCCGCACGGGCCGCATAGGCAGAAGCGGCCTTGTTACTTGCAGGTTGGTGCGCACGTGCTAAGATGGCAGGGCTGCAGATGCGCCCGTTTGATACACCCATGGAAATCGGAATCCTCGAATTTGCAGCCAAGCTCGCAGCAAATAGCTTGGGTCGACTTGAAGATAATGGCAGGTGCATTGCGCGGTGCATATGTCAAACTCACGGACGGTTATCCGAGCCAGTGCTGCTTAGACCCGCGCTGGAACTGCCGTCTTTAATGCGCCTCAGAGCCTATTCTTCTGAGAGTGGCTCAACTGCTTTCCATAGTCAAAGCTTGCCCCTGGTTCAAAATGGCCGCCAACCAAGCGACCGCAAAGTCGCCAGCGCATTCTTGGTCGTCGACACCATGGTCTTGAACTTCGGATGGTAGACTGCTGAGGGAATAAAGGGGACAGAAAAACCCCAAGGCTAGCTTCGTCGCGCACCGGGTATGGCAGAAACTTCCGGTCACATACTTCAGGGTTCATAGGCAGCTCTGGTTCTATGAAATGCTTCTCGCCCTTCTCTGCTTTGAGGTCGGCAAACTCAGTGTGCAGGCGCTCGGTGGTTGGAACAGCCTCATCGCAGTCGGGGTTCACCAGTAACTCGTATTGTCGATGGCTTTTCGCACCTCTGCATCGCACTTGTCTTCGATGGCTATGCTACATTGACGGGTCTCCTCCCACATCCTCATCATCCTCGCGGATGCCTCGATCAGACCTTGGTTCTCTTACATCTTCTCCTTGGCCAGGTCTTGAGCTGCTTAACCACGTCACGGACCTGCATCTTGAGCAGCGACACCTTGTCCTCGAGGTCGGCGATTGTGTCTTGGGCGCTGTTTGCAGCGGGTCACGCTTCCAGTTCGGCTTCCCTGCGCATAGTGCAGTCGTTGACTGTGTTCTGTGGCGAGTCAAACAGATTCTCCCTCTGTTCCTGTAGTCGCCTCTGAATTCATAGTTTGGAAGGGTCCAAGTGTAAACGCGGGAAATACACATACTACCCAACCACGTTCTACAGACCAAAGACAAGCTCTTCAGATAGGTAAATCTTATCTGTTATTATAATGATTTCATAAGTCAAGGACAAATCCCGCCCAGCTTCCCCCCATAAATTGATGAGTCGGCACAGTTTTTTCTTTCTATCAAGTCGGCCAGAAAGTTGAATCCAGCCATACGTCCTCAACACGCAGTTTTTCGGAAAAGAAGACTGAAACAAGTCGTTCGATTGCCCTGGGGCCGTTCAGCTCCATGGGGAGGGCATTGCATGTTCGTGGTGTGAGGCGTTCTACTCAAGGTGCCTAAAGCGGAGTAGATCTGATCGTGCCTCGGTAACTTTGCGACGCGGAGGAGCTTACCCCAACCATTGCCGTCACTATGGACAGTTAGCCGCCCCATGTTTAGTTAAAGTACCCCAGACTTACTCTGCACACTTGCACTCCCTAAACCAATTCCCCCATTGTGCTAGTAAACATGTCTGTACCATACGACCGCGCCTACGACCTCCTCAGCAATAGCCAGGATGGCCATGTTTCGGCCTCACAGCGCATTCCCGCCATCGCACGGCCATTTGTCAGCGAACGAGCGGCAAAAACACTTGATATCGTACGTCTGCCATGATGTGCAAGCGAATTTGTGTGCTAACGTCTTTGATAGGTAGAGAGATTTGTCGAAGAAGAATGCATTCCCGCCGACGACGTATACGCACGCCAGCTGGGCCAGACAGTGCAAGAGCGCTTCACCTCGCACCCATCCATCATGGAGGACCTCAAGAAGCGAGCACAAGAGCTCGGACTATGGAACATGTTCCTGCCCAAGGCTCACTTCAAGGAAGGAGCCGGGTTCAGCAACCTGGAATACGGTCTCATGGCTGAATACCTGGGCAAGAGCCGAACAGCATCCGAGGCTGTCAACTGCTCTGCCCCCGATACTGGCAACATGGAGGTCATTGCCAAGTACGGCTCAGAGGCACAGAAGAGAAAGTGGCTTGATCCGCTGCTGGAGGGCAAGATCAGATCTGCCTTCTTGATGACAGAGCCGCAGGTTGCGTCGAGTGATGCAACTAACATTGAGATGACTATCAAGCGCGACGGCGACCACTATGTGCTGAATGGACAGGTTCGTTTGCCTCAGACCTCCAATCACGTTTCACATGACTAACAATGCTTCTAGAAATGGTGGTCATCAGGCATTGGCGACCCTCGCTGCAAGATCTTCGTCGTCCTGGGCAAGACGGACCCGAACAACGCAGACAAGTATAAGCAACAATCCGTCATTCTCGTTCCCAACGACACTCCAGGCGTCACCGTCCACCGCATGTTGTCCGTCATGGGCTTCGACGATGCGCCCCACGGTCACGGACATGTCACCTTTGAGAACGTCCGCGTGCCTGCCAGTAACATGGTGCTGGGCGAGGGCCGTGGCTTTGAGATCATCCAAGGCCGTCTCGGACCTGGCCGTATTCACCACGCCATGAGGAGTATCGGCTCTGCTGAAAAGGCGTTGGAGTGGTTCTTGGCCCGCATCAACGACGAGCGCAAGAAACCTTTTGGACAGCTGCTCAACAAGCACGGTATCATGCTCGAGCGCGTTGCCCGATCACGTATTGAGATCGATGCCGCACGTCTTGCCGTCCTCAACGCCGCTATCAAGATCGATGAGACCAATGCCAAGGGTGCGCTCAAGGAGATTGCCGAGGTCAAAGTTCTCGTCCCGGAGGTCAACCTCAAGGTTATTGACTGGGCGATGCAAGCCTACGGAGGTGCCGGCGTGAGCCAAGACACCCCATTGGCGCAGATGTGGTCGTCCGGCCGAACGATGCGTATTGTCGACGGACCGGATGAGGTGCATCTTCTCCAGTTGGGTCGAAATGAGAACAAGAGGGGTTTGGCACACAAAAAGCGCATCGAGGCGCAACAAAAGAAGGGCGAGGAGCTGTGCAGAAAGTATGGCATTGAGCCCAGGGATCCGCTGTACCTGAACAGGACGAGCGGAGAGGCGAGCAAGCTATAGATGACAGCTTAGTTAGCAGAAATACCTGCCACGTTGTAAAAAATACATATCAACATGAGCATTATTCTCCAATGATGGCTACTCGAATGATACACGCCGTCCCAGATGCGGAAAGATTCCGCTAGCGCGAACGCGCAATCTGCATGCTCAAGCACGCGAGAAGTGCATCAGACTACCGTAGATGTTAACATGATGCCCCCCCACAGCAGAGGAAGCTTCATGCCGTCTGGTTACTACTCAAAGTCAACCCCCAATCTACCAACCTTGGGGTCGTCTGACGGTCACACTGGGGATGAACATGTCTTGACGTCGCCGCCACCATCTGCCACACGCCCGGGACCGAGTCCTCTGTCGCCAGTTTCAAATGGTGCTCTCTCAGAAGCCGCTGATGCAGAGGACAACCAAGATGATGCGAAAGACTCGGCTGTGCTAGACGATTCTGACAGCGAACATTCTGGATACGAGGATGAGCAAGCGCCCGGATCCCGACCGCTATACGCGTCGCGATCGTACAGTCACATACCACAAAGTACTGCGACTGCGCTCTACCCACCCTTTTACAATAGGCCACCTAATCCCCTGCCGCCATCTCCCTCGTTGACATCGCTCCTCCGCCCTGCCTTCAGCCGCCCGACATCGAGACCTACAACACCAGACTCATCCGATGTAGAAGGCTCGATGAAAGCTGGGTCGCACACTACTGGCACGAGCACGCCTACCACGAACCTTGCGAACTCGGCACGGCATGCGGCGACGGTTCCTCGGGCATCGCCGAAAGTGCCTACATACGAGTACTATGGCTTCGCCCTGTACCTGGGAAGTTCGGCCGCATTCCTAATGTACATACTCTGGGCATATGTGCCGGCGCCCATGCTGCACCAAATGGGCATCCATTACTACCCAAACCGATGGTGGGCACTCGCGGTGCCCTGCTGGTTGGTTGTACTGGTCATCTACATTTACGTGGCGCTAGCAAGCTACAACACCCGCTACCTTACGCTGCCATTGAGCAGCATTGAGAACCTCGTTGACGAATGTGCTCAGGTTGCTGTTGTGGATCGCACAACTGGCCGGATAGTACGTGATCCGGTTATGCTGACAGACAAGCTACACGAACAGGACAAGGAAAAGGGCACGATAGGAAGTGCACCACACAGCCGCAGGAGCTCATTTTCTGCATATCAATTTAGCGCATCGAACCATGTGGACTGGAAGAGTTTCTGGAGCACGGGCACAGACGCCGTTATGGACGTGCCGATAGGCGGGGTCTGTGAAGTCCTGTATGGGACCGACGATTGAATATGCATCGTCATCCTGACTACTAGATACTAAGCAGATAGCTGCCGACTACACTCCATTTGGGATGTGCTCACTCAACTTCCCTGCCACCCTCGGTCTAAGCCATGTCTGCGCGGAAAAGCTTGTAGCGGCCAGTGGGTCGAATTAACCCCCACTTACATGTGCCCCTCCCGACGTTCGGAAAGCACTATGCATGACAGAGCAGCGCCCCGCTACAGCAAAGGTATTGGGTTTTCGGATTGGATGTAATGCCATGTGCTATCTCGAAGCTCCGGAATGTGCCTTCTCTCGTTAGCGGGGCTGGTTGCGATAGAGCTTGTATAAGTCTTCACCCGGCACCCGTGAGCACTCGTTCTCCATCCCATCTCGGCTCGTGAGCTTCGCCGCTTTGCTCTGGGTTCAATCTTTGCACCCGTTCTCATATACAGCTTCCCTTTGAGAATACCCAATTGCCCATCATGAAGTCCGTGGTTGCTCTTTCCGCCTTGTCCATGCTCGCTGGTGCCGAAGCAGCTGAGACTGTCCTTGGAGCTTACATTTTCCATCGTCACGGTGATCGCACAGCAAAGGCGCTTGCTCCCACTAACCTGACTGCTTTGGGTTACGAGCAGGTCTACACGTCCGGCCAGTACTACCGCTCACGCTACTTGGAGGGCGAGTCCAAGATCTATGGTATCAACGAGAATCAGGTGAAGCTATCTCAGCTCCAAGTCCAAGCCCCTGTCGATAATGTGCTTCAAAACTCTGCCATGGGCTTCCTCCAGGGCCTATATCCCCCCTTCCAGACAGTTCAGACACTTGCCAACGGCCAGAGCGTACAGTCACCCATGGATGGATATCAATTAATTCCCGTCAACACAATCCAGACCGGCTCCGGCTCAGAAGACTCTGGCTGGCTTCAAGATGCTTCGACCTGCCAGAATGCAAAGACGAGCTCCAACTCTTTCTTCGACAGCGCGAAGTACAAGGATCTCGCGTCAAGCACCAAGGACCTTTACTCTTCGGTCGTTCCTTCCATCAACGGCATAATGAGCGATGACCAGGTCAGCTTCAAGAACGCCTACGTCGGTACGTCTACCTCAACCTCCGTATGATCTGCAATGCTGATGCTAACATACACGCACAGTCTACGACACCCTCCACGTTGCCGAAATCCACAACTCCAGCATCCCCAACTCGGATGCTATCACAAACTCTACTCTGGAACAACTCCGCCTCCTAGCAGACGCCCACGAATGGGGTCTTGCCTACAACGCTAGCGACAACATGCGTGCCGTCGCTGGCATGCAACTCGCGGGTGAAATTCTCGAATACATGAACTCCATCATCTCCACCAAGGGCGCTAAGAAGTTCGGCATCCAATTCGGCGCCTACGCAACCTTCATGTCGTTTTTCGGTCTCGCGGATTTGCAAAAGGCGACTACTGATTTCACGGGTATTGTCGACTATGCCAGCTCCATGGTCTTCGAACTCTTCACCAATATCGATATGGCGTCTTCGGGTTTCCCCAGTGCGCAGGATCTGCAAGTTCGTTTCTTGTTCCACAATGGCACTGCTAGTAATGCCAGTGAACCTACTGTTTTCCCGCTTTTCGGTGGCAGCGCGGATGCCGTGTCGTGGACTGACTTTCAGGATAAGTTGAAGGAGTTTGCGATTAGTACTACGGAGCAGTGGTGCAACAAGTGCGGTGATACGACTGGTGCTTGTGCGGCGTTTGCGAACAACGATGGTGGAGCTGCTGTGAATGCTAAGCAGAGTGGTAGTGGCAGCGGTATGTCGCCGGCTGTTGGCGGTGTTATTGGCGCTTTTGTTACGCTGGCTGTTGTGCTGGGGTCGCTTGCGCTACTTATGTTGACTGGTGGGTTTAGGCTCGTTAGCAAGAAGGCGCTCGCGAGGGGTGGTGCGGGTTTTGGTGTGGAGCCAAAGGCGTAGATGGTGGCGGTGGTGGTGATGGAGATTGGTGCAGGGGTGAGGGAAGACACAAGTCATGTGTTTTGAACACGGGTAGTGTTCTATATGAGATAAGAGATGCAGATATGTAACGATGTATATGATAAATGAAGCAAGATTACATTCCCATTGCCTAAATCTAGATATTTACTCCAACCTGGGTATATCATAACCCATGTTCATAAAACCCGTCGTAGCCAACGCCGTGAAATGCAGTATATCAACAAGTAGAAGGGGCAGTTGATCAAGCCCTCAGCACACTAAAATGATCCTTGGGCGCAATCTTTGGTGCACCCAACCCCTTCCGCACTTCCTCCAACTGCTCGAGCCCACTCTGCTGCTTCCCCTTCTTAACCCGCCTCTTCCCCTGCGTATGGTGACTGCCCAAGAAATCGTCCATGATGCTATCAAAGTCCGACCTTAGAGGTGGTGCCTCACTACTAGACCACTGACTCACACCACTCATTTTGCTGAGCCCAGATATCTTACTCATCCCGGAAATCATGGACGCATCGTCGGGGAAGTCGAAGCTACCGTCGTCGGCGTATTCTTCTTCAATCTTGTCGAAGCGCTGGTCGAGCAGTGTGAGACCTTCTGTGCGGTGGAGGGCAGAAGAGGACATGGAGTAGTTCGAAGTAGACGTCTTTGCACCTTTGCGCTTCTTGCGGCGGCCACCTGCCGTCAGAGCTGAGGCGCCTGTGATGAAGGATTGCGAGTCTGTTGGTTGGGCTGGAGTGTTGGGTTTGGAGGCTTTGACGTCTTCCTTGAATTTCTTGAATTCTTTCAGGTACGCCATGTCAGATGCGTCTGCGGGTGCCGGCGCTTCGTCATGTGCGGGGAGTGCTGATGGATCTGCGGATTCGTCTGAGGTCTTCTTCCCTTTGAGTTTGGGGGATGAGGCTTTGATGGTGTCGTCGGTTTCCCAGCCAGGGTCTTCTTCGTCGAGGAAACGGTCCATGGGGTCCCGGTCGTCCTCATCGTAGCCGGCACCATTCCACTCGCGTTGGTCGACTTCATAACCGTCTTGGGCTAGCTCGTTGAAGATGTCTTCCTCGTCATCAACATATGCCTCATCCTCGAGCGCCTCCAGAACTTCTCGTAACCTGGGATCCATGTCTGGCTGGAAGCCTGCAAGCGCATCTGGGATGTTTTGCTGATCTTGGTATGTTGTCTTGCGCACAAACTCTGAAGGCGCCATGTCCTCTCCAAACATGTCGCTCACACTGCTAATGTTGCTGCTAACACTCAAGTCGGCCTGGCTCCTGCTGTCGTTCAAAGATACATCTCGCAACATGTCTGCGAGGTCCATCTTCTGCTTTCCCTTCTTCTCGGGCTTGGCTTCCACGAAGTATGCCTCTCCACCGCCAGAGCCCAAGTCTCGCATATGCTGCATGTAATCATACTCTGTATCGTCATAGTAGATGCCATAGTTGGCGGCTTCTCCCTCGTTCCTCCGGAATTTCGACGCATATTCGCTTTCTAGATCGCGCCTTGACTTGATCTTGCTTCGTCCTGTTGCTGCCGAGTACTGGCTTGCACGTGAACTTCCTGCAGCCTCTGATTGTTCGCGCTGATTTGGCGCGACAGTCTCTGCAAAGACCATCTGCGGGGCGTCGTCATCGTGAATTCGCGGGTCATTTTGGGCGCGGTGGACCAGACGGAAGTTGGTCGCCGTCTTCTTGTCGCTGTCGCGGGGTTAGCGGGGTATTAGTAATGTGCCTCTCTTCTGCTTACATGAACTTGCCGCGTGCCATTTTGGAGGCTTTATTAGAAACTCGAATGTACTGTTGCAGCAGTGGCGAGTGTGCTGAAAGGAAGTCTGGGGAAGTCGCTTACAAAGGGTCTTCGGCGTCGGGCAGCGGTCAAAAAAATAATTTAGGCGAGGGTCCAGTGAATGACGTGGGGCGATTTAGGGCCCAACTTTCTCTTCGACTCACCCACACCCCTCTATTGGGAGATCTGAAACACAACACCACAACCACGCGATATCCATAGTTGACCGCAAACATGGTGCTCGCAAAATCCAAGAAGAGCGTCGGGCTGGGCAACAGCCTGATGAATGACAGGTTCGGCAAGGGAAAGGGCGCGGACATGCGGAGGGGCAACTTTAACGCGGGTATTGAGCGCACTGGTCAGAATGGCGAAAAGGTACGCATTATCTTCGTTTGCGACGGTCTGGATACCCTTGGCATGCATGCGCTCTGTTAGAGTATATTGCGCTCGACAAGAAGGTGTCCAGACGTTGGATTTGACCAGGGACTAATACTAACAATTCCTAGTATATCACGAACGAGAAGAAGGAAGCAGCTTGGGTCAAGATGCGCTCTGTCACCGAACAAGGCGCCCTCGACGACTTTCTCTCGACCGCAGAACTGGCCGGTACCGACTTCACAGCGGAGAAGATGAACAACGTCAAGATCATTCACAAGGACCAGAAAAACCCGTACCTACTATCCGACCTTGAGGAGCGCAACATCACAAAGAAGCACAAGGAAAACAAGAACAGGCTCACCGTGCCAAGGCGACCAAAGTGGGATTCGAAGACTACACCGCAAGAGTTGGACGAGAAGGAGAGAGCCTCCCTGTTGCAGTGGCGAAGAGGCTTGGCTGAGTTACAAGAGAATAACGATCTGCTCATGACGCCTTTCGAGCGCAACCTCGAGGTCTGGAGACAACTGTGGCGTGTTATTGAGCGATCGGATTTGGTCGTGCAGATTGTAGATGCTCGTAACCCGCTCATGTTTCGATCTGAGGATTTGGAGGATTACGTCAAGGAGGTCGATTCGAAGAAGAACAACTTATTGCTGGTCAATAAGGCGGATATGATGACTTTAGAGCAGCGAAAGGCTTGGGCCGATTACTTTGTAGAAGCTGGTATCAACTACAAGTTCTTCTCTGCTGAACTTGCCAAGGAGATGAACGAGGCTCGCGCAATGGACGAGGATAGCGAAGACTCTGATGAGTCGGGCGATTCCGAAGACTACGATGAGGAAGACTTCGAACAGGAGACCGACTCAGAAGATGAGCGTCTTGCGAAGCAAGCCAAGAAGATGAACCTGCAAAATAAGAAGGCGGAAAAGACGGAACTAGTAGATGAAGCGACCGTTGTACCTAGCGGGAGCAGCTCTGAGGAAGTTGAAGACGAACGCACGCGGATACTTACCACAGAGGATCTCGAAGCATTGTTCCTTGAGCACGCACCTGATATCGACACAGGACCAAATGGCGAGCCTCGCAAGACATCCATCGGTCTCGTCGGTTACCCTAATGTAGGAAAGTCTTCCACCATCAACGCACTCATTGGAGCGAAGAAGGTGTCTGTTTCAGCAACGCCCGGAAAGACGAAGCACTTCCAGACTATACATCTCAGCGACAAGGTTGTCTTGTGTGATTGTCCTGGTCTCGTCTTCCCCAACTTTGCAACGACTAAAGCCGAGCTTGTCTGCGCCGGTGTTTTACCCATCGACCAGCTGCGAGAGTACACTGGACCTGCGGGTCTAGTCGCTCGCAGAATACCGCAGCCTTTCCTTGAAGCACTCTACGGTATGAAGATTCATCCTCGGCCAACAGAAGAAGGGGGAACTGGTGTTCTTACCTCTGAGGAGGTTTTGCGTGCCTTTGCCATCGCCAGAGGTTTCTCTACACAGGGTCTAGGTCAGCCCGACGAATCGCGAGCAGCACGATACATTCTCAAAGACTACGTCAAGGGCAAGATTCTCTTCTGCCATCCCCCACCCACTGACCCGCCCGTGGACCCCAAGTACTTCAACCGTGAACTCTACGACGTTAACCATCTCCCTGCTAAGCGCCGCCACCACCCTCTAGCCAATCTTCCAGGTAACACATCTCTCAACGGTATGGACGAGGACGCATCGCTCATGGACGAGGATCTTGAAGGTGGTGGTGTGCCCGTCCAGGGCGAGAAGACGCAACGCATGGACAAGCGTTTCTTCGGACCTGGTCAAGGCATGGGACGCGTAAACCAGCCTTTTCACTACAAGTATAGTGAGCAGGGCAAGGAGTTGAGTGGTAGAAAGGCAAAGATGATGGCGGCTTTGGAACAGGATGTTGATCCGACCGAGATGAAGATGAACAGCAAGAAACACTTCAAGGCGAATAAGCGGAGGGCGAAGAAGGTGAGGTCGGAGTATGTAGATTAGGGCATACTAGCTGGCCTTTTTATGACTGCATAGCTGGCGTCTGGGTTAAGGGGGTTTGATTTTGACGGACCGAATGAATTCGTGTACACGTCCAAGTGATAGAATTATAAAAGTAACTTTTCTCATCAGTGTCTTTGCTGAAGATCTTGGGAATGTTGCATTACAAGTGTGACCAAGTAATTCCAAGCGTGGAGTACATGCATAAAAAAGCTACCAAGTCAAGATGTAGTGTCATCTGTCGTCCACATGTGAGGTTGGATATGAGGTCCGCGCGCCGACATCAAAAGATCAGATACTGTTGAGAATACCTGATGTTCGCTATGGTTTCTATACGTCCAGATATTGCATTCACCCTTGGGAAGCTAAGCCAATACATGACCGATCCAGCAGAACACCATGGCCATGCACTGAAAAACCTGCTACGGTGTCTTCGATCGACAGTCTCAATGAAACTACGCTACGGACCAGGGGGAGCACACTTACAATTTGTCATATAATCTGATGCTGACTGGGCAAGCGACATTGTGGACCGAAAGAGCGTTTGAGGAAGCACGGCGATGTTCTATGGAGGGCCAATATCATGGTCTAGCAAGAAGCAACGCTCAGTTGCTACATTAAGCTGCGAGTCTGAGTATATAGCACTATGGGACGAAGCAACTATTTCAAAATATACTACCTTCTACACCTCCCTACACCTGCCTAATCAGGAAACTCCAGATATTTCAATATGGGACGAAGTAATTATTTCAAAATATACTATTTTCGACACGCGCCCATACCTGCCTAATCAGGAAATAGGCCAAAGATCAGACGCAGCAATTATTTGGAGTAATACAGTTACTATAATCTACACTCTACATACTTGCCTAATCGGGAAAGTTGAAATAATTCATGTTAACACGCAATATAACGACCATTACAGTTCGATTTAGACCAACCATAATCGATGGTTTGTAGAAACTGCCTATTTAGGAAGGAGGTGGTATTTTCTTCGACTTTGCGAGGGAGGGCGTAGGTCGCTGGTGTGGTGGGTAGGTAGGGTGGTCGCTGGCTTGGCAAAGGGAGGATATGGTGAATAGAGGGTTGTCGCCGCTGTCGTCGAAATTTCAGGTCTTCTACTTTGCTAGGACTCATGGTTTGGGATGGGAGTTGCCTAGTTGGGAAAGAGAAAAGAAGGGTCCAAGGTTTTAGGGTGAGATGAGATCGTGGGAGAGCAGCAAGTGGTGGCATCTGTGGGCTATGAACATCAACGTAGGTGTATGATTACACGGCACTTATATAACTCAAGAAGGGATATATATTCGTCTCACGTACTTATACTAAGATGTGAACAATAACATACCTTTATTCATCAATGCTACAAGGAATATACACGACACATACAAGTCATCGCTTAAACGCTGAAAACGCCAAATCAATCCCATAAACGCCATTCGCCATGTCATAGTCACTCATGGCGGCGGCGGCTCTTCATCAGTCGCACTCTCGTGGTTACTCTGCGCCCTCCTCAACGGACTTCTCTTCTGCTTCTTGCCACGATCCCTCGCTTTAGGACGAGGTGGAGACTGACTCTGTTCCTCTGCTTTTAGGAGATCCATAGCGCGATCGACTTCTTCCCACGAAGGCCTACTATCGCGGGTACCATTTGGCGTAGCGGGTCCGGACTGTGTTTCGAGAACCTGAATACGCACAGCTTGATCCTCGAAGCTCGGCGTGGGAGGCATGTTCTCTTGTGTGGGATGCGGCGCTGCCTTCACACTATTTATTTCAGGGGAGAAGTCACGGCCGTGTCTGTTGCTTGGAGTGTCTGGGGTGAGAGGATCGTAGGTGGTCTGCCCTGGGCTTCTCAGTCCTTCCGTTTCCGTGTCAGAAGGAGCTTGCTGTCCATCCTGCTCACTCTCGCTTCTCCACATGCTCTTGAATGTTCGTCGTCTTCGTGCCATGCCGGACTCTGGCGGACTACGTGGTGGTGATGACTCAAAGAAGCTCGTGTACTTGCTTCCTAGCTGCTGTACAATGGGAACGTCTGCGTTGGAGCCGAGTGTGCCTGACCTAACAAAGAGGACCAGACCCAGACACAACAATAAGAGTGTAGATTGTACTACAGCCATTCTCTTTTGCCACACAAGTTCATCGGCCATGAGGCTCAGCCTCGTGCCAATCTCGCCCATTTCGGACTTTTGCCGCTCCTTCATGCTCTCTAGTTCAATAACTGTACTCTGCCATAGTTGGTCGTACATGGTACGGAAGCTTTTGAGTTCCAGCATGACTGTGCTGTTCAGATGGTCAAGGAACTTTTCAGTCTTGGCAAGCTGTCTTTTCTCCACCTTGACGAACGCATCTCGAAGAGCACGAGATTGCTCCTCAATATATTGTAGTGAGAGGGTGCTGTTAGCTTCGAGATACTGGAGACGCTTGTGGATCGACTTGAAGAAGGACTCCTGTGTTGAGGGAGTTGGGGCATTTGGCTGTGTAGCTGAGCCTCGTCCTGGTGACTGGGTCTGCTGGCTAACAACCGTATTGTTGGTTGAAGCTTTAGCTGCCGAATTTGACGAGGATGATACAGCGGTGTTCGTCAAGGAGACTGGAGATCCGTCATCTCGAGAGACAGAAGGTGACTGCGTGGATGAAGCCTCAGACATGGGGCTGTGAACCTGTGGTTTATCCACGCCCCCGCTCATTGGCCCATGCCTGTCCGAAGACTGTGTTTCTCTTGCAGCAGTGATGTTTGTATCTCTGCCTACAGAACTGCCCGTGGCAGGAGATGGTAATGATTCCGATGGTGAATCTGAGATGGAACGAGTTTGGGGTGTATCAGTCACTTTCCCAGCCGACGCTTCCATTGCAGCTGTACTGGTGCTCGAAGACGATGGCTCAATAGTAGGAGCCGATTTGACAGCCGTATCCTGAGAAGTGGCTTGATGACCAACAGGTTGAGCTACTGCTGACCCACCTGAGTCAAAGCTACTGCCCTTGATTGCCTCAATGGGGATCTCCTCTGGCGGTAAAGGTCCGCTATCTTCAGCTGGCTTCTTAACATCTACCCCTTCAGCCTCCAGGTCGTCATCGTCGTCGATCCCTCTCGCTCCCTCTTCTTCTCGTCTAAACTGCTCCATCATGGTCGTGCCATGGACGCGTAACAAGCTGAGCGGACAGTAGTATTCGTTGCCATACTGTGTCAGGAATTCAATACGCAGGTAGCGTGCCCAGATTTGAGGTTCGGTGATGAGAAAAGGCTGAATGTCGCGGGAATTTCGGGCTTCAAACGTGCCCAGTGTTCTCCACTTCTCCATCTTTACAGGGTAGCGATCCGATACACTGACTCTAAAATGACGGAACATGGAGGAGAAGAACTCGTAGTTGGCGAGGACGACGGTGTCGACTAGGATGTCATCACACAGCTCTACAATGAGGAACTTGTTGTCCGAAGAGCACGTGTTTAGCATGTAGCTGTCCTTGTTCTCTACCAAAATGGAAGACGAACTCTTGGCCTGCTTGTTGGTCTTGAGGACCGTAGCAGCGCAGTCAAAAGACGCGTAGTTAAAGCGCTCCTTGCACGTCTTACCCGCGTCTTTGCTTAGAGACCATGCACTTGGCGCGACCTTGCCTTCTCCCTCTGGGGCCTTGGTCGCGCCCGCGCTGTGCCTGCCCTGCTGTATGCTGTTGGCCACACTCCCATCTTCTGGACTACCGAAGCCGCTGAAATCAATGGAAATCTCGCCCTCGTCGCCCAGCGAGTCTAATGCGTTAACATTGACCGGCCTTCGTCGAGCAGGTTGGTTTGCTGCTGCTGCACGCCCCTGTCCGACATTTTCAGGCGATTGGCCAACCTCAGCTAGGTTCTTCTTCTTCCATTCCTCAAACGAGAGGAAGTTTGCGTTGTCAAATGGTGAGTCCGTCTCCAGCTCGAGCTCGGGCTCCTCGCTTGGTGTGCCGCTGCTTGTTGCCCCCGGCTCCGAAACAGTGCCAGGGGAGGCAGGCTGTTCTTCTTCCTTTATCGTGCCCTCGGGTCCTTCACGTATAGGTATAGGGGTCTGTAATCTGACTATGCCCCTCTCAACGATCGTACCGTTGGTGCTGGCTGCCTCGTGTGGCGCCGACCAAGTCGCTTTTGCGCATTGCTGCCGCAGGGTATGGGTAATGTAGTTTATCGTGCGGTACGGTGATGTGGTCTCGCTATCGGTATATCTTCGAATGGACGATGTCAAGGGCGTGGGAGTGGACGTATGCTGTGTTGTGGCACCCGAGGCTGCAGTAGCGCTCGACTCGTCTGTCGCGGTCCCATTCGCTACCTCGGCGAGGACAGCGGTCGGTAAGCTGCAAAGCAGCAGAAGGATTGTCCAGTTACGGAGCGGAGCGCCAGTTGTGATCATTGCTTGGTTGCATGTCTTAGTCAAGCATGTTTAGGTTCCAGTAGAATCGAGTGTTTGAAGCCAATCTCGGTTCCGGATAGATGACATGGGGTAGTGCCCAGGAGGAGCTGGAGCGAGATTGGGGTACGGCGCGGAGTGAACAGGTGTTCGTGAAGACACGTTTAGTTGTTTCACCGCTTACCCTTGTGAATGGTTGCGGCGACGCATTTGTCTAAGCGACTGTACCAGTGAGCGATGACGTTGCCAAGAGTGACATATCAGCCGCGCTAGGCTCGTGACCTGTATCACCTGCAGCAGATACATGTCCACAGGTGTCCCTACATATGTACCTAACCAACAAGTTGCATGACTAGGTATTTTTTACATCAATATTCATTACAGTTGTTAATCTACATACTTATGCAGGCCGTATCATGTGACGCGTAATCTATCTATGTGGAGCACTTGCAACAGTAAATACGTATGCAGTGACACGATGTCAAGGTCATAGCGTGGCACGCGGCACGCTCACATACAAAGTTGCGTGCTGTTCGTATAATAATCTCATAAAGGCTGCTGCCACACGCCGACTGATAACCATTACAAACGAGCGAGGTCTACACTCAACCACCCGAAATCCGTCCCAGCAGCCAACCCAGCCAGGGCAACCTATCGCCCTGCCACATGTTACGCCATCGTCTAGTACTCATGTGTATCGTTATGGTGATCCGTTGATGCCGAAAGAAAACGCCATACAAGAGTGCAACAAGTACTGATGCCCAAAAATCCCGCTATGCTGTGGCATCAGGCGTTAAAGGGGTATGTCCAAAAGAAATCCAGGTCGAGTAAGAAATGAAGGCAAACATCCAGACAAATGACGCAAGATCGGATGCTGTAAGAAGCCAGGACAAGGGTTAAGAATATGAAGGGCCAGCCTGGATAAAGTCGTCTAGAAGCCTTCGTTGCCTGCGCGGCAAACCTTGGCTTCCGAAACCCACTCAGAGGCGAGTACTTGGTGTGCTGTCAGACGGCGGGCAGGTATGGGGTCGAGAATTGAGTAGATGACATTACGACATTGTCGCTAGGGTGTGTTAGCGGAGACATGAACTAAAAGGGTCGGGGTGCTTACTCTTCGCAACACTTCAATAGGTCGATACCCCTCTTCCTGTTTCCGGTCCTCGAGGTAGCGATCGAAGAACTCATCCTCACCCTTTTGGGCGACACGCCATAAGTGGCGGCCAGTCCTCATGGCCATGTAGATGATACCGCAGGCCCAGACGTCTACAGCGCGGGGGTCGAACTCTTTGTCCACATATTCCTCGGGCGCGATATAAGGGGCAGAACCACAGAGACCAGCAGTCATGTGCGCCTCCTTCTCCCAGGCCATACGGAAGCACTCGCCGTTGCCGAAATCGGTAATCTTGATGGATCCGTGTGTAGTGAGGAGCAGGTTCTCGGGCTTTAGATCCCGATGTGCGACACCCATCTCGTGCATGTATTCGACACCGCGCATCAGCTGCTTGAAGAAGCAGTCGGCCTCGGCCACTTCAAGCTGGCCGGCAGCGAGCACGAGAGTATACAGGTCGCCGCCCGAACAGTATTCCATGACCTCGCAGTATGTGCCCTTTTCGTCCTGGAGGAGATCGAGCGTGGTGATTACATTAGGATGCTGCATCGAGGACGATATACAGAACTCGGAGGTAAGGCGTTTTTGGTATCGCTTCGCAGACTCGCCAGGTCTTTGCTTGAATTCCTTGACAGCGTATAGCTGCTCTCGTTTTGAGTCCTTGGGGTCTTGCTTGTGTGCGACACGGACGATTCCGAAAGCTCCACGGCCAACGACCTCTTGGCATTTGCCGTACTTCTGGACCAGCGTCTGGGGCAGGGCGTTGACTGCATTCTTCTGCTCTGCGAGCTTCTCCTTCTCGTTGCGCATGACGTCGACCCAGTTGGACATGAGACTGAGGGGCTGGTCCTCTGCATTTTCGCCCTTTTTCTTGCCCAGCATCAAATTCTGGAACATGTCGGACAGCTTCTCCTGGCGCTTGGCCACCTTGAGGTGGTGCTCGTGGGTGCCGTCCTCGTTGACCCAGAAGCGCTTGTAGGGCGGCGTAGGGCCCTCCTTCTTGGTGACGGACGTCTGGCGCACTGGCGCAGTGCGGCCGTTGGTGGCAGTGCCATTTACAGCCGCCTTGACGTCGCCGTTGCGGTCCGGGGCTGGCGAGGGTTTAATACCCATCATACTGCTGAGGCGCGACGTCATGGTGGGCTTCTTGGGCTTGAGCAGCGCTTCGGCGGCCGCCTGCACGCTGCTCGCGCCAGAGTGGTTGACGGCCTGGGGAAGGGACGAGGTTTGCATCAGACGCAGAGTGGAGCGAGGGGACCGACGACACGGTCGAGGCCGAGGCCGACGGCGAAGCAGCCGTTTTGGACGCGGCACTGGGCGAGTTGGTGCTCGTGGGAGCCGCCATGGTGGGTGCTGCGCTGCACTGCGGGGCGATGGTGTGGGTGGTGGTGGGTGGGCGGGCGTTGGGCTTCGTAGGGTGTTTGGAGACGCACGTGTCTCGCGGGCAAGTAGCCCAGAGTGATTTATTTGATCGCGGTCAAAACGGCGTATCGTCGTCTGCGGCGGGCGATGGAGATGAAGTTGGGGAGGCGCGCGTGAGGAGGCGACGTGGGCTGCAAAAACACTGTGGTGGCTCTGATGTAAGAATCGCCAGGGCGTGTGGGCAAGTGTGGCAGGTACTTGCGGGCGCGAGCAGCGCTTACAAACGTCGTCGACCAGGAAAGAAAGAAATAAGAGACACGACCGAGACACGCGCTGCCTCTTCAATTTGCTCCCACTCGCACTCGCACTCTGTCGTCAGTGTGCCACACCAACGTGGCTGTGCAGATGATGACTTGCCGGTGTACCGAGGCTTTTCTGCGCGTCACTGGGCGGCGGGCAAATGAGTCGCTGTCGATGTCGCTGGCGCTGGCTGGCAGAGGGCAGGCAGAGACCGACTACAGAAGACACTTGTGCATGGTGCGGGTCTCAAATATTCAAAGCAGAGGGGTAAAATACGTGCAGCGTGGGTAATTTGTGCACTGCCTCGACTCTCGTCCGTGTACGGCTTTCTGCATGAGGTCTGGCTTGCGCGATTTTCACTTCCATTACCTATGACTACGGTATGTTACGCCAGTCCTTTTGCCAGTTGACCGCTGCGCTGCCGCTGCCGCTGCCTCGATGCCTGCGCTGACAGAAAACGGCACCCACCCGGCACATGGCTCACCAATTCTTTGCTCACTCGGCCCTCCTGACCATGTACAGAAATGCTACCCCAAGCCTCCAAGCCTCCAAGTGCCCCCAAACTCCCCAAGCTTGATATATTCCTATTATGGCGCTTGCCTCGCTGGCCGGTCCAGTCGTCTAATTAGCTTGACATACCAAGCACTGTGACGCCACTGCGCTTCGAGCTTATCCCAAACACTGCCAGCAGATTGCGTATTCCATTGACCTCATACATGCGAACGTAGAGTCCGAAAGCCCGCCGAATAGCTGCTAACCTGGCCTCGGCTTCTCCATTGTGCAATCAGCAGCCTTCGTGTTCAATGGCGCCCATGACGTGCCGGCAGTTGCCAGCCATGCTAAGAAACAAGGCCAGACATGCAGTTTCACTCTAGCTACCGTACTTTGATGCCGCCTGGTGGTTTCAGTAACAAATTGATTGGTAAGCAGCTTGGATTCCCCTCATACCGCATACCGTAGTAGTCACGACTATCCTAAGCCGAGACATCGTACCCTTTAAGTGGGTCGACTATCAACCGTTTCGTCTCGACATCTGTTCACATACAATCTGCTACTTCTGCTTGGCCCAGGGTACCAGGTCCTGCGTCGGACTTTCCGCGGCGTACATGAACAACCTTGTGCCCCGCATTGCAGCGACAGCATGGCGCCCCTCTAGAGAAACTCTCCACCAGTCTTGTTCCACCTCACCATGCACACCGCATCGCTCAAGCGTGGAAGCTTCACCCGGCCACTAACAAATACCGCACCCACCTAGGGCCCACCACTGTCGTGCATCAACCCTCATGCAAGTCTTCTGCGACCTGCACTTCATCCTCGGCCATAGCTCCTCTACACTCGCACTGACCTCTTGCCGACTCCATCAGTCTGGTAAGAACCATACACACGGGCCTCCAACACACGATCTGACCTGAGCTACCGCCTCAGCTCACTTCATCGACCCTCTCGTGTGGGAAACGCGCCGACCTAAATACCCTAAAACAGCTAACCACCAAAACTCACTCGGAATACGATATGCTTCGCTAGCCACGGACAATTTCCTAGTCCGTAATTCCGTCCAAGATAGGCGCTGCAGCATGCCAACTCTACTTTCTGTGCCTTTTCTCCCACACTTGCAGCTTGCGTCTGCCGAACAGAAATAGCTCAGATCGACGTCGCAGCAGCAATCGACCCTACGTACATCAACGCCTGCCGCTTCTGCTGCACTGAACGGTCAGCACAAGACAGCCCACTGGGCACGTCTTCCGCAGCCCGGTGCATTCGCACACGTAACATCCGCCTACAACCTATAGCACCGCTCAAAACTATGCCGACCAAGGCCGACGGTCAGAGCGTCGGTTCCTGGCAATGTACAAAATGCACCAGCCTCAGGTAACGCATGCAGCCTACTCGTGGCTTCTAGACCCGCGGCTATTGGTCCAGCAAACCTTCACCACACGCCAGACTACGGCACAAGTTCGCACACGCGCGACGCAAGTACCCGCCTGTTCATGTGAAACGTAGGGCTCTTTGCGACCCTCTCTCGGACTGACCGCTATTACACGAATGGGAGTATCCGGATGTGCGGGTATATCTGGCTTGGCCATGGATCATGGCCTTTGGTAGCTGACTGGCGATCATGCTGGGATGAGAATCTGTCGCCATCGAACTCGCTTTCTTCTAGTCGACAAAGTTTTTCTCTCTTGACGTGGTCTAGCAGAGACCAGAAATGTGTTTTCTAGATATGTGGAAATTGTTGTGCTACTTGTAGGTGAGGATACGTTTTAGTCCATGTGGCTGTGCAGATACGTGCTTGCAACCATCACGTGCACGCGTTGTAAGTGATGCTGGAATCAATTTCTAGATCAACAGTCTTCCTTTGATCAACAATCTTCTTGCCCTTCTTCGCCGCCTGAAAGGTTGTTCATGCAACGTCGTCCAACATTCCAAATCACAAGTTTGCGCACATGTTCTAGACTTTTTTTCCTGTGCGACGTGGCGGGAGCTATCTTTTTCTTCCAATGAGAAACGCTCCAGACCACTAGCCGAGATTTGTGTAACGTCGCGTACTGGATAACATGCATTTTCTTGTGCACGTGCAGGTGATGGCTATTGTTCACGTCACTATACTGGGTGCCTAACATTTAGCATGAATATGCTTGAAGATACTTGTTTCTCAGCGCTTCTTTTTGCAAGATGCTGGTATTGGGCGATCTTTTGTTCTGGATGAGTATAGGCATGTGCATCGTAGGTAAAAGTTTGAATACCAGATGCGTATGAACAAGGTCAACATATGATACCAACTATCCTAACTATACTTGTTTCTCTTACATTATCATAAATCATGTTGCTAAACGACTAGCTATTGGTGTAGCTATTCTTCATAGACCATCTGCACAAACATTTGAGCAAGCTGGATCTCATATCTTTGTCGATCGCGTGATACCTAGGGTAGCGTCTTTTGGAGATTTTGAAATCATACAACATGTCTATCTCGCCAATCTCGCCTCCTCTACACCCCTCCGATATCTCTCCCTCAAATCTTCGTCACTGATAACCTGGATCTCTTCACTACTCTCACTGCGACTGCATCTCATCATGGGCTCCTCCACCGTCGGTGAACACGGCGCAGTACCACCATCACCACCACCACTACCACCACCACCACTACCACCACCACCAACAGGCGTCTCCCAGTCCATCTTCCCCCTAGCCTCCCCCTCCTCTGCATTTTCATAAAAGACACCAAAGGCAATATCCGTCTTGTCCAACCCATCTTTCCCATAAAGTTCTCTTTCCAGCCCCTTCGTCTCCGCTCTTATCAGTTGTTTCCCACCAAGCCCCGTCCTGCGCCTTGCCACTTGCACGATGAGAAACGCAGCGCGAAGAGGCGTCATCTGATATCCCTCCTTCACCAGCGTACTGTTAATCTGCGCATCTTGCCAAAGAACATACATGCTAATAGCCCACCCGGCGGTCGCGAAAACGAATAGCCCAGACATTAGTGTTGAGAAGCCCCATTGGTACGTCTGTGCTGCTGTGTCGGGTAGACAACGGGTTTTGTCTTCGAGGGAAGTGTCGTTGTAGCCGACGGAGTTGTAGCAGTATCCACTGCTACCGTTTAGCTCTTGGCCGTCGTAGGTTTTCCCGGCGATAGTGACAGAGACGGTGGCGTTGCAGGGATAGAAGATATATTTGTTGAGTGAGCTGTCCCAAGTTTTCCAGGTTTGGTTGTTGTTTGGGAAATCGTAGGAACCTAGAGTGGTTGTATTTAGTAAAGAAAAGTAATGGATGGCGGAGGAGATTAGGGGATTGTTACTTACATCGGCCGTATCTGTAAAATCTGGAGTAGGAGACAGAAGTCCACCGTTGTGATACGTCTAGTGCGGGTAGGATTGTTCCGTTTGATAGTTGGCAGTCACCTGTAATGGAAAGCCATTGTTAGTAACGAACAGGGTTTGTGCAACAGCGACACACCACTGCAGCCTCAAATTGGTAATTGACTCACAGTAACCTTGGCGGAACGAGTTCATAAACGAGTATTTCTCATATAATTTCTCATCGGCACAAGCAGGTTTCGCCCACGTTTGGTTTAATGTCCCCTCGATGACCCACGTGGGTTCGAGCATCGACACGGGAAAGATGTTGTTATCGGACTCCAAGCTGATCCAAGCAATGGCCGTGCTGTCGTAACCCGTCATGGCGCCAAGGACAATGGGCACAAGAAGGACGTAAGCGGTAGACCAAAATATGTAAAAGAAAAGGGCTTTTGTCCACCGGCACTTTGCAACCCATAGCTCTTTCATCAGTGTCCAGAGAGAGCCCAGACTGGGGCCTTCGAGAGCAATGCGCTGAAATATGCTGAAAGACGCTGGATGCCGCTCGATAGCCCGTAGCAATGCATCGCAGAAGACGGTATATGCAACCCACCAAGCTATAAGCTGAACACCCCGCCCGACAAACACATCCCATGCAATATCCACCGTCTTTGCCTGCGCAAACGACAAACTGCCAAACTTAGTGTCGAGCGCAAAAACCTTCTCAATGCCCGTGATGGTCGAGTTCTGCGGCGTGCCCGACAATTGGTTGCCACAGCCGATGACTTTGTCTGCAAAGACGCCTCCGAAAGGATAGGTGCTCATGGGTGCGACCATGCCGAGTATAACCATGGGCAAGATAGTCGTCAGCACGACCATCCAAAAGGCGTGAATCTGCCTTTGAGTCCGTCGGGTGTGTTTTGCAAACGGCATCGAGATGATGAACCAAGTCGCTACTTTGGTGATGTGCCAGGAACGGAGCCATAATTCGTGCAAATTCCAGTTCCAGTGTGTTTTCCATTTCATCCAACTCCGCCAATTCCGCCACTTGCTCTCAGTCTTGATACTGTCATTTCCCCATGTTTTCCGACGCGGCGGGCTATTCGAAAAAGTGTCGTCGGTAGAGACAACAGAAACACAGGTATGGTTGGGCGCCATGCCCTTTTTATCGTCGTAGCCCACCATGGTGAACGGTAGGGTGGCTCATATAGTGTTAGTTCGGCCGCACAAGAACTCGGTGTCGAAGAAGCGAGGGAATGAGGCTTCCAGTGCACCACACAGACACATCTTGAGAAGGATGATGATGGCCTTAGCAACTAGATAGCATTTCGAATGGCGTGGGGGGCCTTAACGGAGCCAACCCCGGCTAATCATCCTTCACGTTGTGTCCGGTCGAACCACAGAAGTGCGGGAAGTCGAACATCCCCCAGTGCCACAGGAAGTGAAATCTCCTATAGGTCAGATAAGACTCTGCGTAAGAGAGGTGTCATCTGGAGTGAAATTAGAACGATCGTCGTGTGAATAAACAAGGTGGTCGGAAGCTTGCTGAGGCTGTGTACATGTCGCTACACCGAAATAAGCTAGACTCAGGCACGATGCCGGCTGGCTCCAGGATGGACCCTGTTCAGACGACAATCGTTGGCGGACCCGAGTGCACCTCACAGACGTCACAGCGATTGGGTAATGGGGAAGCTGTCAAGATGGCCATACTCTTTCTCATTCAATCTGGCATCCCCTCATCTGTGGTGGTGCTCCGGGCCCAACCACGTAAATCATTGACCCTTATATGTACAAAACGCCGATCAAGGACTCCAGGTAAACACAGCCTTCTGACGGCAGCTTCTCAGCCCCCAACGGGTGTTCCGCTTCGACTAAGAACGCTTCCAGAGCTATTATTACGCGGAACGGGTGTTGCACTCCTGCTTCTTTCCCTCTCGCGGTCACGCTCCTCAGTCTTGACTCGCTCGCGCGCTTCTTCGACGAGTCTCTTAGCTTCTCGCACATTACGCATAGTCCTGCTGAGCTTGCCCTCTTTACCATCTTGAATCTTCTGTAACTCGCCCCGCGCTTCAATGTCTTCCTTGGTCTTAGTAACGAAGCTTTTAAGGCTGACTTTGATGTTTTGGCGAAGATCCTGTCCCTCGTCAAAGATGGCGTCGCTGTCGCGTATAGACTTGACATTCTCAACACGTCTAGTGAGGTAGAGTGTCGGACGGCGGTTGGCCTGGTTCTTGTATTCGTCTCGACGTTGTGCGATGATCCGTTGGACTTCTTCTTCGTAGGCCGCTTCGTAGACGTTGATGTCGACGTTTGACGGTGACTCGGAGACGACGCATCCGTCTTCTGGATCTGGCTGGAAGTTCTCGCCGGTACCGATATTGAGGAAAAGGGTATCTTCTAACGGGTTGTGCGCTTGTCCCTTCCCGATAGGTGTGGTTGGCCCTGATGACAACAGAGATGTCCCAGTAGGGCTTGAAACGGAATGTATGGCGGCAGGTCGGAACGACATGTTTTCATGTACTACCTTGCCATCAGCGAGGGCTGGTGATCTTGGCGTGGTCGGACTGCTGATTGCGGAAGATCTGCCGCTTGGGCGCTTCTTGGCTGCATCAGGCCGAAGACTTGATTTGGAGTATGCCATGTCATCCTCGTGCTGTGGTAGTCTGTTTCCCTTGTCATCGATCTTGATCTGGTGGTGTACACCTTCAGCGGTAAGCACGCTCTCGACTGGTCGTCGGTCGTGAGTGTCTTGTGACTTGGATTTTCGCAACGCTGACGGTCGCATGGATAATGGAGGTTGAACCATTCGCGAAGCGCTACCCAGTATACTTTCTATGCGTTCGGGTCGTCGTCTGAACAGCAACTGCTTGAAACGTTTGACTGCCCGTACCTGCAGATTGTTAGCTTACCATCAGTCTCAACACTGGGCAACCTATGCTACTGAAACATTATCAAGGAAATACTTGCACCTACCACTGTGACTAGGTGACCCATGTTGCCTGTGATGGCAGCATTGACCTCCTCGTCCGTCGGTGGTTCAATGATGATTGCGACATTCTCAGACTTTGGTAGTAGGGGGTCCGTTCCTTGTCGTGTCACCCATGGGTGTTCCTGCCTGTGTTAATCTTGATTGTCCGCCAAGCAATGTCACAACATACCCTGATTTCTTCCATCTGTATCCTTTTTTGCGGGTCCTTCTCCATAAGTCTCTGTAGCAGGTCTTTGACATCTGGACTGCACTCGGATTCAAACTCTACTGGATCCAGCCGTATCGATTGGTAGAGCTCGATCATGCCGTGTTTCTCGAATGGGATTCTCCCGAATAATAGGCAATATAGCGTACAGCCCATGGACCATATGTCTGCAGCTCTACCCGACACATGACCGTGCTTGGCGACACATAATTCAGGAGGCATAAAGGCTGGTGAACCCGCAGACTTTGCGGTCTTCATTTCTCCCGCCTTGTCAAACATTTCCGAGACGCCGAAATCGACAATCTTCAATACGTCTTCTTCTGTGATTAGACAGTTATCAGGCTTGATGTCTCGGTGAATGATGCCCTGAGCATGGACTGGTGGTCGTTAGCGCTGTCTTGTCAAAGAGACTTGACTGGACGTACGATATTCGAGGCCTAGTATCATATCTCTGAACCAACATCTACACTGCTCTTCGCTGTATGGGTCGGCTCGCTCTTCGAGACCTACCTGCATGACGACGCCCTTCTTGCACATCTCCATGACCATGTACAATGAGTCTTCCTCTGGGTCGTCGAGTACTTCGATCAACGAGACGAGGTTTGGGTGGTTCAGCTTCTTCATAATGGCAATCTCCTCCTTGATCAGCTCAAAAGCATTGTTCTCCTCTGTAGTCGAATGTCGGTGCAGGGGCGAATTGAAGCCTATGCCGGCCGGGAGCGCGCGCATTCGTTTTGCCGCGGTCGGTCGACGGAGGAGATTTGACTGTGCGCGTTTTCGTAGTCGCGACTTGGAGAACTCTTTAACAGCCTGCGCGTGTTTGCGTCAGCGAAAGCCAATGTCTGTGCCGCCCAGGTGACCCGCATCGTAGTATTAGGCGTATGCGCCGCCCTTGTTCTTGCGCGAGGGTTGGTAATCCTCACATATTCGTTTCCATACTGGTCGACAGCGAGGTGGACTGCGCCGAACGAGCCGCGACCAATCTCCTGCTTCACCAGATACTGGTTGATACGATGTTGGGCGCTGCCGTCATCTTCGCTATTGCTGTACTCGGACCGCGCATTGAATGTTTCCTGTGAAGGGTCAGACGCAGGACTCTACATAGCACACATGTTTCGGTCGCAGGGGAGCGATATCGTGGGCGATTGACGGCCCAGGGCCGGACCGGGGGTGGCTTCAAGTAGCTTCGCACGTCGTGTTGAGCATCCCTGTCTGGCTCTGGAACCGGGTCCGTGATCGCATGGGATGTCACGAGGGAATCGTACCTTTACACGTCTTGTCGAGGAAGCAGCACGTTTGTGGTGTCGCAAAGGGCTTTGATATGCGGGCGTGGACCTTGTACAGCATCAGCAACTCGGCGGGGTAAACAACGACCTAGATGACCAGACAGCACGCACATAAACTTGACTGGCGATGGTCTACCGCCCTCGACGAGTGCAGGGACGTCCAAGGTGGGTTGCGAAGTGTATATTCTGAGGTTGGGGTCTGACGATTGCTTCGAGGGAGGTCTCGGCGTGGGTGACATCAAGACGGAAATGTGAGCCAGTATAGATGGTTGTAAGATTGAGGACTGGCTAGGGACTAGTAGGAAGGAATAATATGGGGAGATTTGGGACAGTTAGCTCTGATGTCAACGTTCCGATCGTCCAGGATGTCTTTTCCTAGGAAAGAGGGGGGGAGATGCAGCAGAGAGGGTCTTTTCAGCCTCAGCCGGTGTCAACACATGCAATCAATCGCGACCCGCCGCTCTGCTAGCCACCTTGGCGCCATCTGTGCTCTGCTGTCTGGACGCTATAGCGACTTCTGCTGGATTGCTTCAATAGTTCCGCTTACTTGGCATGAACGACACCCTGTGACGTATAATTCGCGCAGCGAAACTCGGCGGTTATTGGCGGTGATCGAACCGAGTTGGGCGTTCCAGGGCTCCATATCACAAACATAAGCCTACTGTCACATCACGCCCATTAGGTCCGCGGACGGCACGTCAACCACGGAAATTCTTTTGCTGCAAAACATCCTCAGCTATCCGACGCAGACGCCGCCGCAATTTCGACTACAATGGTGCTCTACAGCTTCTACATCTTCGATCGGCACAGTAAGTCGTGGCCTCAGCGGCGATCACACACCTCACAACAATGCTGTGCACATCCACTGACCGCACAATTACAGCCGAGTGCATCTATTCGCGCCGCTGGACACCCGCCCGCCCGACATCGTCCTCGTCCAAACCTGCAGCAGCGCGCCCGCCGTCCGGGGCCTCGATTGCGAGCAACAATGGCGACGTGGTGGCTGCCGTGCGCAAGGGCATGTCGCATTCGGACGACGAGAAGCTCGTCTTTGGTCTCGTCTTCTCGCTCCGCAATCTCGTGACTAAGCTCGGGGGCGCCGACGACACGTTTCTTTCCTACCGCACCGGCGAATACAAGCTGCATTACTACGAAACACCGACGCGCATGAAGTTTGTCATGCTCACCGATACAAAAGTTATCAACCTACGCCAATATTTGCATCAGATCTGGGCCAATCTCTACGTCGAATACGTCGTCAAGAATCCGCTTGCGCCCGTCGAGCATCCGGGTGGCATTGGCGTCGCAAACGAGCTTTTTGAAAGGGGTCTAGAGGCCTTTATAACTGCCGTCCTACCAGTATGAGAGATAGCAAGACAGGTATAGGGACTGATTTGGCAAGAGCAGGATGCATGGTAAAAGTAGGGTATGAAGCGTCATAAGCTTCCACCTGATCAAGAGCTTGGGTGGTTGTTTGGCGATGCAGCGTCAGTCGGCATACACCCTTCACATCGACTTATACGGCACAGCCTGACCAAGGCGCCGCGTGTCCGATGACACATGTGCGAACTTGGCCATGTACTAAATAGAGACTACACTCCCTTCCCGACGTGCACCGGGAGTGGCCAGGCATGCATGCACCTCCTTATCGGAATATCTAAGCCCTTTTAGCATCCGAATCCGAAGAGTGACGAAACGATACCGTCTAGAGACTTCAAGTAGCCAAGTACATGGCTATACCAGGGCGAGAGCTATCTGGCTAGGATCATACACTATGATCATGGCGTGCATGCACCCAAGACAGACCAAGGGCACCCCACATCATGTACGTAGCCTTACCAAGCTTCCCGGCGGGAGAAGCCATATTTCCCAAGTAGCAGGGAGTGCAAAGCTTGTCAAATAGTATCCGCTGTTCTGGTACCAACCTTGACAGTACAAGGATCCAGCATAGCAACAATACAACAATTTACATATTGCGCATATGGTCAATGTTTGAATATTTCATTTACTAGTCATTACTATTATAAGCCAAGTATTGGACTAGATCATCTATATCATCAATCTCTAGTGCTTGTTCCAGTACTGACCCTCGCCCTTCTTCAGGCCCTTGACATCAGACTGCTTGACAACAAACACACCGCGGTCAATCGTGTTGACAACCACGTATCCAGAGTTGAAGGTGTAAGCTGACCAGGTACCGCCGTTCCAGAGCGCATCACCACCGCCGGGCTTAACGTCATCAGTGGGGAAAACATCAAAGTAGGCAATCTCTTTGACCTTGCTGCCATCGGGGAACTTGGGAATCGAAGAGACATCGAGAATACGGAGACCGGCCTGGTAGTTGGACTGGTAGCTGAGACCGTCGTAGACGTACTGGTTGTGATCAACGGAGCGGACTGTGGTCTTGTATAAACCGCTGACAACAGGCTTCTCGAGGTTCTGGATATCCCAGATATACGTCACCGCGTACCCATCGGCTGCGGGACTTCCCGGAGCTGTCCTGTTCGGGTCGATCTGGCCTTCGTCGAGCTCGTCATCCATAACAAGATGGGTTTGCCACATGGGGTCAAGAACCCATCCTTGATGAGTGTACGAAGCGCCGACGTAGGGTGTACGGGAAATGATGGCACCAGCATTACCCATGCCCTTCTTGTTGGTGACGTCGTAGATGGTCAAGGTGTCTTCGTTGTAGCCGTAGCAGATGTCGCGTCCGTAGTACTTCTTGTGGGGGCCGCGGTAGACGATGCACTGAGCATCGTGGGTGTAGCCGTCCTGGCCAGCACAGCCCTCAACGTAGGGCTTGGTGGGGTCGTCCATGTTGATGAACATGGGTCCACCAGCACAGGTGTCGTTACGGCCGGGACGTCCACCAGCACCGCAAGCGACGGCGTAGCCCAACTCTGGGTTGGTGACGACGGTGTGAGTACGCCCCTTGATACCCTGGTTGATGTCGACGAGAGCAACGTCCGTCTTGATGTCGAAGGTGACCGGCTTCTTAGGGGAGAGACCGAGCAGCTTCTTCAGGTCGAAAACTTGGACATGGTGACCAACACCTTCAGAGCCGACAATGAGGTGATCCTTGACAACCTTGATTTCACGCCAAATGACAGAGTCGTTGTTGGCAGGTAGACGACCGAGGTACTCGAGTTGGCCATCCTTGGTAACCTCGGAGAAAGAGGCGCCATAGGTCTGGCCGATGGCAATGAAGTCACGGCCCCTGTGCGACCAACCCCATGAACCACTGCCCTCACCCACACCGTCACCGAGCTCCTCGTGCGTCTTGAAGTCGTACAAGTCGATATTCTTACACTTGTAGGTCTGGTCGGCGTCACCCTTGACAGCCTCGACACGACCATGCTTGCACTCGATCTTGTTCTTATTCACGCGCTTCTTGGAGAAGCCATTCCACCTCTTGTTGTCGTAGGTGCCGGCAGCACGCTCCTTGGCCCAGGCAGCCTGAGGTAATTAGTATCAGTATACGCAAGCTTGAACACTGTAGCCTACCTCCTTGCCCTTCATCATGAGATCCATGACATCTCCAGAGGCATACTGCTGATGGGTAAAGCCATGGGCCGCGACCAGAGGCAGCAGAGCCGTTGATAGAGTAGCCCACTTCATTTTGCGAACAAGACTGCGGATTGACGGTTGGCAGTTGATGATCAGGTGAAAAGAGCAGATGTCGAGACGTTAAATACCCTAACTACCGGTATAGCACGCGCAAGCACCGAGCTCATTGTGCTTTTCGTCGGCGGCACGCCTCACACCCAGCATACCTTCCTATCGCAGTTGCTCCGAGATCCTAGTAAAGAGACCCAAGACCCGTGTAGAAGCACGGAAGCAGTGGTTCTATGCAGCACCATGCTAGGTGACTCTTGGTGAAGTCTTGGGAGATAGTTTTCTGGGTCATCTACCATACGCGCCGAGGCCAAACTGATGCTTGGCAAGCGTTCCACGTTGAATCTGACCACTCGCAAGATAAGTGTATCCATTATGCTGCAGGGTTTGCTGGTCGAGATTGTGGCGGGGGTACGAAAGCCGTAGTGTTAACAAAGGTGGGGATCCCTCCAGCGGAGATGGCGGCTGATGATAGCGTAGCCTGAAAAGGAAGCTGCTCTTTTTGCCAAGCACTTTGGATTGATTCTGCGCCACGACCAAAGAAGTGCAGAAGCCTGTCTGGAACTTTGAGGAATCCGAGAGTCGGATAGGCCTTTGCAAACCGATGGTTGACTTTAGCCGGAGCACTGCTGCGATGCTCCTTCCGAGATGGGGATATTGCGCTGCATATCGAACTTTTAGTGCTTATAGCGTGATCCGAGTGTAACTAAAGAAGCTTCGCCGTCTTGATTCAGAAAATGGTGAGATGACCGGCGCGAGTGTTGGGCATCTGGAGCAAAGTTCATCGGTGTCGGTTGTTCGGCGGTTGACCTGCCTCAGAAAATCGTCGTCCACGAAGCAAAGCGAGGACTGGAAAAGTCAATCTTCATGTTCGGCCTTAGCGCAAGAGTCTTTCTAATGAGGAAGGAGCGGAAGAGAGCGAAGTCATAAGGAGCCGTGCGGCGGGAGATGACATGGACTTGAGGAAAGACAAGGGAATGGATAGCTTCTTGTAGCTGGATTGAAGTGAGTCCGCTAGTTTGTTATTGAGCGCAATTGAGATGTGTGAGCACAATTGAGGCCGTTCCTGAAGTCTCCAAGAGAGTCTCTGGGATGATTGGATTAAGGCGTGGTGGGCTGCATTCGCTAGTAGCATCCCGTAGCCTGGGCGGTGATAGCTGGAGATGATAGCTGCGCAAATACCCCGCTGGAAAAGATCAATGGCTATCAGGTATCGGTCACGTTTCTATACTTCAGTGTTAACAACATGCATCTTACTTTGGGGCCAACCTTGGAAAGATGTCAGATTAGAGTTAACCTGTCAGCACCGTAATCCGGCATTTTCACTGCTTGGTACTGCCGGAGGGACACCACAAAGAAAGGCCGAAAGCGTGGAGAGCGGAACCAAAGCGCGCCTAGGCTAGACTCGCACCCCTGTTCCTTGGCATCTCACCATGATGATCCAAGTGCGACGGTCTGTATAGTGATGCCGGCTTGAATATCTACAAAGCCTACCAATCTCCCACGGCGACGATGAAGCTCAGCGAAGACGACCTCTATCGTACCTCTACCCAGTACCGAAATTGGTCCTTCACTGCCACACAACTCGCCGCCCAGCGCCTCAAGATCAACCTCCAGGCCACCGGGCGCGTCAAGGCGAATCTCGCACGCGTACGAGCGCAGCGCGCGCACGATGTCGTAGATGGTGATGGCACAGGATCTGGTGTTGACAAGGAGAATGGGAGTGGAACAAGTGGAACGAATACGCCGAATGCGGGTATGCAGTCTGTGACGGAGGTGAATTGCCTGACCGCAGAGGAAGAATTGAAGATTGTGGATGAGTTCTGCGAGCGCGCCATTGCGCTGGGGAGTCACTACAGTTTCCCATTGAGCGTAGTTGTGCGTCTGTCTCATATCTCAACATCCAAGACATGATATACTAATATCTACTTGTACAGGCAACATGCATACAATTCCTTCGCCGCTTCTACCTGTACAATTCGCCCATGACGTACCACGTCAACACCATCCTGCGGACCGTAATGTTCATGACGACTAAAGTCGAGCTATTCCCCATCCACGTTTCGCAATACGCAGAGGGCGCAGGCCGTAATGTGACCACCGAAGACATTCTCGCACCCGAATACATCATCATGCAAGGTCTACGCTACAACCTTGATGTCCGACACCCCTTCCGCGCCATAAAAGCCGGGCACATGGAACTCCTCGAGATGGCGCATGGAAAATATCAAGGTCCTGCACAGGGCATGTCGCCCAAGGAGATACAATCCAAGATCCTACAACTCCCCGTCAAACCCGGTGCGCCCCCCATTAAAATGCCAGAGCGCAAAGTAGAAGAGAGAATACACGCAGCATACGGCACAGCAACAAACACGCTCCGCACAATTGCCGTCCTAACAGACGCCTACTTCCTCTACACCCCCTCCCAAATCTGGCTCAGCGCTCACCTCCTCGCCGATGAACCCCTAACCCTCTTCTACCTGTCCACAAAAGTACCTCCATCAGCCCCCCATTACGAAAAACTCATGTCCACAATCCGGTCCTGCGCACAACTCATATCATCCCACCGGCTCTACACCAACGCCGCGCTCCCGGCGCCTGAACGAGAAGCCCGCGAAGCAAGGCACAAGGCCCAGGTTAAGGCCCTGGTCCAGAAACTAAAAAATTGCCGCGACCCGGATAAGGTTGATTTGGTTAAGCTGAATCAGGCGCAGAAGAGAGATGCGGTGCAAGGTGATGCGCTTGAGGAGAGTAAGGCTAAGAGGAGGAAGTTGGCGAGGGAGGGGTATGAGAAGGAGAGTGATGCTTTTTGGGGGCCGGAATTGCCAAAGGGTGCTGCGGCGGAGTGAAGAAGGAGTAAGTACTACTGGGATGACAAAGAGTATTGTTATACTGGCGCATGTATTTCTTGAGGGTCAGGCTAGGGCATTGGGTGGCGTTCAAGATACCAGGGATCTGCTTTTTAGGTGGTCAAAAGGTCTTTAGTCTTAAGCTTCTTCAGAGGAATCTACTCCTGCTGCAGGTTATCAGTTTTTCTTTGTGAGCTTGCTATCTGAATTTCTCTATTTGGAATATCTTGAAGTCAGACTGCCTTGGCTCCACGTTCATTTACTGTAGCCGGGCCAAACGCAAAGGAAACTCCCAGAACACCCTTATCCCTCCTACCGTATCTGATAACCCAACATGTCGCGTACGCACTATACTTCCCTTCATAAAACATGTGTCAGTCCGTCGTATGCTCCATATGCTTCTCCAAAGAAATCAAATAAGATCGCTCCACGCACCGTCTCCACCCATCAATATCCCCTCCATCCACTTGGAGACACACCACTAGGAGGCGTACCACCCGGCCTCCCAACCCCACTCATCGCATCCCTCGGGTCCCTCGCCGCATTTGGATACATGGGTGCTACAGGCGCGATACCCCCAGTCCTCTGGACCCCATGTACGGAGGAATTGCCCAGATACTTACCAAACATGCCGTGGTTAGCTGGAGCGAACATACGCCTCAGCTCTGCCACCGTATGACTACCTCCTTGGTCATTTTCGTTGTCTGCCTCAGCCTTCCTATCAGATTCTTCTTGTAATTTTAGCTGTCTGGCGTCTTCGAGTTTCTGGAGGTGGTCCTTGTGTGGATCTGGCGCGTTTTCCACGCTACCGAAGACCTTGATGAGCTTTTCTGTGCGCTCTCGGATCTTTTCCTCAAGAGCCCCGATGCTCAGTTCTCGAATATGGGCCCTCTTTTGATTTCTTGACGTAGGCGTAGGTGTAGACGCGGACGAAGGCGTTGGAGTTGCAGAAAAGGTCCGATTAGGTCTATGTTGGAGTTGGGACCGACTGGATTGATCACATTCCGATTCCACATGTGCTGGTTCTATGAGCGAAGATCTGATTATGCTGGCGTTATGAAGTTCGGGATTTGCGTTGGTCTTGCTGACAGTTGAGATATTTCCCTCGCGGTGACGAACAAGTGCTGAGGTTGTCGCTTGCGGTATGCTCTTAGCCCGGACATTTGGGTCTGTCTCTACAACCTCCTGGCGTGTATTCTGGATACCATCGCGTTGGGCATTCGCGTACTGCCCATCAGATGAAGAGTGAACCGACCGTAGAGGACTACCACCCGTGCCAGTCTCAGGTATGTACTGAGGACGAAACAGACGAGAATCCTCATCACTGGTCTTTATTCCGCTCAACCGAGGATCGAATGCCGGTATCTCGTCGTCTCCTGAGCCGCTGTCGTCATCCTCGATCTGATCTTGATGAAGCTCCGCCAACTGTAGGACGGGGGCAGATTCAGGCGATGCCTCCTGATCCTCCTCTTGATGTACCTCCTGCTCGGCCTCCTGATCAATTTTCTGACCAGCATTTTCTTCTGTTTCCTGCTCTACCCTGTGGTATTCCTCGTGCTCAACGTGCGCAAGATCTTCCACTGGTGCCTCGGGATCATCCTGTAGCTTGATAGTCGCTTGGTCGAAGGATTGCGCGATCTGGTCTTGTGAAGCCGCCGAAGTAGGCATAGGAGGAGGTACCGATCGAACTTCCCGGTCATGCCCGTCACGATCTGTACTGGGACCAGCCCGCGAGGGTCCTCCAAAATCGTATCTATAGCCAGGCGTCGTGCGATCACCACGCCTGCCAAATGCCTCGTCAAAGTCTTGGAGTACATTCTTTAGGACAACGATGGCACTATGCAAGTCAGGAAACTCGCTGCCACAGGCAGAGTAGATAGATACGATATTCCACCCAGCTGTCATCAGGTTGTCAAAGTTCGGAAACGCCGTCTTAGCAATGGAGTTGAACAGGCCAATCTTGACATGGTTCGGAATCGTGTCAAACGTTCTGCTCTTTGCTTCTTCTGGAATGGTATTGAAACCAATCTGATTACGCTTGTTGGAGACGTGCGGAACAACCGGCTCGTTTCGCTCACGCTTTTTCATCCTCTTTGCTGCTCTTTGATTAGCGTTAGAATGTCATAGAAATATGCGTTACTCACGATTGGAAGCTACAGAGCCCTGTTCAGCGTTTGGATGAAGCCTTAGTAGAGACTGAAGAACGTCAGTGATGTATCCCTGAACCCTATGCCCATGTCTTTTCGACAATGTCTTCAGTATGAATGCCCAGACATACCTCTCCTTCGTGGGACAATGTCGGTGGCTGATTGACCATTTTATATGCAGCCCGCCTAGCCTCATTCAATCGATGCTTTCTTGCGTAAATCGACTGGAATTTTTCCTTGAAAAGCGGCACCATACCCCTGGCAATGAAGCCATGAATCGGACATGAATCTAGGACGTCTTCATCCAATGGTAAGGGGTCTTCAGCACGTAGCTGTATCTGCCTATTTTCCACCACCAAGTGCACTCGGTATACATTGTTGTCATTTTCCGGTAGATAGACATTGCCAAGATCAAACCGCTTAGCCTCTTCTTTGAGTGTGACCAATGTAAGAGGAGGTTTAATCAAGCCGTTTACCTTTGTGTATGTAGGTGGTTCGTCGTTGCTAACATTGCTAAGGAATTCATTGAGATGTTGGGGATCGAGGAAGCGCAGCTGATCCCGCAAGATGAATGCGCGCCTCTGGGGCTTGTCGAGTGCGTTGAACGTGGGCGCTTCAATCTCCATGGTACCTGATGTAAGGAAGCTGCGACGCAGTATAGACAGGACTGTTGTCGCAAGTTCCTAGGTAGCTGCTGAATACCTTGCAGTGGGTGCAGAGCAGAGATCGAGAGTATCAAGGCTCCTTGCAGTAATAGTTGGAGTTGAATTATGTTTGATCGTAGAAGATAAGAGTTCAAGCGTGATGCGAGGTGGCACTGTTTATTTATACCTGGCGTGGGGTGGCTAGTGCGTTCTCTCACCTTCGCCAACTGGACTGCGGCCAAAGCAGTGAGCGCGTAGGCGTGCGATCTCGAAAAGGGAAATGAGCTAGCCGTGGTTATTATGTGACTTTCTGCAGAAAAGGGTTTGGATCGCTTTTCGACTGTGCGGTGGTGCCTGGAGCATTCAATCAGTCCAGACATCTACCATATGTCGGGAGTTGAGACATTGTCGGCATCAAAGTCGGATGGGATGTCATACCGATGCATCGAGTGAACCAAAACATTGTCGAGACAGATTCTCATGGTGAAGCATGGTTATTGCTTGGCTTTGAATTCCTCAAGAAATAGTGTGGACACTGGTGCCAATAGTACACGAAGACGCCGATAATTGAAAAGAAGATAAAAAGCGTAAGGGAGTTAAGCAGAAAAATGATTAACAGAGCTTTTCGGTATATTAGATAAGCAGTAATTCTTCAGCTTAACTGGCATGTCAAGGATGAGTGTCGTGGTACTGTAGACGAGATAAAATATCGTCGCTCACACTGGAGTATGGGGATTGGTCCTGAGTTCAATCGAAAGGCCATTGATAGAGTGGGGCACGCTCACTTGTGAGAAAAGCACGACTGGATGGGCGGAACTTAAAGGGAAGCTACCTCACATCCAGATATCCCCATGGACTATGAGCGTGATTGAGACAAACGATTCAGGAGGTCGTATGAATATACCAGTCACATTGCTGTGTGACTATCGACGGTGCGACTTGCACTCATAGGTTCGCGGTCAAGACAAGGGAAAATTAGAAAGATGACAGTGATGAAGATTATGAGTCTACCGTCTGACTTTGCTATTCATACACCTGCATGAAGTTGAGCTTGAAGCTGATGCTGAGCTACCGTACTATCCAGACTTCTACAAGTACAAACCCTCTGGCTCACCCTCAGTCTTCGTCTTCAGAACACGTTCTCTTGCAGTTCGGAAGTCCTCCATGTTGACACGCATACGGCGTTCACGGAGAGCCATGAGACCAGCCTCGGAACAGATGGCTTTTACATCGGCACCGGAGAGGTCGTCCTTCTGGTTAATGAACTCGTCAAGATCGACATCCTCGTTGAGGGACATCTTCGAGGTGTGGAGGGTGAAGATCTTCTTCTTGGTCGTTTCTAGGTGACGATCAGCAAATGCATATTGAAAGGTGACGATGAAACTTACGGTCGGGGTTCTCAAAGAGAATCTTTCGATCAATACGACCAGGACGGATGAGTGCCGGGTCGAGCGTCTCAATCTTGTTGGTAGCCATGATGACCTTGACATCACCCCGATCGTCGAAACCATCGAGCTGGTTGAGAAGCTCCAACATGGTTCGTTGAATTTCGCGCTCACCGCCAGACGTAGACTCGTAACGCTTGGTTCCAATGGCATCGATTTCGTCAATGAAGACAATCGAAGGCGCATTCTCAGCAGCAGTCTGGAAAAGCTGTCGCACTAGCCTTGGGCCGTCTCCGAGATACTTTTGAATCAACTCACTACCCACGATACGGAGGAAAGTTGCACTGGTCTGATTTGCCACAGCCTTAGCCAATAGCGTCTTTCCGGTTCCGGGTGCACCATAGAGAATGACACCCTTGGGTGGCTTGATACCCATCTCCTCGTACAGCTCCGGATGCAGGAGAGGGAGCTCGACTGCCTCTCGTACTTCTTGGATCTGCGTTTCCAGACCACCGATATCAGCATACGACTCCGTGGGTGCCTTGTCTAGCTTCATGACAGACACTAACGGATCCGCATCGTCTGTGAGCACACCAACGACTGATACGGACTTGTGATGCAGAAGGATGCTCGCTCCGGGCTCTAACAGGTCCTTGTCGACGAAAGACATGATGGACACATAGTACTCGGGCCCAGTGGCGCTGGAAACGATGGCATGGTCGTCGTCGATGAGCTCCTCCAGGTTGCCGACGCCCATGGGGCTGCCTCGCATGTCGTCGACCCGCGAGCGCTCGTCGGCATTGCGGTCCTCGGGGCCTTCCCCGGCCGTGGATGTGGCAGGCGCGTTTCCTTCCTTTACGGCCTTTGCCTTGCGCAGACGTTCCTGGTTCTCGACATATTCCTCCTCCAAGAGCAGATGGTCGTGAATGCGCTGCATTCGGAGGTACCGTAGCTTGCATCGTGCGGTCGGGTACACGGTCGGGAGCTTTGCAGCGGCGCTGGGACCTGCAGCCTTCTTTTTCTTCCTGCCGATGCGCGTCGTAGGCTGTGGCGGGGGCTCGTACTTTGGCTTGTCCTTCTGCAGAGGCGACGGTTAGTGTATGCGGTGAGGCGACAGACGGCAACCTCTTCAAAGTCCCATTCCGCGTGATACGGCCATCACGTACCTTGTCCTTTTTGCTCTTGTCATCACCAGGAGGGCCGCCGCCTCCAGCACTCGATTGTTGATTACCCTACATGGCATTAGCAGCCTATCGTTGCGTGTTCCGAACCGATCATCCTTACCATGGCACGCAATCAGCCGGGAAAGGGCAAATCCAGCGCTGAACAGGGTGGGGCGAGGAGAATCAGATACACTGCAGCGAGTGCCGTGGTAGAGATGATGGCGAGGTGCGGCGTTGGGTGTTTGTCAGATGTGTTGATGCTCTGATTCCGAAGCTCGTGGATAGGCGTCGGGGAATCGGGGTTAGCGCTTCTGTGGCGTCACTGTCTCGTCGAACCGCTGGCCTGCCTCACGATTCCACTGCCATACAAGGACAGACACGTCAGGCCCGGTCCGATAGCCATAGACACTTTATAGAACATTTCAACTCACTCCAACTTGTTCCAAAATCACCCTCCCCGGACTCGTAACACTATTCGAGCTCCAACCCCGCCAGTGAAGCACTCCAAAGCTCCCCACGCGGGTCAGCAAGTACCCTGACCACTCCGCTACCAAAACTACGTCCAAGTAAGTCTCACCTGTTGTATTCTTCCACAATTTCAGCTAGGCCTTTCGGGAATGCTTCAACTTTTCAACTTTCCGCAAACTTCACCCGCATACTACAAGCTTCCAGCTTAGTGGAGCCTGGACTAGTTGGCTGACCCTCAGGCTGACCCATAACTAGAAATAACTTGGTTGCACCCACTTGCTGCCTGCCTTGTCACCTCTACTTCTCTCTCTCTCCTTCCCCGCAGCCTCTTTAACCACCCCACCCACTCATCACTCTTCCATTCACCCTCACACGATGGCTTCCAACCGCAACCGGCGAATCGCAAAGGAGATTGCCGATATCCAAAATGACCAGCACTCCAAGATTGTCGTCGAGCCAGCAGGCAACGGGGACGATCTCACACATTTGCGCGGCCAGTTTCTAGGGCCGCCAGACACGCCATACGAAGGCGCAACCTACTTTGTCGACATCAAGATTCCAAGCGAGTACCCGTTCCGCCCACCCATCATGAAGTTTGAGACCAAGATCTGGCACCCAAATGTCAGCTCACAGACGGTAAGTGGGCACCCATCTGATCTATGCAGCAGCACTTGTACCCTACCATACAGTTGCAGGACGTTAACTGGAAATAGGGCGCCATCTGCCTAGACACACTCTCCTCGCAGTGGTCACCTGTCCTGACTATCAAGTCTGCCCTCATCTCACTACAGTCTCTCCTCAGCACACCCGAGCCAAAGGATCCACAAGACGCCGAAGTAGCTGGCATGCTCATTCGCAACCCCGCCGAGTTTGAGCACAAGGCTCGCGAGTGGGCGGTCAAGTTTGCGGGTGCGCCCAAAAAGGAGATTGCAGAGGGAAGCGGCGGTGCCACGGCAGCCTCCATCAAGAAGAAGGCACAGCAGGCAAAGCAAAACGAAGAAAAGTCGAAGCTGGCTGCATACAAGGGATACAATAAGGACCTCGTCAACCGCTTCGTAGCAATGGGGTTTGACGTCGAAGCCGTTGTCGCCGCGTTTGAATACGTTGGCATTGACCGAATGGGTGGCGAGGACTACGAGCTGGAAGAGGCTTACATGGGCGACATCACTGCACGGCTGTTTGGCGAAGCGTAGCCTATCTCTCAGGCATCTCTCATTCATGTTGCTAATTCACTGTCTTGCTATTACTGAATAACCGAAAGTTATTTTCTTGACTTTAGTTAGGGTAAGGAGTATGGGCGTATCACAACCCATCATGTTTGTTCTATCATTTGGCGACGGCGTCGGATATGGTGTATGAGGGGAGGGACTTGGGTGTTTAGGGTAGTAAAGATGGCGAAATCGAAATCGACACTGTAGACAAGGTCGGTTGGCCAACAGAGTCGTTCCATTTGACTGGTCTATGTGTGTAGTGATATGTACAGATTGAAGTTGAAGTCATTTGCTCATTTTTCTCCCCTCATTAGTTCCATCTCCATCCCATAATTAGGCAATGGCAGAGGTGACGTGAACAATTGCATTGCCAGACTTGGTGACAGGATCAAGCTCAAGAGACGCATGTCCGAAAACAGTCATAAGGTTGGGCTTCTCCACATTCTGCGTAAGCTTGAGAACTACAAAATCATGTTAGTATGCTGTTAAAGCACCCGGGGAATTTAGGGGAAGAAGAACTTACGATTACCGTCGTACTCCCAAGAGAAGGTCTGAGGCCTGCAAATCGTGCCGTTGCACTGGCAACGGATGCCCATGGGGTAGCTGTCTGATACAAACATAGCAAATAGTTCTAGTTGTGATCCATTCGTCTCGACGGTTGCGTTCCATGCGCCCATATCGCGGGGGGTAGGGTTGGCGGCGACGGAGAAGGCGAGGGCGAGGAAGGCGAGGGGGGTGGTGAATTGCATGATTGCGGTTGGTGTTTGGTTTGGTGGTGTTGGTAGATGGTAGTATTATATTAGAGTGCCAGTTCTTGTTGTTGGGTGATGGTGGATATTCTTGGATACAAAAGCCTTTATATACCTACTTCATTCCTCCGCTTTCTCCTATCTCCATCGTGCAGCGGTCACGCCAGCTCCACTGTTTACCCACCCCGTACCTGCAATGCTACAGCAGCAGGGGGTCACCGTATCCGTACTTCCGTACGCTGTTAGGAGAGAAGCTATGTTGTGAGCCAAGGTTGCTGATTGGGACCAGACTTGTGGCCGTGGCCGTACTGGTGGCCGAGTTTGGTAGGACGCATGATTCCATGTCCGTGCTGCGTAGTGGACTTGGGTGCCCAGGACCGGTACCCCGGACGCCACGAATCGCGTGTTTCTCGTTTCTCTGTCTCTAATGTCCGAAGATATGTCTGCATAATATCTGCATTGTTGAGTCGTGTTTTGTTGGTGTCTTCTCGGGGAGATAGTAGAGCGCGCCATCTAAACCGCGATGAATTTATAATTGTCGCACAACGAAGGCGTCAGACCTCCAAATACTGTATCGGCACTCGTTGACATGTGCAATGCGCTGAAGCAATTGTCTCTACACTTATGAATGCAATGAAGCGGTAAGGCGCAAGTGCAGCATACTCAATATGTTTAACACTTAGCCATTTCCTTCATCGCTGTTCCCGGGAGACATCCTGCTAATCGATTTCGTATTTCGACTATACTGCGTGACGTATGCATGCCACGAAGGTGGTGTTGGGAGATAACTACAGGGTTTCGCATTAACTACGCATGTTTGCGATGTCTATAATTAGAACTATCGGCCGACTAACACACTATTGCTCTTCCGCGTCTCCGTCACATAATTCCTCTTCTGGCCTGTAACAAGAAGCTGGATATGTCCCTTTGCAGTTGGAGTGTATTGAACAGTTGCACATTGCTGGACGCTAAAAGCTGCGCATGCAGGCTTGCTGTTAAGAACAAATTGTGCCGTGAGCTTGACTCCCGGATCCCAGCGTCCAACGGATGCCGTAACATTCTGACCCACTTTGGCCTGCTTAGTTGCAATCTTAGGAGCTCCTTGCCGCTTCACAGCGGCTTTGCGACCGCCGTTTCGGATGACATCATCCCAAATATTCCCACGTGTGGAGGGATCAATTGACGACGGGGAAAGCGGTGCAGGTCCGGAGGGGGAGTGGTCAAGAACCCACTTCTCGACGAGTTCAAGATAATCCCACGTCTCGCGTGCCTGGTAGTTTCCACCGTGTGGTTTTTCGGGTAGGATTGTGACGTTTGCCCACCCCGACCCACCAGCTGCATCTGTTCGTTTTTGGAATTCCATGACACCCTCGTTTAGGTAGTAATTATCCCAGGTACCGACATATACAAAGATACGGCCTGCCAGTGCGGTACCAAGATTGCGAGAGGAGTTGAAGTTGCTGACGACGTAGTTGGAAAGGTCAAAAGGCTTCCAGTGCTCGACTGCTTCCTGATAGATCTCGCCGGTCACCTTATCCCAAGGCTCCAAAGGATAGTTGTTGTAGCCTTGAACTCCAAAAACAGCATTCCAGACGTCCCACTGGTTGAACGAGCGAGAGCTAGTTCCGAAGCTAAGTTCCCAATGGTTCTCTTGCGCAACGGTTGCTTCAACAACCTCAGTGCCGTTGACATGTGTACGGATGCTAGGCACAAAGCTGCCATCTGCACGCTGGTACGCGTTCGAGGCCGTGTAAAGCTCAATATCTTGGTGACGGTGAAAATCCAGGGAGTCGGGATAAGAACTGAAGCAAGCGCCGAAGAGGTCCGGTCGGTATATGACGTTGGCGACCGACTCCCAGCCGCCCGTAGAACCTCCATCTTGGATGCGTGCGTAGGGTGCACGGATCGTTTTGAATCTTTCCTCGATATAAGGGATGAGCTCGTCGTTAATTGCGTCGCCATATGGGCCTAAATTCGCTGTATTGACTGCATACGAGTCATCGTAGTATGGCGATTCGTGTCGGAAGGAGACCATGATGAACTTTGGGGCTGGACGAGCTGCTGTCTTGTTAGTGGCTGGAATTTCTCCAGCATTCCAAGCCGCTGTGAATTTCTTGTTTGTGCCGTAGCCATAAGCGCCATCCGCTCCAGCCCAGTGGTTCTGATGATAGATGACAGGGTAGCGTGTCTGGTTGTTATAACCAGCTGGTAGCACGACATTGGCGCCTATGAACATGTCGCGACCCCAGAACTTGCTCAGTTTTTTGCTGCGGATCTTGACATATTTCAGCCTTTCTGTATCGGCATAGTTTCCTTGATTGCATCCGCCAATCTCTTTACCAGTCAACCCATCCACAGTCGTGACATTGTTGAACGTAAGTTCGAGTTTCTGCGAGCCTCCAGATACTACAACCTTAGTAACAGATGTTACCAAACTCCCAAATCCATTCACGTTGGGTGCGCCATCGACGCAGGGGAATCGAACGTTAACAATGGAGCCATCGCTGCGTGTCACCCTCTCATATCTGGTGAGGAACCCTTGCACGTTGTAAGTGCCTGGTTCGACGTCGCTAAGACTAACGTTGGGCCAGCCAAATACTCCACTCTCCGCGTCGTCGCTGCCTCCGTCTGAGAATACAACTGCAGTCTTGGGGCCAAATTGGTACACGTTCTTGCCTATAAGATATGTTCAACTAGTTGTTTCTTGCTAATGCGAAGGTGCTAAAATACCATAGATCTTGTTCTTGGAGGTAGTCACATCTGTATCCTCGAGCGGGTCGGTTCCGTTGGGCGCAAAAATCAGTACAATGCGACCATCCGTGGGAGAGCTCAGCAGGCCATTAGCCACCGACAGCTTGATATCTAGGTCGGTGTTGCGTTCGGCATGATTTCTAGTAGTTGGTACAGCTGTTGCACTTAGAGCAATCGTAGCGTAGAGGATAGCGGCCTTCAACATCGCTGAATGTATGAACTCTTGTTCAGGGATATCGGATACCAACAACCAAGCTATTAGCAGGAGGTCAAGCTTTTTGATATTGGCTTGATTGCCATACTGGTGGCCTCGCGAGGGCTGTGCTAGTGAGGAACACTAGCCCAAACAAGAAGGTACCGAAGCCATCTACATCCTAGAGGGAAAGATAAGGACGACAAGGAAAATTAGTTTGAATAACGAACCCCTTCAGCCTCTCTTTTTCGTTGCTCGCCGAGAGCTAACGCGTGCAGTCCTTACTAATGCTCCCATAGCCCTGGTTCGTCGAATTGCTTGCGCATGGACAGACGCCTCCTGTCTTTGGGGAAAAAAATAAAAAACCTTTGTTATCGAATTGGGCATGACTTAGATACTTTCCATATCAATTCTGTGGGTTGTAAGCTCGAGTGGTGTTGTTCCTGACTGTTGTGGTTCGTAGGCTCCTTCCTACTAAGCCCAGTCTTCCAGCCATGATGTCATTACGACAGGCATGCCCTGCGTGTTCTTTGTTTTCGCAGATCCCCATGGGGAACACAAGGCCAGCCTTGTAATTATACGATGTCGTTTCTGCCTCACGAGTGGATAAATCCGATCTGATGACCATCGTCGCCGATTCGTTGGCGCAACGAAGCAACGATGGGGAGGGCGGTGTAGTTTTATTTTGTTGTAAGCGAGCCATCAAGACATCAAGATGATCATCGCAACACTAAGTTTTACGCTGATTTGGTGTTACGTTATCTAAACGTGAATTCAACCCTATCTTTCCATCTTTTCCCTCTCACTTCAGGCTCCTCACTCTTCACTCAGCGACGATAGTAACAGTGTGGACTCTGAACCCGCACAACTCACCTGCATCAACCCTTTAGGTGCCCATCAACCTTCAACACTGAATTTGTCTAAAACATCCACGCATCCATCACACAAAAGCTTGCGATACGCAGTGAACCTGAAGTAGAGACGATTGTTACTGCAGTTGACCATAGGTCTCGAGGCGCGGTGCAATGCAGACCGCCTTGGGATAACTATGATTACCGCAAATATTGCCACAAGAGTGATTATGACTGGTAATACCACGAACCATTATGGTGGATGTTGGCGACCATTTATAGTCATCGCACGTCTTGACTCGTTACGATTGCCTTTAGCGCTGTTGACAGCTTTGGTAGCATTCCATTTGAAATCTTCGATTAGATATAGTTATGTCAGCTGATGTTGTCGTAACAGCGGGCAGCAAAGCAGTTGTCACTTATACTATCGAATTTATGATTTGTCGATAGTCTCAAGATTCCACGCCCTCCCATCTTCCCTCAGACATGACTTCTTTCTCCAACGCTTTCTAGATCAAGAAAGAGGACATAGTACTCGCCTAGCACTTTTTGGGTTTGGAAATCTCAAAACGCAAGGCATACATGAGGGCACATGCGTTTTAGGCAGCAACAGCGGAAAAAGAACACAGTATGATCTCTGTCAATATTCAGAAAGATATTTTGAGAGTTCTTTTCTCGGGATAAGAAGAGCACACAAAGAAGAGCATGAGGTCTATATACCGGCCATTCTAGTCCCAGTTCACTAGACTACATATCATCATTCTTACCCACGGTTTCAGATATAGGTATACGAAATCTCTACTCTCCACATCAGCAGTTTTTTGACTTATTTTGAAATCAAGAATCAGAATTTCAAGCGGTGATAAGAATCTACTGCCCCCGGAAGTTCATAGCACCGCGTTGCTTGTAAGAACCTCATTCTGCCAACATAGATACCTAGGACTAAAGGAAATTTTAGAAGCAGAATAGGAGAGCACTATGATTGTTGTTATTATATTTTAGAAAGCAGGAAGAAGATGAATAGGTTTTGGTAGCAGGGAGGTAAGAGAGACGGAGGACAGGGATGAGGTTTATATACCTCTCACGTCATTCCAGTGATCTTTCCACACATAAGCAATCAATCGCAAGATTTTAGACATTCAAAGCTTGGACGCCGAATTTTATTCTCTTCTCCCAGATCACCACATCGGTGTCGAAGTCGTTTTCAAAGTTTACGAACATGCTGTGTACTCTGGAATTTTGGTAGTATGAAGTAAAGATTCAACATCTTGTACACACGTAGGCCTGCCGTTGTCTGCATATGTCTGACATACTGAAAATATGAAAGAAGGCTCAGAAAATGGTATAGTACTGACGTTGTTGAGACAAAGACTTTGGAATTGCTTTTCAATATGTAGAGGAAAGAGAGGTAACAAGGGGTTTATATGCGCCAACGCTCTGCGCTCTGGCCCTTTCATACACTAGCACTGATGAAATTTCTATGGTATATGGCAAGGTAGTGCGTCGTTTCTTTTTGTTCTTCCGCATATAGAAAATTTATAGTTGCATTATCAAACAAGGCATACAACCACCCGAAAAAAGATTGTTTCAGGTTCTCAGCGTTTTAGAAATCAATCACGAATCCACCACAGTGTCCAGCCTTACAATTTGAATTGTGAAATTTTAAGAAGAATAGACGCAGAAGAGCGTGTCTCTGCTTTTCCCCAGTTTTGTTCTTACAGAAGGAGCAAAGAAGATGCTTTCGTGGCAACGAGAAAGAAGGAGCAGAGAGAAGAGATACATCTATGTACTCGGCGCCCTACACTTTACTCCGTTGCATAACTGCTCCACTCCTAGGTTTTCGAAATATAGTCGGAGATTCGATGATAAGGCACTGCATAGCACAAGACTGCAACGCACATCTACTTCTTCTGTCTCTTTTCGATACGTTAATCCCGGGATTCTGGACCGGGACAATCAATCGTCGTAACATAGGTTTTCTTGCAACGAACAGAAAGCAACATGATATCTTTACGGTATCGTTTTCGAAGAGTAGACGCAATACGGCGGAACTAATACTGCCCAATCTTACTCGCAGTCATGAATACAGCATCTTCTTTTTAAGAGCTTCGAGTGAAGAGAGTAGATAGTAGTCTGAGCCGTAGAATCTGTGCGATATTTATACAAATTTACCCCTGGAACATCAAAGAGATTTCTAGAAGAGAAGCAACACAAGTATAAGTCGTGTTGCCCTAAAATTTAGGAAGGGTGAGAAAAAGACATGAACCTTTGATGTTGTTGGTTGGCTTTGCAATAAGTGCGTAAAGGTAATAACGATAACTAGGATTGCATTCTGCTCGGTGATGGTTCTGATTCATTCTACGAACATAGGTGCTACGAAGGTATACCTAAGCTCAGCGCAAGTTGGGCCGAAGTTGGGCCGAAGTGTTGAGCAGCCGACGTCCCTACCGATACTCACGATCCGACAATATCCGTCTTTTTCATATATCTTAAAACAAGAGCAGACTTTCAAAAGAACATTGCCCTATTTCTTAACAATATATATCTTTATTCAAAGAATCCTAGTAGCGAATATACGTCCTCCGGGCTGTTCCCTTAGAAAGACATGAAATCATGAAATGTTTGCGTCTGCTTCTGCTTCTAAATTGAAACTACGAAATCACTACCGGCGTTTCTACAGGTCAAATTGGTTTGAAACCTCCCCCCCCCCCC